TAGAAAATCAAATTATTCTTTTAGAATTTAAAGTTGCCATCTTTATTATGAGGTACACAGCATTTTGGAGTATATGCTTACTCATTCTTCAGGAAAACGATAAAGAAGTAAACACTTACTCTGAAACGTATTCCTCACAATATAGATAGGATCTGTAAATTCTCTCCCTCACGCATACCGCATATAATTGACATTCAGAGGCTGGACAATATCTGTGTCATGTGCCATGAACATGTGACCTCCAATCTGCACATGGTTTAGAAATGGTCGTGTTCACGTAAAGACCACGTACAGACAACGGTTCTTTTGAGATAATCATGGCTTCATTTCTTCGCCTCATTACAACCAAAACATGTCACAATTCAATCAATCAATCAAACTAGTCATTAATATAGTGCCTGTTTCCAGTCCGTGAAGTCTGCTCAATTATACCACATTTTGGTATTCAAAGGTGATGGAGGGATGTGGTGTATACGAACTCGTGAATTACTGGCGATGTTACAAATCTCGCGGCCAATGCTGCTGTCACATCTTGTGTAATGGACTGCGTAGTCACAATCATCATGATCATCCTCATCAACACACAACAGAAACCTACACAAGATAACTACCATGAACACAAGCAAGAAACTCAGAAAAAGTTAAAAAAGAGCAAAAGGTCACATTCACATGCAAAAGGAACTCAACTTAAAAATGAACACAAACTTGGCGTGTTCTTTCCATCCATGATGGTTACCATGGTTACAGTTGTGAAAAGATACACGTGGCCTCATTCCACAGAAGATGCATCAGTACTAAGATCACCATAGCGTAAAAATCACCATAGCGTTAAGATCACCACGACAAATGGATCTTTGTGGAATGAGATCCTATAACAGCAGACAACAGAATTACATTAGAAGACTAGATTTAACTGACAGCTTCCCAGAATATCAAGAGATATATGAGCAATAATCTAACTTCAAACAAGCTTCAAAAAGAGGAAAATTCATCTGGTTCAAATTCACAAATGAACGTCCCAAAACAAACTGTTCATCAAACCAAATGTCGATATACACAACAAAGCATACCATCATCCGTAGCACTATTTCATATTTCACCATAATATAAGCATATGCATAAAATATGAGAAAAAGCAGATTTTAAGCCACATATGTATTGCCATCGTGAAAATGTCTTTCTCTCCATGAAACCTAGTGTAATATTGTCTTGAGCTCACATTAACCGGTTTATTGAAACTGTTGACACTCTTGTGTGTAGCCATGCACATATTCTTCAAAGAGTGCCAGCTTTACAATACTTATCCCAATAAACTGTTTTTCCATACTCTTAAATATTTTTATTACATCAACCACAGAATCATAAGGTCATATTATTTTGAAAAAGGAATTTTGATGTATTGATATACCAAATCAAACTAAAAGTTAGTGTGCAGTCACCTGTAGCGCTGTCATTAATACAGTTTGTGATAATTCTCTGTCATGTCAACAGAGAAACCCTGTTAATCTGGATGGTATAGTTCCCTACTAATCTGGATTAACATATCACCAGAAACTGTTAATCATTGGTGTGACGTTAGTTTAAACTTTTATAGGTGCTTCTATCATTAATCATCCAGAATGCAAAATTTCTGGATAAAAAGGTGTCCACATTAATGGGATCTTGACTAATAAAGTTTCTCTATATACTGTGATACAACTGACTGTGGACAAATTAAATTACCAGTTTACAATAAAATAATATATCATGAATTTGTTGATTGTCCAGAAAGACTAGCTCAGTCAGTACTTAGTAGTTACTGTATTAATAAGAAATTACAGAAATGTGGAATGTTAACCTTTCTTTAATACACCATACTCAACATATCAAACACCTGTCCTATATGGGCCCTAATGTTCTGACAACTACATCTCAATGTGTCCATTATCATGATGATACCTAATGTCTGTCATGAATAATTGTAATCATTTCTTAGTTAAAACAAAGTGGAACAGGTTTTCTTATATAAGGGTGTTACCTTGGAAATTTTTTATATTTTTGTGCCTTCTGACCCATAAAACACAGCAGCATCTACCATTGTGAGCTGCATCAGTTTATACTTCCCACCTACGTGAAAGTGCAATGCCACACAATAATTTTAATATTTACGTTTATGGTGTCACAATTACCTTGTTTGTATCCATAAAAATGTTAAAAAATTGTGCAGCTCAATCTTGTTATATGAATTGGCATGAAGTTGTTTGGGCTGGCCAGATTAATAGAAAATATCGATGTTTCTGTTCACTCTAATTCTGCACAGTTTCTTGCAGTTAAATAGTTCCATTTTTCTACTGAATTATGTTGGAGCCATGAAGCTCATGAAAAAAAATAATATATGAATAATTATGCTTTTATTGAATGGTCTTATGTCTGGATAGATGATCACAAAAAAAACCATAACAAGCTTTTATTGAATATCAACAAATATGGTTTAAACAAGTGTGAAGTAACAATTAATATGGTTTAAATAAACACTCGCCTGTGTGACTCTGTGAATGAGTGAGTTGGATTTTATGCCGCTTTTAGCAATATTCAAGCAATATCATTGATGGGGACAGCAGAAATTGGCTTCTCACCTTGTACTCATGTAGGGAATTGAACCTGCACCTTCTGCATGACTAGCTAACACTTTAACCACTAGGCTACCCCACTGCCCTCATTACACCAAGTTTTGATTCTATCTACTGAACATTATGCATGCTATGTTGTGTGTAAGGTACCACTAACACCATCCTAACATCACCTGTACAGAACACTAGCCATCATCACATTGTCATACATCATTGAGCTCTGGTAGTTCAACTTGATTCCTCTATGCATAAAGATGCATATTACATATTACAGTGGAAGTTGTCTAAACCGGCACTCGTTGGCACTGAAAAAATAATCCGGATTAGACAGCGTGCCGGATTGTAGAGGTGACACGGTTACCTACGACTAGAACTGAACCAGGAGATACAATTTGTATGTGACTTTAAATACCTGAATCATACCTTGGTCAAGAGGTTGTAACACTTGAGTGTAACATTGCTGGGTGACACTCCGTGGGCGTGGCTTTGAGTGCTATCCATAAACAACAAGATCTTCAAACTAATAACTCACTAATAACATGTACAAGTAAACCCATACTGAACTAAGATTAAATTATCTTTGTCGGCAACCATTTAGTTTCAATGCAGGAATTATTGGTGACAATACACATCCGGACGACTCCTCGCCACGAGCGGATTACTGCATAAACACATCTTCGGGCGGCTCATTTTGTGCCGAGATCTGGAATTGACAGATGCCGGATTGCAGAGCTTTTAAATGATGATAAATGTACTAGCCACAGACGGAACTAAGATTTTATGCTGATGTTGACAATCTGCTGGATTGGACAGCTGCCGGTTTGGACAGCTTCCCCTGTAGTTCTGTTTCAACTCATCCCTTTCAATGAATACCCTGTATCTCATTAACAAATAACATATATACTGTTGGAAAGATTATGGCAAAATAAGGCTCAGCAGATGAACAAATCTTAAAAATATCTTTTCATACATTTTTCCGCATGTTCAATAATATTACCATTAGCCATGTGAAGTATTTGAAGTCATCTGATAATCAGTGATATCTGTTATTGATACAATAGTTATAACATGAACATATACCAACCTTTCCTTCAGAATTGAAATAAGTAGAATGTGTGCAGTCGTTGTGGTTACTCTTACCATGTCCAAATATTTTACAAACAAAACAATATCACAAATATTTAACAAATCGCCACCTGTCAATCAAACCACATGACTGATCAGTCAGAAAAACTGTATTGATTCATAAACTGCCATATTGTTTAACAACCGGAAAAATGTATTACAGTCATACTACGGTAATAGATATGATTTCTGTAAAATGCCCGAACAATTTGGTTGTATATATTTTCTTGACGGAAAAATACATTCATATTCTATAGATCTAAAATAAGCAAACAATTAGAAAACAAGAAGTTGGAGATAACTTGTCTGAAGATTAAAAACTTTACAAAAACCTATTGATTCATTATGTTCAGATGAAATGTAAAACATACATTCAGTGTGGTCACTCCTGATGCATATTACATCAGTATCTCTGGGAAATTTGTTCTGTGTCATGTATCATGATACATGTTGGCTCCAAAAAATTAGATGTGTATGTCAATATTTCTCCCCGATATTTATGTGTGTGGTTAATTTAGCTCTAGTGATAGATTAATTTGTGATCTTACGAAACAACAGTTTCAAATGTTATGTCAATGATTATGCTAAGATGTATAATAATCATATATACACAGCACTATTCACTTGTATAGAGCTAAGATGTATAATAATCATACATACACAGCACTATTCACTTGTATCAAGCAAAGATGTTTGCAGGTTACACATAAAGAAAACATTCTTCAACATAATATTGGGTCAAAATCATCATCACCATCATCATTATGATTATCATCATCTGACTGACATTTCCTGCAAAAGCAGACCCACTTTAACATGCTTTAATTCAAACTCCAAGTGTCTGGTCCTTTTTTCATTTCAACTCTTCACAAAGTGTTTGAATCAAGTCAGACAAGTTGAGACAACAGAGTTTTTATAACTCCACCAAAACAAATCAGTGGTTTCAAACTCCTGTGACACTCATATGAGTTTTTGACTAGATAGATTAACAGTTCATCTTACAATTCCATATCCTTACTCCAATCCACGAGTTTCCAAGAAAACACATAATTCAAATATTAACCATGTCCACAAATTATACTGTTATGATGGAGAAAGACAGTGTTTTGGTATATATGCCTACTCCTTCAGGTGAAATGAGAAGTAAGGACATACTCTTAAACATTGTGTTCATTATAAAAAATAAACTGACATCCATGAGTTATCTCCCTTATGTGTATCACTTCTGAATGCCATTCAAAGACCATGCTGTCATATTGTAAATAGCATGTCATAAGAATACTGTAAAATCAATGATAACTCCTGCATTATCACACATACTGCCATAGATACAGAAGGGAGATAATCAATGACACATCAATGTTCAGGTCTTATTGATAAGGCTGACAATACTAGTATTAATTCCAAAATAAGAGCCTGTTATTATTATGATTGATTGTTTAGTACAATCAATCTAAACTGTTAGGCATGTGTAATACTAGCTGTGTATTTTGTGAGAATGTAGATATGTACAACTTAGATCCAGAAGGACCTTTCCATCACGAACAGTAGCGATAAAATATGGTCACGGTACAATATGCTAAGCCTCTTTCATAATAACTTGGCCAGTAGAACATTTTTACAACATCCCAAAATAATATAAAAAAAAAGAAGAAGAAAAAAGTAAACAGACTTTTCTAATGACAACTGAAAGGTTTAAATCCCTTCCATATTAACAACTTTTCAATAAAACCAAAATTGGAACTTATGATTAAGTTATCCCCTCTATTCCATTATTGCAATTTTGGGGAACCTGAAATGAAAACTAAGTACTTGAACAAAATACAACTGATTGATTTATGTGTAAACACATATAGCTAAACCAATTAAAACAAAGCATGGAAGGTAGTAATTAGTAGGCCCAGCCTTTGTAACAAGAAATAGAGCACCATTATTAGATTATAGTTATAATACAACATTGTAACTGATCGAGAGAGCCCTTAGACTTAAGGAAAACCATGACAGTTGATTTCAGCCAAAGTATCAGTTACATCACAGAGAAAAGGTTAATAAATCTAACAGTTTTACATACAAAAATATGTTTATTACTTTCTTAAATTATGTAGACCTAATGAAATATGTGTCAACCATACACATAAGTCCAGCATAACAAACCTGTCACTCAAAATAACATGATAATAACTTTAGAAACAGATTCAAAATTGAACCATTCATTCATATCGCAAGCTTATATTTGTAAGCTTTCTTGCAAATAGTAGACTTCAAAAGCTTAAGAAGTATGACCATAAATATTTGATGTACAAAATATTTTTTGACAACTTGTTCCAATGCCAGCGACAATGTATCCATGGATGCTGACGGTCTAGGAGCCTGCTTCCTGTTCCTGTCCGAGCCCTTCCAAGATTATGCCCATCGGCGTGCGCTTCAAGCCAACAAACTCCATCTTGTTGGTGATTTTGTTTTTAAAGCTCCTCATTCTTAAAGATGCATGAAGGATTATCACTGAAATGTGGAGGAAATTACTATTTTGAATTGTTGACATTTTATAGCAATATGCAGAATGTTTGTTTTGTTTTGTTGTTTGTCATGTGTTATGTTTTACTGTTTGTTATGTGTTTGAAAGTGCTTTAAATACACATGGTGTTAATGTTTTTACTAAGATGCCAAATTTAATACTTTCTAAAGATAATGTGTTAAGAATCCTCGGTGACAGGGCTAACTACTGTTCTTGTAACGCTACCAAAAAACCAAATGATGTTTGATACGGTTTACGTTCGGATTAAATATCTTCTCTGAATTATTTTAAATACATCTGTCATTAACGTAAACCATATGGGGCAATATTACGTTGCATTTCTACTACCAGCGTTAAGTTTAGATCAGTACATCCAGAGGAAGTTGAGTAGTCAGCGACATTCCACAATTGCATTGTGGGAATGTAAACATTATAACGCTATGGTCGCTGAAAACTTGTGAGTCGAAATGACACATTTTAACCGTAGTAAAACATAAACGTAATGTTTCCAACAGTGATGTTAGCTGCCTGAAGCAACAGCAAACCAAGAAACTGGATGCAACAGTGTAGCTTACTGTAGTAGGCCGTACGAGGCGATGACAACTGACATGCATCGTGACGTCGCTTACATTGTGAGTAATGTAAAATGGTTCGATTACAAGGGGGCACACTAGAATGGCGCAGTGACGGGATAACGTCATTCAATTGTTACGTCATCAAAAAACTATACCTTTATTGTCTGATAACGTATTTTTTTTCCGATTGTTCTAACCGCTAGGCATCTTAGAATATGTTTTACTGTTTGTTATGTGCTATGGTTTACTGTTTGCTATGGGTTATGTTTTACTGTTTGTTATGTGCTATGGTTTACTGTTTGCTATGTGCTATGGTTTACTGTTTGTCATGTGCTATGGTTTACTGTTTGTCATGTGTTATGTTTTACTGTTTGTTATGTGTTATGGTTTACTGTTTGTTATGTGTTATGGTTTACTGTTTGTTATGGGTTATGGTTTACTGTTTGCTATGTGTTATGGTTTACTGTTTGTTATGTGTTATGGTTTTCTGTTTGTCATGTGTTATGGTTTACTGTTTGCTATGTGCTATGGTTTACTGTTTGTTATGTGTTAATACACTGTTATGTTTTACTGTTTGTTATGTGTTATGTTTTACTGTTTGCTATGTGTTACATTTTACTTTTTGTTATGTGTTATGTTTTACTGTTTGTTATGTGCTATGGTTTACTGTTTGTTATGGGTTATGTTTTACTGTTTGCTATGTGCTATGGTTTACTGTTTGTTATGTGTTACATTTTACTGTTTGTTATGTGTTATGTTTTACTGTTTGCTATGTGCTATGGTTTACTGTTTGTTATGTGTTACATTTTACTGTTTGTTTTATGTTATGTGTTATGGTTTACTGTTTGCTATGTGTTATGGTTTACTGTTTGTTATGTGCTATGGTTTACTGTTTGTTATGTGTTAATACACTGTTATGTTTTACTGTTTGTTACGTGTTATGGTTTACTGTTTGTTATGTGTTATGGTTTACTGTTTGTTATGTGTTATGGTTTACTGTTTGTTATGTGTTAATACACTGTTATGTTTTACTGTTTGTTATGTGTTATGGTTTACTGTTTGTTATGTGTTAATACATTGTTATGTTTTACTGTTTGTTATGTGCTATGGTTTACTGTTTGTTATGTGTTACATTTTACTGTTTGTTATTTATTATGTGTTATGTTTTACTGTTTTTGTTATGTTTTACTGTTTGTTATGTGTTTATGGTTTACTGTTTGTTATGTGTTACATTTTACTGTTTGTTATGTTATGTTATGGTTTACTGTTTGTTATATTTATGGTTTACTGTTTGTTATGTGTTTAATTTGGTTTACTGTTTGTTATGTGTTATGTTTTACTGTTTGTTATGTGTTATGGTTTACTGTTTGTTATGTGTTATGGTTTACTGTTTGTTATGTGTTATGGTTTACTGTTTGTTATGTGTTATGGTTTTACTGTTTGTTATGTTATTTACTGTTTGTTATGTGTTATGGTTTACTGTTTGTTATGTGTTAATACATTGTTATGTTTTACTGTTTGTTATGTGTTATGTTTTACTGTTTGCTATGTGTTATGGTTTACTGTTTGTTATGGGTTATGTTTTACTGTTTGTTATGTGTTATGGTTTACTGTTTGTTATGTGTTATGGTTTTACTGTTTGCTATGTGTTATGGTTTACTGTTTGTTATGTGTTATGGTTTACTGTTTGTTATGTGTTATGGTTTACTGTTTGTTATGTGTTATGGTTTACTGTTTGTTATGTGTTATGGTTTACTGTTTGTTATGTGTTATGGTTTACTGTTTGCTATGTGTTATGGTTTACTGTTTGTTATGGGTTATGTTTTACTGTTTGTTATGTGCTATGGTTTACTGTTTGTTATGTGTTATGTTTATGTTTTACTGTTTGTCATGTGTTATGTTTGACTGTTTGTTATGTGTTATGTTTGACTGTTTGTTATGTTTGACTGTTTGTTATGTGTTAATACACTGTTATGTTTTACTGATTGTTATGTGCTATGTTTTACTGTTTGCTATGTGTTACATTTAACTTTTTATTATGGGTTATGGTTTACTGTTTGATAGGTTTACTGTCATGTAAAAGTCATTGCTTAAAACTTTCATATAGAAGTTACACCATGTACACATCCTGTAAATTTACACTGGAATTATTTCTTCAAATTACATCAAATCTCATTTTTGTATCATCCTATTTTCCAATCTGGTCTGATTTTCAATATACACGTTACAGTTTCAATCAACCACATGTGGCCTCTAACCAACAGCTATTCCACTCTGTACCTGACCTCTTACTCAGACTGAATGAACATGACAATCCACATCTTCCTATGTATATTTCCAATGCTTATAACTGTTTGTTGGGACTCAACCCAACAAAAGCACTAGAACCTGTACTTGACTGAGAAAGTGTTATCACAAATATGACATGTGTCACCAGCAGATTTAGTTTTTAGAAGCAGACTACTTCACATAGCAAAGGGAAAGCTATTCCGAACATGAAGACGATGACAGCGCCGAGCATGTAGACAGACGAGGTAGCCTGCAGACAGGATGATGAGAACGCTCAGCAGGGGATGGTCGCGCTTGAACCTCTTGGTTCTCCACTGGTTGTTGGTGCAGTACACAAACCCTCCAAACGCAACAGCTATAGCCACAAAACCAAACACCATCTTCACAGGATGGATGATTCTGCAGGATAAAAACAACCATAAACAGTTCAGTAAGAAATAGTAATAATTACAGCAGGACCCTTGTTATCAGTGTCATAGCCCCAATGTCATGATTTAAGAGGTGTGGGGAACTGAGGGGAGCAAAATGACCCCTTAACTTTCTGTATTAGGCCATATGGTGAAACTTAACCAGTGCCATATCACTTTTGCCTAGCAAACCATTGTTTCTGTATTTCGTCGTCTGTGACATCATTAAACAATTGAACGTGACATCAGTAAACAGGGCCGTCCCATTTGCTTACTGTGTTTTACTGCACAAATGTATATGAAATGGATAATAAAGAAATTATCACACTCAAGCTTGGGCAATACAAAATTTCACACTCGTTTCAGTATAAGTCGTATGACACACTTGCTCGTGTAATAATCTCTATTTATAACTATGAATATAGGTTTTCAAAATATACTTTAGTGTAGGAAATTGGCTTCTAGTTCAATCTCTGTTTAAATAAAATTCCATGCAAATATTATGAAAGTGAAGCATAGGCATGATACCCTATCCATCTTTACCCTACATTGTTAATATGTCATTTTTAAAGTAAAATTTATATTTTATACTTATCCTGACTCATGATCTTTTGCTTATCTCCCTCTCCTATGCGAATGGTAGTGGAACATTTGAATCCTTTGAAGTTCCCAAAGCGGACGTAAAAGTACACTCACCCACTAGTTACCTCCCTTTTGCCCTTTCCCGCGCAAACAGTCATGTGACCAGCCTTACTTGTCACATTTTTCTGCCCATACACTCGTATCTACTGTGAAATCCGAAGTGTTTCCAGCGGGGGAGGTTGGGAGGGCTCAACCTCATGAGTCAAGATAAGTATAAAATATCAATTTTACTTAAAAATTACATATTTTTCCTTATCCTGACTCATGATCTCTTGCTTATAGAATCCTTCGGATTGGTGGTGGGTCAAGCAACTTCCTGGATTCATCAGCTGTCCTTAGATACGTCCTGTATCCCCCCCATGGGAACTGCGTAACAGCATTTCCGAGATCCTATTCTTCCAACTTCCGTTATAACTCGGGGGGACCACTTTCTTGTCTTACTTCAATCACAGACAAGTTGAACCATGTTGATTCATGTGGCTTAAGATATACTAGTATCTTCTTTTTACTAGATATCTATAACAACCCATAGATTATGATAAGATCTTTATCATAAATGAGTTGTGACCCCTTTACGTACAGGTAAGATCTTTACCCGTACAGGGTCTTAATCACTCATGCTAGTCTGTCCTAGACTGTGCGCATGGACTTTCAAACTAATACTTTTCCTTAGTAAAAGTTATCAACAAGTCAACGTGATAAAGGGTGAGATTTCCAACTCAGCGCCTTTGTGGAACCGTTAGTTGCTGTGCTACAACGAGAGGCCCAAACTGGTGAACGTCTTCAGTGGCTATGTCTCGGAGGTAGTGGTTGGCAAACACTGTGTCCGATTTAAAAAAGCAGCCCTCCATAATTGCTGATATAGAGCAATTTCCATGCAGAGCTAGTGTTGACGCCAGTGCTCTGACTTCGTGTGGGTTGGAAGCTCTTGGAAGTTCTAGTCCTGCTGCTTTATAGACTCTCAATATGACGGCTCTCATCCAGAACGATATTGTCGTTCTTGAGACTTCTGCTGATGTCTCTGTAGATAACGGGATGAACATGTGCTTGAATTTTCGTCTCCTTGTTTTAGTCTTTTGAAGATATATCTTCAGGGCTCTGACCGGACACAAGGATAGGTCCTACGTATCCTCTGGTCTAAGGATTGTAGAAAGCGCTGGTACGTGGAACTGTCTATCTGGTTGACCAGGTAGTTGGTTCTTGGCAATAAAGTCCCATCTAAGTCCTAGATGTACTGCAGCATGTTGCCCAGCGTCGTATCTCCGACATTCAAGCTGCCGTGGCTAGTGCAAGCAGGAACAGAGTCTTCTGTGTGAGCAGCTCGAAGGTAGTCTGTTCTAGGTGAGGTGAAATTGGCTTTTACGTCGTGCTTGAGAATATTTTGCTCATATGACGTGCACGTGCATCATTATGTGTATGTGCGGCTGCTTCGACTAGCCCAGACTTAAGCTGGTTTTAAAGTGCTAGCCCACTGAGATACCATGCCGCAGTGAAGCATGAATACCCCACTCAGACACATTATACTGACTCCGAGCCGACCAGTCCTTGTTGTACCCATTAATGCGAACGCCAGGCAGGGACCAACAAGTACCATATTTTAACGTCTTTTGGTTTGACGCGGTCGGGGATCGAACCCGCGACCTTCCGCTCTCCGGGCGGACGCTCTAACCACTACACCACGGAGGCGGTCAGTCTGTTCTAGAGGTTCGTAGGCATCACTCATGAGATGACGTAGAATTACATTCAGATCGCAGGCCGGAGCTCTAAATTTCTTTTGCTGGTCCTCCAGTTTAAAAGATCTCAGCAGAGCAAGTAATTCTGGTACTTTCGTCAACTTGATGCCTGTCTTCATGGTGATCACTGTACTGATGGCAGCCAGATACATGGATAATGTCGAACCTTTCAGAAGTCTAGTATGTCTAGGTATTCCGCCACTTGAGGATGAGTAGCTTTCATAGCAATGAAGCCTTTCCGCCTTGCATATGTCTCAAACTTCAGCCACTTGTCATCATACAGGTTACGAGTGGATCTGCGTAACGCTAAGGTTACTGCCTTGGCTGCTCTGGCGGAGTATCCTCTTTTCTTCAAACATGTTTTGATACGGTCCACACGTGTAGCTGGAACAGTGCTGGGTTCCCATGGACTTGCTTAGTGTGTGGATGTATGAGTAGGTTCGGACATTCTGGTAACTTGAGTGTTGGACTTTCGAGATCTTCTATTAGGTCTAGGAACCATACTCTCGCTGGCCAATAGGGAGCGACCAAAGTCAGTTGTAGCTTGCGTCTGTTTGATCTTCAACAGTACTTTCGGTAGTAATATGGGGGTGAAAACATGTAAGCGTTTAGTCCTTCCCATGATATGCTCAGTGCATCTGTTGCCCAGGCTTGAGGATCTGGAACTGGTGAGACAATCGTCTGTAGTTGAACCTCGTGGCAAACAGGTCTATGCAAGGGGATCCTATTTCCCTTATGATGAGCTGGAACGCTTCTGGATGGAGCATCCATTCCGTAGGTGACGGGTGCAGTGGTCGGGAGAGAGCGTCTGCAAGCACGTTCTTGGCTCCGGGTATGTGACACGCCTTTATCCAGATGTTTGCTTCCTCCGTGATGTGGAACAACTGGAATGTGAGCTGTAGAAGGCTTGGAGACCTTGTAGATCCTTGCCGATTTATGGAGAATGCCACTGTAGAGTTGTCTGTGTGGACCATTAGCATTCTGTTGTTCAGCGAGCTCGACCATAGTTGTAAAGCGTTGATCACGGCTTTCATCTCCAGCAGATTGATGTGAAGATGCTGCTCTGTTTTGGACCACCTCCCTGATGCAACTTGATTGTTGTGATGAGATGCGCACCCCAGAGATGTGTGTCGAAGGCTGGCTCTTGTAAATAGGTCCCTCCGCAGACGTTCGACCTGTGAGTCCACCAAAGTAGGTACCTCTTGAGATTGTCTGGCAGCAAGATAGGGTCGATGCTTAGTTGTAACCTTCCTGTGAGAGTCAAGTCCTGCGCCGAGGTTAGTAGACAGAGTAGACATTGCCATGTTTGTAGTGTTAATGGAGAGATGACTGCTTGAGGAATAATGGCTTGTATCTTGACCCAACGATCTTCTGGGACAACAATACGATTCTGTGTTGTGATAAATCTTATCCCCAGAAATTGAAGATCTTGTTTTGGTTCCAAGTCTGACTTCATAAGGTTCACCAGCCATCCTAGTTGATAGAGCAACTTAATTGTTCAGCTGTAGTCTGAGTTGACTGGCACTTTGGTGAACCTGAATGCCGTCGTCCAGGTAAAAGGCATTGCGTAGACCTCGATGATGTAGGTATGCGACTATAGGCTTGGTTACTCGTGTGAATAGCCACGGAGCCGAAGATATTCCAAACGGTAGGACGTTCCACTGGAAGTGCTGCCCATCTGAATAGGAATCGCAGATACTTTCTTGATTCCGGATGTATGGGGATGTGTAGATATGCATCCTGAAGGTCTATGCTGGTCATGTAATCTGAGTAGTCTGAGTTGATGTAGGTGGATCATTCTGAACCTGTCTGGTTTCAGTAGATAGTCTTTGTTGAATTTGCGCATGTTGTAAATCAACCTGAACTTCTCTATGGAGTTCTTCTTGGGTACTAGAAAAATTGGGGAGAAGCCTGGCGTGAGATGATGTTGATCTATTTTTTCTACCGCATCCTTCATAAGAAGTGAGTTGATGGCTTCTTGTAACTTGACTGCCTGCTCGTCTGCATAATCGAAGACCATTGGGCTGAGAGTTAACGGTGGTGTCGCCTTGAGCTGCACTCTGTATCCTTCTCGCAGTACTTGTGAGACGTAGTCATACTCTAGTATTCCCCAATTTGTCCAGTACCTTTGTAGACGTCCACCCACTGTCGATGGTTTTACAGGAACGGCTGGGGGTGGAAGACTCCAGTCGTTCCGAACCCCAAGATCAACGTCTAGTTCCTCTGGATGCTCTGGGAGTGCAGCCTCTTCCTGAGTTCCCTCTGTAAATTCTGGATGGGCAACGAAAGGAACCTTTCCCACTTCTGAAGCTGGAGTACTTCTTCTCCTTAGCCTTCTGGATGCTGGAATATTTGGACTTGCTGTTGTACTTCTGGGAAGTATGACGAATGACGTTGGCTAGAGTATCTATAGACTTTATCATCATGACTTCTCTTGAATCGTGAGTAGCTTCCTTAGCTGCATTATCTATATCGCCTCCGAAAATAGTAGGCCCCTCCCATGGAGCTCTAAGCAGCGGCTTGGTGAATCTGTCACTCCACGAACAAGATGCCGATATTGATGCCAGATAGTCTGATAAAAAGTATTGGTCCTTCTTCTGAGTGAGCAGAGCTGATAGTATCATTCTATCTTCTTCCGAACTGGGGTTCTGGAACTTGTTAATCAATGCTTCATTGATTGCTCTAGATCTGGCTAAGCCGAAGAAGGATCTCCTTGTAGCAGTATCAAGTTGGGATAACTTTTTATCTTCCACTTTGTATATCTTGTTCCGAGAGTCGTTGACTAACTTCATGTTAGCATCTAATTCTGGCGCCTTTATAAAGGGATCGATGTGGTGTAAAGGGAATTTCTTCACATTAAAGGATGGCAGATGCTGATTCTGGAACTTTCTCTCGAAAGCTGTGCGTAGGTTGGAAGGTACCTTGGATATAGGTTCAATCTGAGGGATAGTCACCGAGTCAAAGAATAGGATCTAAATAAAAATGATATAAAGCTGTATACGGGACTCCAGTGCGAAGAGGGACAGAGTGACAAGTAAGGCTGGTCACATGACTGTTTGCGTGGGAAAGGGCAAAAGGGAGGTAACTCGTGGGTGAGTGTACTTTTACGTCTGCTTTGGGAACTTCAAAGGATTCAAGTGTTCCACTACCATTCGCATAGGAAAGGGAGATAAGCAAAAGATCACGAGTCAGGATAAGGAAAAATTGTTAATTTCGTGTGTCAGCAGCTTTCTGGCTATAAGACATCAGCCTATAAGTCAAGTCAGGACTAGAATAAGTTCTTTTAGTGGCATTTAGATGAATATTTTACAAAGGACTAGAATATCTAGCAACCGATATAATTAATAAACAATGATCCATGCCATTTTCTTGATTAGGGTACACTGACATGTTAACAATACTGACAACCCAACCAGAATTTTGCCATGTTTCCAAAACACAAAAATCTGTGTCCTTATATGCAAAACAAAACCCATAGACAGTGGACAAAAATAGTTTGCACTGTGACTGTGAGTCTTATTAAATTAAAAAAAGTATGTTTGTCATATTTATTCGAACATACTTTATTGCACCTCATTACATTTTAGACTCTAATCAATGCTAATTCAGTTTTACATTCTGTAGGATCCAAGGTCTGATTTCAATCAATTAATTTTGTTTAAAACAAAGCAAATAGATCCACAATCGAGTTTAATTGCGTTACTTGTTGCTAGAGAGGTCAATAAGGACCCCACATTGAAGAATAACTGAAAGTCCAACCACTCACAGGTAAACATAGATAAATCTGATTGAGGCAATACTAGCGATATTTTAGTTCTCACAGTTATTCACAGAAACATACATATTACTTGAATTTTTGCAGTTGTATCTAAAGTAACCAGATGTGGACTTAAAGTGACCTTTTACTTTGTGGTGTTTATTTATTTATTTATTTATATATATTTACATAGCCAATATCAAGATCACCTGCTCAAAGGCGCTTTGTTTTTCCCTCGATCATTGGATGTCAGTCTCCCTGGGGATCATACAACCCTCAAAAGCTAACTTTAACTTGCAGCCACCTAAAGCATGTCGATTAATTTAATGTGGCTTTCCCATCCCCTTGCATGCCAGGTACCCATTCACAGCTGGGTGGACTGGGACATGTTGTCACAGTATTTTATCCAAGTTTACTGCACGTTGCTGTACCCGCAACTAGGTGTTTGCACGTTTTCATGTGGCCACCATCTGGTCATATACCAACGGATTCGTGGGTTCTAAGTGCACAGGGTTGTGTACTGTACACTAGGGGTTGTGACAACACTGAGAGAGTCTGCACGCAAAGTTGACTCCAAGGTTTTACACCTGGTCACGGGTGGGCTCGATCCCGACACCTCAAGCTCGCTGGATCACTAGCCTGGCGCCTTAGCCAGCTCACCCACCACGCCAACAGGAAAATAAATTCTACATTTTTGGTTTAACATATTTATGAAATATGACAAAACTGTTAAAATGTTTATAGCATTCTATTCAAGTAATGCCATGTGTTCTGTTATATCAATTAATATCCCTTACAGCTGAGCATACAATGATTGATTTATGGGTATTGATCATGTGTCTCACTCTCAGTCACACAGGGAAACAATTTTTTATTCTTTATTTCGGAAGATTCTTTAGAAAGCTATCTGTGAACAACAAATGTCAACTGATGTTCTTTTCCACATTCCTGATTATTATTTGTTTGTGTGTTGTTTAACGAGGCACTCAACAATTCCCAGCTTTTTAATAAAGTCATCGAATCTGTAACCAAAAGCAAAAACAACTCAACTCTCTTTATTCCATTACTGAAGAGGCCACAGGCCTATAGTTCAAACAACTCAAGAACATGTCGTGCTCTGACTCTGAGCATGATGAGATTTGTAAATTGTACGACTTAACCATGTTAGGAGTTTAAAACATTATCCATTTGTATCCTTGTTCAGCAGAATACCAACTGGAATACTCTTGGTGAGATACATCACAGTCATGTTTCTAATAAGTACACATTAACCCTTGAGCACAAAATCAGAGTCACGTACTGTTTCAGTTGCAGAAGGTTCACGTCTGAGTTCAGTTTATACTCTGCTGTTTGCATTGTTAAATGGTGTATTATCCCATTATGAACATGATGAATAAGCCATAAACAGTGGAATGCCACTGTTTGTTATGGTTTATGCCAGTAGGATAGGATTAATAGTAGTTAAGAATTAGAGCTTGTTTTTAGCTAATCATTCTAATAAAAATGGATTATTGTATCATAGCAGTTACCAAAACATTAGTCTATTTGCATTAAGATGAAAAGTTCAGCTGAGAATGTTTGTGGTGATGTGCAGTTTCTCTTATTACCATAAACATTATGACAATTATTAACCAGACATATCAACAAAGCTATATTTGACGAATACACATATTAGAATTGCAGGTCACTTTGGTTGACCTAATCAGCAGTATTTCAACTGATGAACATCAGAGTATTGCATAGTAATATCAGTGTCTATAGCCATTTAACTTTGTAACCTAAGACGTGTCTTCATACTCATATGTTGATTATTGGGTAACCTATAGAATTATAAATATTAAATGTTATCCAGTCTGGGACTTTTGCCACTAATCTGAAGAATGAATCTAATACATTTCTGTTTGATCTTGTAATCTCAGCTAATAATAGTACAGATAATTCTAGTTAAAATGATACTAAGAGCCTGGTTTGTGCTAGTGATCTCAAACGTTTCAAAGACAGACTGACTTGTCAAACATAAGTTTGAATGTTAGTTGTGTTAGCTTTATAGCATAGGACAGATATAGCATTTGCATGCACTAATTATCATGTTTTGGTCCCTAACACAGAGCTTAGACACATGTCGTCATTACGGCCAATTACTAGTAGGGGAATAAACATTCCGATAATATTCCACACTCCGAGCTCTGACAGAGTATTTGAATACCAGTGCAAAATAAGCATCAACACCTCTCAGAACGTATGAAAGCGTCGTGCAATGTATCAGCGACCTGTGGATGTCGAATGATAAAAGCGGAGAAGTATAAAGCTTTGATTTCACAGCTATCCACGTCACTGATCACGTCAGATATACAAATGAAAAGGTGCTCACCCAATGAGTAGAAAAACTATTAGCGCCGTTAGGAAGTAGTTTGTCTGATAATAGAGCAGATTGTTCAAGACCCTGTTTGCCCACTTATCGGCATCTTTTATATTCGGGATCTGGAATCGTGCCGATTCCAAGATAAAATCTCCCAAAGAACGGAGAGGGGCCACCTGCACTTGTTCGCCCATGTTGTCAATTTACAATCCCTTGTGTCCTGAACAAATGCCCAAACGTTTGCATATAAATTATCCATATTTTTTTGCGGTATTCCGAGTTAAAATGAAACAATTTAAATCATGTGGATAAAATCTATTTAATTACAAGAAAACCTAAATAAACTTTGGTTTGTGCAATGCAGAAATATATTTGTATATGTTATAAGGTATATGTCGTTAAATATACTTTTCCTAACAATCATTTCATAAACAAAATCCATAATCTTGTATTTGATTTCTACATCCAATTTTGTCCATGTATTTAATCGGAAAAATTATGTTCTAATTCTTATAAAGATATTCAAGAATTTCTTGAAATATTAACAGCTCATACGTGAAAAATATGTTTGTACAGATATTCATATGTTTAATAGCGTAGGTGAAGTAGTACCAAATGTATTTCCTTTAAGGAACGATAACTCTGTTATAATTTGCACCTCAAGCAAACTATCGAGAAAAGGTGATTCTTTGTATGTATTAAAGTGCGGTATATATTATTGTCTGTTTATCATACAAACACTGAATTTATCACACGCATTTACGCTTTCTGTATCACTAGTTCGCAAATCTTATGATGTCATGTCCGAGAGCTGCTATGGCGCTGAACAGTCAGTCAAGACGCGATTTTAGGACGAGTCATGTCGTGAATGTCGGTCCGATCGCGTCTCTCGGCTATTGAACTGATATTGTTTTCAGATTCCCGTAAGTTTTTTAAGTCTTTCATGGCCAATATCTGTATCTGATGCAATCAAATACAGGAGCATGTACAATGTATGTGATGGTGTTTTTTTAAATAATCGATGAAATCCAGTGGTTGACATAATGAGCATCAGTATTAGACTTGGCGAACGATATAGGTGATAGAGGTCGATACTCGTTAACTGAATATCGATCAATTGTCGACTAAATGTTGTATCAGTAACCTTGAGCTCAAATGCCCCCAATTTCTGAAGGAAATCAACATATTTTTCATCACTAGTGTGTGGTAACATATTTATGCATGGATTAACAAAACAGCATCCTGCATATAATACAAAAGAAGCCCATCAATAAATACCTAACTTTGTGTATCGTGTGTGTAAATGGAAACTTTATTTAATCACAATAGTTTATGTTACTTCATGGCGCCTTGAGCATGTATCAGTGGGTGGAAAATGGCGCGCTAAAAATATGCATTATTATTATTATCATTATTACTTGTACCACATTGTACCACATTATCAGCCCTAATCAATATAGTCGTTTGTGATGACAAGTGTCAGCCAAGTCAGTGAGCCTGACCACCTAAACTCATTAGTTTCCTTTTAATTATCTTATGATAAGCATGGGTTGCTGAAGACCAATTCTAACTCGGATCTTCACATCTACTCATGCAATAGTGTTCTTTTTGCTCCTGGAATTCGCTTAACTTAAACACTATCTTTGTAAGATGATAAATGTCAGCAGGTACAATTCCAATCTTTACTTATTGTCATTCACGAATGTAGAGTGTAGTCTCTTCTATTTCTGTCCTAAATCTACACAATTCAACAAGTTCAAAAGACTAGTATTTCAGTGTCACTTGACATGTTTCACATCCGTCATTCATTTCCTAAATAATAATTTAAGCTTTAAGCTTTATTTTATAAAGATTCAACTCCTGGACCAGCAACAACTTTGGATATGGAAAGTGACTGGCCTGGGCGCTGGAACCATGTCAAGAAATTCTTGGAAAGAGGTGGACCTTTTGCTCATCCGGATTTTGAACCAAGTTCAGAGGTACTTAGTCCTACAGACTTTTTGCTGCTATGATGATGTTACTCAGTTGGAAATGAGACATGCTACTGTTACTGTCTTCATATCCCCAATGTCATGTCCTGTTGCAAATGTGTCTTAAAAAAACATTAAAAAATTCCATCCATTGTGCAACATTTCTATAAATCATGATTAGTCGGAAGTAAGTACATGTAATATTATAAACACACAGAAAGTTACCTTTTGATTTTTTAGTCTCTAGTACTACAATGAAATTTGTTTGGGGTTTTGGTTGGCATAATGTTGGACATTTCTATTTATGGGTTTTATATATAATCATGAATATATTAAAAAATCATATATAAATACTAACATAACTATACTATTATAGGCTGGTCTTACAAGGCAGGAATGGTTTTTGTCGTGTTTTTTGGACTTTGGCTTTGGACTTGTGGCTGAAGTAGCAGACTGATTCATTCATGCATTGATATGAGTGCTCATGTTCAGAAGCTTTAAGCCTGTAACAGATGGGGATGTCAATGTTAAAGTGAAGAAAGTGACACTCTGAACTTTGAAATTTGAGTGGACACCTTGTCATGCCTATAACATATGCAACATACACAAAAATAGACATATCAGTTTTCTGTAACCATGTTAAGCTGCTATGTACAAGTTTGAATTGTTTTTAATGATTCAGACAGCCATTCATTTTGTGTCCACTGGGCTTGTAATGTTAGTTAGTTTGATCCTTTTTCAATCTGGATCCAGTAAAATCCCAAACATCAAAGAAACCCTGCTAAATATGGCAAATGGTTGTTTCTATGATCATAGTAATATGTTTGCTTTTTGCTGTTACTTTTTGGAAAAAAATTTAAAATGTACTTGTATTATGTACACCTAACCTCACAAAACGTTGCTGTTATTTTAAAAAGTGTTCATTGAACTGAAGGAATTATGGTACTGTGACTGGGAATAAAGTCCATCAATCTGTTTGTCAAGTTTTTTGATAATTGGCTGATCACCTTGTTTAGCTTGTTCAGGTTCTTGATGATTTTATCTGAACCTGGGGCACCCACACTGACCAAGGTCACATTTGTTGAGGGGCGGTGGTTAAAGTGGTTGAAGTGTTTGCTCGTGACGCAGAAGACCCTGGTTCGATTCCCCATATGGGTACAATGTGTTAAGCCCATTTCTGGTCTCCCTCGCCATGATATTGATGGAATATTGCCAAAAGCAGTGTAAAACCAAACTCACTCACTCACATTTGTTGAGGATATTTTAGACGTTCATGTCATCATGATACCTTTTAGAAATCAAGCTGTAATGTATGTGTCTTTTTATCGAGTTCAGGAATGAGAGCTGGCATGTTAAGTTTGTCTTGTCTTCAAATCAATTTTGAGATGTTTGAGGTACATTATTTAGTTCTGTTATAACAGTAGTTTATTAAATGGTATGTCTATGTTTTAGTGTTTACATTGCATTTTATTACTGCAGTCATAAAATTCACTATCTAATTCTTTGCAGACGCTGCAGTTCATGCAAGAAGTATGTAAGATCCTTGTCATTGGAGCAGGAGGCCTTGGGTGTGAGTTGCTGAAAAATCTGGTATGTCTACCTCAGATTTACCCCATAGGGGATCATGTATAGGAACCCAGAAACCTTTGCTGGCAGGGCACGATTTAAAAGATGTTAACCCACTTGCACCAGGTGCAACCTAAGATAAAACCTAGTTGCACCAGTCAAATTCCAGTTGCACTGTTTTTATTGCAATATGTAATATCAGAAATATGCTATTGAATTATTTAGATGATTTATTCAGAAGTTTACCCACTCAAAAATTGACTTGCACCTGGTGCAAGTTAGACTAATAACTAGGTTACTCTTTGTAATATTGGGTTGCACCATGCAAGTAACAAAGCACTAAATCGAGCCCTGGCTGGTCATAAGAGAAAATCAAATCAGATGGATAGTATTATGAAATCAGGTATTATATGGCTGAAATAATGTTGATGTGAAGTTAAATTTGAACTCACTCACTCACTCAGGCAACGCGTGACTTGGCTGATTGCATGCCCTCAATGGCTCATACCTGATGATGCATCGGTCATTGCTCAAAATATCGATCAATGGATTGATTGGTCTAGGTTTGGCGATTTACGGGCAGCTGTCATATAACTTGTATATTGCTGAGTGTAGTTTTAGACAAAAAACAACAGACTCTGATTTAATTTGACTGATACAGTGATGAATGATATAGCAAAACATTACTCAATACTGGTTATGCTAGAATCTTGACCGTTTAAGTAATGTTTAATGTTTTCCATCAGTCTGTTAAGATGATTCATTTTGTTGCTAGGCAACTGTTGGTGAGTTAACTTGTGAGCCTCTTGTGGTGTAACGATACAGCAATACAGTATTGTATTGCAAATTGAAACTATCGATACATATCATCAATTTACAACCCTTGTATTGCGATACATATGATACATTTCATCATAGTTATGTTGATGTCAGAACTTGAATAATAACGGAAACTGTTCAAGAATCAGTTTCAGTTGATCAACTCACACTTGGGTTGTTAAGAAATCAGTTGTGAATAACATATGCCCTGGATACAATACATCCGGTAAATAATAATATATGTAAAAAAATATACAGCCTCGCAGTAAGGTATTCTTGTGTTAAAACTTCATTTAAGAAGATCATGTATTTGAGAAAAATTGAATACAAAATGAACTAGGAGCTCATCAGTGTATGAAATGGATGTGGATGCTTTTTATTTGTCTCTGCAATGGATGCAGACGTGTTAGTCATCTGGAAGAGTTATATAATAATACAGAATGTTGAGAAGTATGTCTCACTGTTGTCTCTTATTGTCCGAGACAAATATTAGGAGACGGAGTTGTTTTAAAAAGCTGTTTATTTGCCTGTAATTGGAAAAGACAACATCATAAAATGTTGATATCTGTCTACCGTCGTCCGAGGCTGACAGGTGACAATAGAAGGTGAATTCAAATTGTCCTGACGTCACAGGCAAAAGCCCTGTGAATTACCTGTGCATCAGATACAGGTAGCACGTACAACTTATTATTTGATACTTGCTGAGCGGCAGCCGCAGGAGGGAAGAAAGGAGAAATACAGCTGCCGGCGACACTGTTATGAAGTCCAAGGCTCATGATTTGTTCTTGTAGACATAATATATCTTTGTCTGCTTCAGTCTGGCTTGATGTAATGATTGATGCATACAAGAAGATAGCGTACCATTTGAGATTTCAAGGAAGGTGTGTTTCCATTTTAGGCGCTGCTTGGTTTTCGCAACATCGATGTGATTGACATGGACACCATTGATGTGTCCAACCTCAACAGGCAGTTTCTGTTCAGGTGGGTAACAGTCAGCAGGGTTCAGAATATTAGATGTTATAGGAGGCTGGGTCGCAGTGACCTAACGTGCTGGTGTTAGCTGCTGTGAGATACTCCCTTTACTCAGCCTGTGGAGATCTGGAATTGCTCTTCAGCAACCCTTGCTTGTCGTAAGAGGTGACTGACAAGATCGGGTTGTCAGAGATTGATGTTCATGATGTCAGTCACTGGATTGTCTGGTCCACTTAATTGTGTATGGACCATTATCATATGGCTGGAAAATTGCAGAGTGTGATGTCTGGAGTTGGTTTGAATAAAAATAGTGATAATAATTCTTGGATTGTCAGCACCATACCTGATATTTTGATAACCCAAATTTGTGAATGACAGTACCCTTTGGGCCACCTGCCCACATTCAACAGAACTACTGTGGTACAACTCTTCAGTGAGACACTAAACACAGCTCACTCACTCGTTTACATAGTAAGAAAAATGCCACACTGACAAAAGAATAAAGTCAGTATGGTATCTGTTACGTAGATCATGTTTGCAAAACAAAATAGTGTCATTTATCAAAATGTAAATGGTTTGTTTAAAACAAATTTGAAGAAATAAGTAAACATGAATCATTGAAAAGTTAGTCAGGACACCGGTTTTGTTACAAGACAACCTTGATTTACCATACCAATCACTGATGATAGTCTTCCATGACTGATAGTATTATATAACTGCTCAGATGCATAGTACTGTGATGATGATGATAGATGATGATGATGATTATATAACTGCTCAGATGTTTCTTTTTGAATGATGTTGATGGTTGATGATGATGATGATGATGATGATGATGATAGCAGCAATTGTGATGATGGGGTGGTGGTGATGATGATGATGATGATGATGATGATGAGCAGCAATTGTGATGATGGGGTGGTGGTGATGATGATGGTGATGGTGATGATGATGATGATGATGATGATGATGACAATGGTGATGATGATGATGATGGATGATGATGATGATGATGGTGACAATGGTGATGATGATGGGGTGGTGGTGGTGATGGGATGATGATGATGGTGACAATGGTAGATGGGGATGATGATGGTGATGATGACAATGGTAGTGATGGATGATGATGGTGATGATGATGATGACAATGGTAGTGATGGGGATGATGATGGTGCAGCATGATAGTGATGATGATGATGATGATGATGATGATGGGGATGATGATGATGGGGATGATGATGATGATGATGATGATGATGATGATGGGATGATGATGATGATGATGATGGTGACAATGGTAGTGATGGGGATGATGATGATGATGGTGGTGATGATGATGATGATGATGATGATGATGATGATGAGGTTTGATACAATGATGATGATGATGGTGGTGGTGAAGAAGACATCTGGAGTTTGTTACAATGGTTTCCAGGTGATGGAGAGCATTGAGTTGTAACTTGTAAATCTTTCATTACTGGATGTATTAAATCCACTGTTTATAAGTGTGTTTAGTCGTCTGATTTTGTCTTTCAGACCAAAGGATGTTGGGAAAGCTAAAGCTGAAGTAGCAGCTGATTTCATCAACAACAGAGTCCCAGGATGCAAAGTCAAAGCGTATCCTTCTCAAAGACCTATACCATGAGGACTCAAGGTCAGAGTAGATTCCCAGTACACCATTTCTGTTTCACGTCCCTTTCTGGATCCTGGAGTTGTAGCCATCCCCTGTCTGCACTTTTTAATCTGAGTGCCAATTTATGAATTTTTCCGTGGCACAGGTCCCTGTACACCCTAGAATCTAAAACAGAAATTGTGTGTGTTTGAATGTGTGACCTGATTTTTATTAGCCATCATATTATTATTATTATAGGATATTTATATAGCGCACATATCCAGGCAACTAGTGCATGCTCAAGGTGCTGGTACTTTTTTCCCTCGATCATTGGATGCCGAACTCAAAGGCACATATCCCACCCATTCTACTGGATTGGATCATCTCATGATTTCACACCGCTGGGTTTGAATGGTTAGAAGTGTTTGTTTAAAGGCTGCAGTGAGATGGCCGCAATATTGCTGACTTTCGAAAAAACACTTTCAGTAACTTTGGACTTGAGTGTTCTTCACGCAGCATGGAGCCCACTAACTTGGGCACCAGTAGCCCAGAAAATGGCTTCCAGGAATGGACAGCATTGTGATGGGTGACTACAGCAATTCAGTAGGGTGCCTTTTCTATGTCAACTGAGTATCACATGGTTCTGAGGTACAACTTGCATATTGCTGATTCGGCACAAACCCCCCTTTCAGTACGTCACTCAAGGTTCTGGAGATGGCATATTCAAGGGGATACCACCTATGGATTGTCTGCAGCCTCTGTGTTGGTTATGTAGATATCAACATTAGTATTGGGCACTAGAATGGTCTGTTGTTTCAAGTCTCAGGGAGTGTTCTTAGTTTCTGGAACCATTGGTCAAGGTCAAGAAGGAATGACAAAAGCAGATTATCATCTGCGTCACTCTGGGTAAGGGATGAGTGCAAGAGAAAAAATATGGTTCATGGACTGTGATCTTATTCATGATCTACACTGACAGTGTGGACTGACATGAAACTTGAGATTCCCCTTGAATTAAGAGAGGTTCAATTGTGATTTTTCTTAACACATCCAACAGACATTTTGCAAAGATTCAAGACTACGATGAGTCATTTTACAGAGGTAAGGAGAGTTCTCTGAGGTTGCCATGGTTACCATGAAAGCAGCTACCTGATTCCCAGTGAAAGGAATATCTTTATAAATATATATCAATATTACATAAAATGTCATTTGTGTATGTGTTATATGATTAAAAACATTGAATCTAGCTGGCCTTGGGTAAATTTCCTGACTGGGAGCCAAGTAGTTGTTCCTGGAACCACCCTTCCATATATGATTATCTGGTGTCTGCGAAAATGATTAAAGATTGTGTAAAACTTTGAACAATGGAGAGTGCCATTGCCATGATAGCACTCATAACAACTATATCATCACACGCAACTGAATATACAAGCAGTTTGAAGATAAGGAAGTAAATGAACCGTCTTAATTAGAAGTGTTTTTTACCTTGCTCGTGGTGAAGTGACATTGACTAAGTTTGGACATGTTGATGATGGATCAAAGGATTATTATGTTTTTTCACACTTAATTTGCGAAGAGTACAAATGTATACCTTATTCATTGTTGATGCGTGCCATATGGCATACCTAGAAGTATAAATTCAGTACTGCAGCCTCTTGGAAAGTGAAAACAAGTTCTGTTCTTGTTCCAGGTTTCCACATCATTGTGTGTGGCCTGGACTCCATCATTGCACGGCGCTGGATCAACGGCATGCTGGTACTTCATGGAAAATAGCCCTGCACTTTATAGCTCCATTGATTTACAGTCGTGTGGGGCGATGGGGTAGTCTAGTGGTTAAAGTGTTCGCTCATAACACCGAAGCCCCGGGTTGATTCCCCACATGGGTACAATGTGTGAAGCCCATTGCATCCTGCCGTGATATTGCTGGAATATTGCTCAAAGAGGCGTAAAACAAAACTCAAACACTATTGTCGTGTGTGCTTTAGCCTTATGTTTACATTTTTAACTTCCTCGTTGAAACTATGGAAGTGAAACTTTGTATGAATGATTCCTAAACACACAGTCTAACACAGACATCCTTAGTTCTTAGTTCTGTACTGAAAGTGTAAATGTCTAGGTAGCCCAGTGGTTAAAGCATTCACCCATCACCAGTTCACATGTTTGAATCTCCACTAATGTATAGTAAATGAAGATCATAGGCGGTGTTGCTGGTGTTAAGCCTAACTCAACCATTCTCTGCCAGTGTTTGCTGAGTTATGGTTCCCACTTTCAGAATTATCTGTTTTTGAAAGGACAAGTTGTCACAAGGACCCTTTTGGTCCTCAAGGTCACCATAATTTTGGAAGTGAAGGAATCTTTTACTGATCAAAATGAATGTTATTAGATGTTTGCAAATACATTTAAATGAGAATTAGAATCAACTCAGGCAACACCAAGCCTTTGACCCAAGATGACTTTAGTGATTTTCACAGAAGATGTGGACAATTACAGTACAAGCATGCTTCATAAATGACCTTGGGTTAAAGGCTTGCTCATGGTCAGACTCAGAAATATTATCCTTTTTCCATTCAAGATGTCAGTTTGTACACAGAGCATCATGATAGTGTCTTGAAGAACTTTTTCCAGTCACAGTTATAAATCTAACTAACAGTGGATATGGTTGGGTACAGGGTATTCATTGCCATGTACCATATTGACATTTAGAGGACTATTCCTGGGTTTGAATGTAGTTGCAATTCATTGTTCTCATTTGGAGACAAACAGACTATAACCATTCTATTGATCATGTTTCAAGACCAAACATGCAAGTGTGTGAACACTAAAAGGCCATTTGACAATTCTGTTAGTCATTACTTCACACTTCAACATTTCCAGTGGGCTGAAAACGTCCTTCTTCCTCCATGCAGTTTATAGGAAAACCACTTGATATTTGCTGAAATTGTATTATAAGGACACATTGTGTCTGGCTATCTGAAGCAGTATTGTAATGATTTGCTGATGTCTACAGGTAAGCTTGTTGAACTATGAGGATGGAGAGCTGGACCAATCTTCTATTATCCCAATGGTGGACGGAGGGACAGAAGGGTTCAAGGGGAATGCCCGTGTTGTTCTCCCAGGGATGACCGCTTGTATAGAGTGTACACTGGACTTGTATCCCCCTCAGGTGGGTTCATATATGTGGTGGGCGGTGGGGTAGCCTAGTGGTTAAAGCGTGAGCTTGCCACTCTGAAGACCTGGGTTCGATTCCCCTCATGGATGCAATGTTTGAAGGCCATTTCTGGTATCCCCCGCTGTGATATTGCTGGAATATTGCTAAAAGCAGAGTGAAACTAAACTCACTCACTCATTCATGTATGTGGTGGGGTAGGGAGGTAGTGGAATGTACCATGTGGGGTTGTGCAGTGCAGTTGCAGTGCAGTGCAGTGCAGTGTGCAGTTTGGTGCAGTTTGGTGTCTTGTTTATGTTATAATGCTGCGTTCAGTAGTATGCAAGCTATAAGACCGTGATCTGTAGCTAATCAAATCTGAACCAGACAACTGAGTGATAAACATCATGAACATTGATCTATATCATTGGAATGTGATAACATGTACTACCAAGCAAGTAAGCGAGTCTGATCATAATCCTGAAATCTTGTGATTCTCCAGGTAAACTTCCCCCTCTGCACAATAGCCCACACGCCGAGGCTGCCGGAGCACTGTATAGAGTATGTCAGGATCCTTCTGTGGCCCAAGGAACAGCCATTTGGAGGTGAGCAGAACCTCTGTGTACTGTACTCATCTCACCATTGTAAGACAGTCTCATACTTCATCTCTGTTACTGATGGAGTCTTGCTGATTTGTCATTGGATGGTGATTGGTGTTGTTGTTGTGTTACAGTTTTGTCACAGGAGCCTGTCAGTTATAGTATTGAGTTATTAAAGTAAAACATGGGGACGCACACTTTGTGAAAGTGACTGGTCATTCATTATAGGAGTAAAATGCTTGTGAGATATTTAAGGACTGGTAAAATATTATAGGGAACAGTGTTGTAATGAAAAAAATTAACTTGTATTTGGTGGCCATGAAAATAATTACATAAATTGGAGGGTTCAGCACATGATGACACAGTCCCATAGCCAGTCTCTCAGCCCTGTCAAATAATAAATTTTAAACTAACCCTGCACTACTTACTTCCTGCACTTATTGCTTACGACTCGAAACGTGGCTGTGCCAGACGATTGATGTTGAAAGCGTAGACTGTGATCACTTCCTGGTCTCGGGTAAACAGCCGTCTGCGCACGCATCACCGGAAGGTGACGTCAGCCACCTCAGATTATTGCTTTTCGCACGCCTCGCAAGACGTTTGGTTTGCCAGCTCGACTGTTTTGTATCCTATGAATTTGTGTTTATTGATAATAAACTGTCTTTTGGGTACTTTCCTTTGTTCTTCAGAGAGTGTAGGTATTACCTTTCTGTTTCGTTTTTCGTAGTACTGTTGTAGTGATGGTGTTTGTGATAAACACGGTAGTTTCATCACTATTATCGGTCACTTCGCCATTCAGAACACGTGGCTTCGATGTATTCGTAGTGGCTTGTTCTTGGCTCATGCTTATATGTTATACTTTCATCGTGATATATTATTATTAAGCCTTAATTCTGGTCTCCAGTTTATGTCAGTATTTTGTGAGACGTTGTTCTCATTTATGCTGTTCTCCCCCGTTACTATTATATTGTTTCACCGTGTGTTTTCCCATTACTACTGTAATGTTTTTCACCGTGTGTTTGCTGGGGTTTTCTGCTATGTTGCAGGTTCTATACGGCACACGCTGTATAGTTTGTAAGGCGGGGTATCTCATAAGTGCCCTCATTCACACTGTGTGAATTGCACTTTTCTGTGTTTTTCCCCGCTTTTCACACAAGTAATGTGCTAGTTGGGCGCTTTACTTAATTAATATAACACGCTTTTTTATTGAAAGCCCAGGTCCAACACCGACGCTGCCTGTGACAAGCATCCAGATACTTGCCACAACACTGATGTCCTCTAGCTCTAGGGCGCCTGGCGCCCGCCTCCTTTCTCAAGGTTGCTGTTTCCAGCGTGTCCTTGGCAGATGTCTTACTCCTGACGCCGAGATGCACGCGCCGCGACTCAGCAGTCACTGGATGTTTCGATCTCCCATTTGACATGACCTAGTTAGCAGGGCAGTCTGGTACAACAGCCTCTGCTGTTCATCACTGCAGGGCTTATACGGGCGCTTCTACCACATCGACTACGACCTCGGCGTTCTGCAGTCGGTGTTAGCGCCTCCGTCGCAACACCAACCTGTTCCAGCGTCGTTCCTGTCTTCAGGGAATGTATGATGCATCTGCCTGATCCAGCGCCTGTACGGAGCTTGTAAATCCATACTTACTCCCTCCAGCGCCCATATGGCGTTTCTACCAGATCCAGCGTTTGTATTACGCCTATAACCCATACTCCCTCCAGCGCCTGTCCGGCGTTTCTACCAGATTCAGCGCTTGTATGGCATTTATAACACCATACTCACTTGCTCACTCCAGCGCCTGTCCAGCGCTTTCTACCTAAAACAATCCTCAGATCCAGTGCCTCTACGGCATTTCTACCAGATCCATCATACCATCCTCACTCACTCAAACGCCTGTCCGTTTTTATACCAGATACAGCGTTCTACCAGATCCAGCCTGTACGGGCGGCTCTACTTGATCTAGCTTCTATAACATCATAGTGAGTGGCCTATAAAATCATACTCACTCCTCCAGCCTATACCAGATTGAGTATCTATATGAAGTAACATACGCGCCAGCTTCCACATCTTCAATAGTTCGGCAGCTGTTGGTTGCGCCACTGTCTCAGCTGACCTCTACGCCGGCAGACGGACACATCTTGCCCTCAAGACTTCAACTAATATGGTACCTATCCCGGCGCATGCCTACACACTCCCTTGTCTTGAATTCATCAATAGGGCAGCCCAGGTGGATGAGGAAATTAAGCGCGTGACAGTGTTTCTTCTTACAAGGCACGAGGCTCAAGGGATGACGGCCCTTGATTTGGAATCCACACGGATGCTCCTTCCTATCTCAACTTCTCTTCAGCTATTAACACTGTCTCTCAAGACCTGACAGAGTGGAATCCGTACAGGATCGTCACCTTTCTTCTATATGCATGAAGGCTTGGCAGTGGATTGTCCTCACTATCCTTGGCGAACACTTACAGGCAGTTCTCGCCAACGCAGGTGTTATTTGAGGTCAAGGATTTTCCGGCTAGGATTCAAAGCTTCTGAGGAATCTATTTCACCAATCCTAGTCCTCGACTGCCATCTTTAATAACGAGTTCAAGGACGTCTATCAAACAGTGTGTGACTTTACTCACAGGGAGATAGCGTTGACGTCCTTCAAGCAAGTCAAACATCCCTCATCACATGAATCCATGCCAGTACCTACTATAGCCTCGACGCCACACTGTTAGGTGGGCTTGGAATCAGGCGCCTGTGCGTGGTAGGAGACGTGGTGACAAGTCTCACATCAACAAGAGAGGATATGAACGTAGCTGCGTCCCCTTCAAGGGTGACGGAAGCTGTGGCAAAAAAAACAACAACAAAAAACAACAACAAAAGTTCAAGATCCACATGACTGGACACTCCCTCATCCACTAGGCCCTTGTATTATCCAAACACTTGTACATTGGTGACGAGTGCGTTCTGACGTAATTGGTTATTTCTTGGGTGTCCATACGTCACAACATACGGACACATGGGTTCCGGCTCTTCATAGCTGCCTCTACGATGTTCCGGGTTCCAAGGTTTACCTTCGACCGGGAGTACCTGCTTAGCGCAGCAACAGTGATAATTTGCTGATTTCACATGGGCTGTCCGCCATATTGCGTACTTTGCATGTGTCCACCCGGGAATGACAGGCGGATGTTTCAACGCGGTCGGCCTCCTGCCTCACTTACTCTCAGTTTTTTTTTCCTTTTAGTGGACTCGCCCTTAGATGTCATAGGTGGAGTCACCTTGACTGAGCGAAGTTCAACTACATACGCTTTTTAGTCGGCGCCTCCATGCAGAATTGAGGCTCCCATGCGCTTACTAGATCTGATAACCTCAGGTTTTCGGCCGTGAGATCAATAAGCAGTTTGGAGCTCAAGGCAGTGTTCCTCGCCATCCGTCACTGGGCGCTACAGCACACGGGCAACACGATTGTTGTGGAGCTTAACGAGTTTGACTGGTTACTGTTTCCAGACGCTCCGCCTGTTTCCAGTAATAGCTGACACCCATATCCATCTGAGCACTCAGCATATTCCTGGGTGCGGGTACATCTTAGCGGACGCTATATTGGGATCTGACAGAGTCGCTTTCATAGAATGAATGCTACACAAAGAGCTACCGGCTTATGTGTCTCCGTCTCCGAATGGTCAGCCTGGGCAGTGGGTGGCTTCAGTCTTTCCTGGGGCTTACACGAAAATACGCTTCCTCCGGGTCTTGTTTCCAAATGTTTTAGTCACAGTCAAGACTTAAAAACTTGACTTCGACTAAATTTAGTTGGTCCAAGATGACCAACCAGAGGTTGGTTTCAAGCGTCAAGAGCTCCTCTTCAACTAGCCAGATGTGGAAACATCCCAGTGCATCCTCATCCCACTCCAGAACGGTTCAATTAACACACTGCATCTTCAGGCGGCATTCTGCGCCAATTGCTTTTCAGCCAGAGCATTGTTACTGCTTTGCTAATGAACATTGGACTTCCATTAGGCACATGTATAACAAGGCAGTCGCTCGAAAGCAGTTGTGTTGCCGCCAAGCAGGATCCGCTGAATGTATCCCCCTGTTTTAGCAGTCTCCTGCTGTATTTGTACAGGGAAGGCGCTTCAAGAGGGGCATGGCTGCCACTTCTGTTAGTGGCAATTCCCTTCGCTTTGGCAGTCCCCATTGACAGGAGCTACCGTCCATGCTTCGCTTGTTTAGCTATGTGTACCCAGGCTGCAGTTTTGACCACCCGCCAGGAATCTCAACACGGTCTTGGACCGCCTCCGTTGTGTCTTGCAAGCCACTCAACGAACACTTCCCTTGCAGACTTGCACAGCGATAGCTTACAAGGGTCATGCGCTTGGTGTTAATTGGGTCAAGTTTGAACGACACCGTCATGGTTCTGTGCCTCTGGGTATTTGATTGGGATTTCATCACTATAACCCATGGCAGTTGCCAGCGCGAAATGATCGATAGTTCTCTCTTTCGCCTTTATCGTCTGTTGTCGGCGTTGATGACGTTCCTGTGTTACTTTTGTGTTCAGCTGATGTACTCGGTTTGTACATTAAGCGAACCCAAGCCATCAGAGACATGTAAGCAAAACCATGAGTGTTTTGTGGATACGGACTACCATTATTCTTGCGTATAATGTGGCTGGTTTGGTTCCCCCTACATCTACGCCATCCTCATGTACTTCGTACACTTGCCTGGACTATGGCACTTCACAGTAACAGTACAGTGGCATTGATGATGCATGAGTGTTTCTAGACGTCGGACACAGTCTTCGCCAATCAGTATCCACACCACATGTGTCCAACGCTTCGGACCATTGGTGCCAGACCAGCACCTCACCAATCCCCGACGGATATCACCTCATTGTTGTTCGCCACGAAGCACGACGATGTCATGTGGGGAATGAGTTGTTTTGAGAAAACAACTGGGTATGTCAGTTAAGGAGTCACACTTGAATAGATTCAAGTCCATGCTTTTTACTGCATTCCCTAAAGCTAATAACGCTTTAAAACCGTGTGGTCTCTTTTCCATTTAAGCGTTCATGGCTTACATGCGAATTGCCACTGAGATATAATCCCTCTCTTCCGACCATTCTTCCAGATTCCACGAAGGTGCCTTCCTTCATGATATTTCTTCCCACGAAGCACGATGACGCCGTGTGGGAAAAGAGTTGTTCCGAGGGAAACAACTGGGTATGTCAGTTAAGGAGTAACACTTGGAAAAACTCAAGTCAATACTTTTTACTGCATTTCCCTAAAGCTAATAATGCTTTAAAAATCGTGTGGCCTTTCCCATTTAAGCGTGCATGGCTTATATGCGAATGACCACTGAGATGTAATCCCTCTCTGTCGACCAGTCTTCCAGATCCCACGATCGAAGGAGTCTTCGTTCATGAGTCACTGCTTTTTACTACATATCCCTAAAGCTAATAACGCTTTAAAAATCGTCTGGTATATTCCATTTAAGACTACGTGTCTTATATGCTTATTACCACTGCCTGATCGTCACTCGCTGTCCGATCTAGGTGCGACGACGGTTTTCCACCACCGAGGCGCACTTGATAACATTGACCGAGCTGTCTTTGTTTACCTTGCGAGGCGATCCCCACAGATGACACGCCCTCCATCCTGCCTGTCGGATAAATGTGCAGGAAGTAAGTAGTGCAGGATTAGTTAAAAATTTAGTAAAATCTAAATATTTTTTATATTTGTATACTTATCCTGCACTACTTATGATATGGGCCCACACTGCACTTTCAGCTACCTCCCCTCTTTGTTTTCATCTGTGGGATTTACGGCAATAATCAGAGGTGGCTGACGTCACCTTCCGGTGATGCGTGCGCAGACGGTTGTTTACCCGAGACCAGGAAATGATCACAGTCTACGCTTTCAACATCAATTGTCTGGCACAGCCACGTTTCGAGTCGTAAGCAATAAGTGCAGGAAGTAAGTAGTGCAGGATAAGTATACAAATATAAAAAATATTTAGATTTTACTAAAACTCAATGTATCAGGGAAATGCATGTGGATATTCTATATATCCTATAACCTTGCAGTGGTATTTGTGCATCTGGTAAATACTGTTGATGGAACCTGATTGTTGTTTCAGAGGGTATAGTTATAGATGGAGACGACCCAAAACACATCAACTGGATCCTTGATAAGTCCCAGGAGAGAGCTAATGAATACAGGATATTAGGTGTAACGTACAGACTCACTCAGGGTGAGTGATATATCATGCCTATTGTACAGATTGGGTTGTGGGTATTTATCATAATGGAGTAGTATAGGAAAAAGTGAGAAAAAGACGTATAGGTACACCTTGCTTAGAAGCTTGCATACGGGCTAATTCTGCTACCAGCCTAGAAAAAATGAGTGTTTGCCCAAAAACTTCGACAAGACCACTTTTTGTCTCTCCCAAAGCAAGTGCACTCCCAATTAGAACTATGTGGGTGCATGGATATAGAAACATGCCAGGAGCCAAGCTCTCGCGCGAAGCTTATACCGAGATCCGATCGGGTCGTTTGTCCCTTCGGGAAGCGAAGAGGAAGTACCACATATCGCAAGCCCGATACACGCGAATCCGAGGTGGTATAGACCCCGAGCCCCAGACGCCGAAAGTACTCCCCGACATATCCGAAGACTTTGAGGCCCTGCTGCAGAAGTGTCGCCTCTATGTTGCTTTCCTCCGACCGAGAGAAACAAATCCTGGAGCAATCGGGGCACACCTCACGAAGCGCTACCAGATCCCTCGTCAGTTTCTCGAACTCTATTTGCTGTGTTTTCGCCCACTAGTCGAAGCCGGCAAAATAGTTGATTTCATCTACATCTACCCACCCCACCAATTTCGACCCTCGGCGGGCAAACTCCGAATCATTCTCGCCGACGACTGCTATCCGGGACCTAAGGACAAACACAACCGATGCACCGACTGCCTCGCCGCTCTATCAGGAGTGCCTGCTCTCTTCGCACCCGACAACTCTACGTGCAAGTGTGGTGCCATCGACCACTGCGTCGACAGCAAGAAAGGTAGGATCAACCTTTGGGCCGATTCCACCATCTGCCCTACCTTCTGTATATGGAAATGGGTCTCTTCTTGTTCCTCCTCCTCTATTTCCTCGTCCTCGTTGCCGTCGTTGATGTCCAGCCTAGACAAGACGTCGACCAACATATTCGTGGTTTGCCTCGCACGAGTCTCGATGTTCCCCAGGCGGTTGTAGAAGTCCTGGATGGTTGGCAACATACTATCGGGTATTGCTACTTTCAATCTATCCCGAGTCACCTTTTGTGGTAATAGTTCGGTGACCGGCAACGATACTTCGGGGGGTACTTCTTCTTCGACTGGCGGCGGTGGTATGGTTTCCTCGATCGGATCTCGCCATATGTCGTAGAGTCTTGTGGACCCAATACCGAAGCGCTTTTTGACCTCGCTTGCTTCTGGTAGCAGAATTAGCCCGTATGCAAGCTTCTAAGCAAGGTGTACCTATACGTCTTTTTCTCACTATTCCCTATACTACTTAATGGAATGAAGATATAATAATAATATTAATATTGGATATTTGTATAGCGCACATATCCAGGCAACTAGTGCATGCTCAAGGCGCTGGTATTTTTCCCCTCCATCACTGGATGTCAATCTCAACAGCACATCTTTTTATCAATCTCAACTCCCTGGGAACATGCAACTCTTGCAGCCACTAGGCGCACTGAGTTATTGCCGCTTTCCCATCCTTGCGAAGTACCCATTCACGGCTGGGTGGACTGGGACACATAGTCACAGTACTTTGTCCAAGTTTACTGCATGTTGCTGTACCCGCAACTAGGTGTTTGCACGTATTCATGTGGCCACCATCTGGTCATATACCAACGGATTCGTGGGTTCTTTTAAGTGCACAAGGTTGTGTATTGTACACTAGGGGTTGTGACAACACTGACAGAGTCTGCACACAAAGTTGACTCCAAGGTTTTTACACCCGGTCACAGGTGGGCTCAATCCCTGCACCTTACGCTCGTTGGATCATTAGCCTGGCGCCTTAGACAGCTCGCCCACCACGCCCCAGATATGATACGTGTAATAATAGTTGATGCATGTGTTGGGACAACATACTGTGGGCATTGTATTGTTCACAATTCTTGCATTCTTCCTTCTGTGCAGGTGTTGTGAAGAGAATCATCCCAGCTGTGGCATCAACTAATGCAGTCATAGCAGGTATGACACACACAATGGAGCTTTCAGAGAACCATTCAGGGAAATATGTCATATTATTTGTGGTAATGAAAGTATTAGAGAGGCAAGATTTTGTCAATATCAATATATGAGAACATGCATATTATAGCAGTATTCCTGGCATGGTGCCTGACTTCAGGAATCACATAATACAAGGTTGTTCCCCATTGCTTCTCACTACATATCCTTTGTCACTTGTGGTTGCCCACTGTGACCTTGACCAGTTACTTTAAAACCACTTTATCTTCATTTTTTTGTGGATTTCTTTACATATGTACAACTGTACGCTTCTGACCTTGACCCTTACCTTGCGCTAATGATTGCAGGTGATTTCAATGTTAAAACCAAACTCCGTGATTGAGTGAAGGAAGGCATTCAGTAGAAATCAGGGTCCACAACAATATGCCCTTTGAATGATTTTGAAATGACTGTTTTTACTGATTCCAGCGGCCTGTGCTACAGAGGTGTTCAAGGTGGCAACAAGGTAAGGGGCTTTCTAGCTGATGTTTTCATGTTTGTGAAGTTATTACTGGGAGGTCGGTGCTTTGATCCAAGGCCTGTGTCATACCAAGACATTAAAAGACAATACTTGTTATTACCCTGCCTCGGTCAGCATTAAGGGATAAAACATAGACTGGTTGGCTCAAAGTCAGCATAATGTGTCCGAGTGGCGTATTCATTCATGGTATCCCAGTAAGCAAGTGCTATAAAAGGGCATACATCCAGACAAGTACACACATTTGCTATGAACATACCCTTGAAGTTCTGGGCTAGAATTGGTCTTCAGCAACCCTTGCTTGTTGTAAGAGGCAACAAACAGGGTCACCGACTTGGTTGACACATGTCATCGTATCCCAATTGTGTAGATCGATGCTCATGATGTTGATCACTGTATTGTCTGTACATGCTTTGATCTTGATCCTAAATTCCATGCCATGTCACCTCACATTTTTCATACTGCTAAACTGCATCTGTCATGTCATGTCCTGACCATTCTGGGAGGACTGTATACTACTCAAAATATAGTTTAGACCACTTGTCTTTCTTGTTACTTTAAATTAAAACAGACACTGACTATTCATGAAAATCACACCCGTCAAGAGTAACTTAACACAGACGTTAGAAAGGAATGTATTGAAAATCATTTTCTGAGAGTAGGAGGACAACCTAGTAATTACTTTGCTGTGGTTTCATGAAGCTTTGTGTATTTGCCTCACGTGGAACATATTTGTTCCAGCTGTTCACATCCTCTCAACAACTACATGAACTTCAACGACACAGAAGGCGTGTACACATTCACATTCGAGGCACAGAAGAGGGTAAGTTTTCCTTGACATACATGTCTGTATATGCCTCACTGAAATGAATAAAAATATTTTAAAAAAAGGAAAGTTTTCCTTGTTAATCAAGACACAATATGTATCAATGGTAGGTACTGTGTGACAGTGTATGACATCCGTAGTGTATGTGTGACAGTGACATGTGTATCATATGTATGACATGTAACAATGACATCTGGAGCGTAAGTACGACATGTCTGACTTGCGTGACTTGACTGATTGGTTTCACCAATATGCCCAAACGAATTTCATGGAGCAATTTGAACAGCCACGATTGTGTGTTTTATTGAAGACAGGTAACAATAATGCTTCCTGTTTATGAATATACAGTGTCTCCCCAGGCTGTTTATCGTTACAGTATGCAGTGGTTTCTGTCAGTTGCTTCCAAAGAAAGTTGGTTCAGGATATTGATGACTGTGCTGCTTCCAGAAAGCAATTTTGATATTGTTAGTACACAGCTACCAGCTGAAGATCTAATTCGATTCCCCATATGGGTACAATGTGTGAAGCCCATTTGTATTGTCCTAGCTGAAGATCTAATTTCGATTCCCCAAAGGGGTACAATGTGTGAAGCCCATTGTGTTGTCCTAGGTTATTGCTGGAATATTGTTAAAAGCGACATGAAACTAAACTCACCCACTCGTCACTCTGAGTATTGGATATGATATCTAGCATCCTGTTGCATCAAACTGACTCCTTCCCTTCTCTATCAGGATGACTGTATGGGCTGCAGCCAGATCCCTCAAGCCCTGTCCTTCTCCGAGAACGACAAGCTGCAGGACGTCATCACACACCTCATTGAGAGTAATACATAGTGAGTACTTTTCAAGAATAATGTGGATAAGATGACCAGATTAAGAGTTTGGTTTGTAAGTCACATAAGTTTGAAATATGTGAGAATACTGATTATATTTACCTGTGTCACTGTACACATTGAACAAAGCAGACTAGCAATCAGACTAGCGGACCGGTTTTAGATTTCAGTCACATCAGTCTATTGTCTTCCATCATGAATGCTGGGAACTTTGTCTGATTCCAACATAAAATCTAGAGTTTATTCAGGGATCAACACAGGTTTTCAAAGATGAAAGTTTCAGATCCTTGTTTATGTTATTATTAGTAATTCATTATTCAATTAATTCAGTATTGGAAGGCTTGAAGAGTCTTCTTAAAGGTTTCCCATATAAAAAACTGTGGCATTATCTGACTGTAGGCTGGCTCCAGAAACAGTGCAGGTCAGAACAGGTACAAGCGGCCATCTTCGTCCATGTTGCTATAGTATGTCGTGATACAGGTCTCTAGGTATCATGTATAATTTCAAGCTCATGTGTTCAGGTGCATGTAGGCCATTGATGGGTGATTACTATTCTGTGCCATGGTACATATTGTATCATAATCTTCTGTATCATTCAGTCCCGTAACCCACTGTTTATGTACCATTATTAATTTGCAAGCTGTTTTGCTACACACAGATTGAATGGTTGTTTGTTTTTCACAGTCAGATGAAATCCCCTGGTATCACAACCTGTGTAGATGGTAAAAACAAAACTCTGTACATGCAGACTGTGAAATCTATAGAAGCAAAAACAAAAGAAAATTTAAAGAAAACTCTTAAAGGTGAGTAATATCATGTAACATATATGCTGGTTTAGAAAGTATCCTTTGTCAGGGATATAAGTGATGATACCAAACATCTCCAAATTGAGGGTTAATCGAACTGACTAGATTTGTGGATTCTTTGAGATTTGTCTGAATTTGATCACTGCTGTCACACAAACCATGCAGGTCTTGAACATTTCCAGGATATCTTGGAATTATTTTCTCAAACATTGTGTAGTGTTAAGGTCAAGGTCACCCTCGAGGCCAGAGCCTGACAAAAAGAGCCTATGTGTAAGATCAAGATCATTCTTGAAGTATGTTTACAATTTTCACTATAATGAGACTTTCTGCAGACTATTTTGAAGTCTCTTTACATGTAGTGGGTAATGTATTTGACTGATCATGTGTAAAGCAGTACGAAAATGAAGTCATTGTTTGCCTTACCCTGTCTTTGTGTTTGGTGCAGCTGGTGGGGTAAAATATTGTCAGCTTTTTGCAAACACCTGTTATCATCACTATGTGACACTGATTTCTGTCATCTAATGATATAGTCAGAATCATATCTGTTTTTAACAGATTATTGTTTGATCATGGAGATAGTGGTTTCTGACTGTTTGGTGTGTTGCTTCAGATCTAGGACTACGTAATGGCCAGGAGATCTACGTAGCTGATGTCACCACGCCCACCTCCGTCACCTTCAGACTCCAGTTGGGGACCAGTATGGATGACAGCTAGACAGTCATGTGTGGAAGGAATTGAAATAATATTGAACTGACTACATGCCCGGACACAAAGATCAGGGATGAGAAATTTCTGCGGATTTGATCACGCTGGGGTCATACTTGTGAATCGTCTAAACCTGCAGCCCCCAAGACCCCCGGCTCATTTTCCTGCTTTTTCACTCATGCCCATTCTCATCCCTGAAAGATTGGATCTTTCAATGCATCAACAAGTGCTATTTCCATTTCAACACTGAAGTTCTTTAAGAGAGCAGATTAGGAGAAGTGTTGTGGACAGAGCATGCTGACTATCAGTACCACCCCCTGTGCACATGCCTCCAATCCAAACATTCACGGGTCTCTCCACTACCAGGTTCACCCAGCTTTGAAAAGGTCTTAAATTTGAAACTCTGGCCATGAAAATGCCGTAAATTTGACAGTCTGGCCACCAAAAGGACTAAGATTACCAACTGGGTTATTTGCAGATGACTTTCAATTTGATTTTCAGGACATGAAATCGGCCCAATTTGAAATTCTGGTGAAAAAGAAGGCCTTCAGTTTGACATTTTGACCATGAAAAAGCCTTAACTTTGAAAGTGTCTTGAAACAGGTTTGACCTTAAAGAAATGCATTGATTTGTCAAGGAAGGTTAGTTTACAGTTGAAACGTTTTGCAGTCACAGTTGTATGTAGATATTATGAAGCTAAAGATTGGTTGGTAAATCACTGGATAAATAATTTTTCGTATAGACTTAAAACATGATAGTCATGGGTAGGCGCCATTGGTCATTTCCAACCATTCCACAACTCATTTTTGACTTGTAGCTACAGAAAATCAGTAATTTTGGAGAATAGTTCTTCAAAGGTTTGGATGAACAGATTATTGGCCTTGTCTATACCCTGATCGTGTATAAGAATTTACAGTGAGATCTATTCTGACAGCAAAAACCCTAAGATTATCCAAGTAATCTGCTTGAAAGCAGACCTTTTCGCCTTAAAAGTGTGATCATTGCCTTTTAAAACCCAAAAAGTTTTTTGAATTGAAGGCTAATGTTTTCAATGAACCATGTGCTAGGCTGCGGAGGTAACCCAGCAACAGCCTGATGTCACAGGGCATTGTTTTGCTACTATATTTGGTGAGACAGTTTCAGAAATTACATAATAACGTATTGAGACATACTGGTAAAGTTTGTGGTGCTGCAGGGTCCCGATCCACAAACCGTTTGTAGCGCTACAACTTTCGTAAGCCTATGATAAACTATAGAGTTATGATGGCTTTGTGGATCTATGGCTTTGTGGATCTGGACCTAGACTTGTAGAGGTAGGCCTGGAGGTTACCTAAGATTTGTGTTTGATCACCATTTTCTACTTGAGTAGAAATAGACAAAGATGACCAAGTCACGTGACTGTCAGTTTCTGTTCTTTTGAAATTTTAGGGTGTCTTCATACTCTGCAACACGGATCAGATCGTTGCCCTGTATCAGTTTCTGGATTTTCTGGCCCGGCTGGAATTTTTACAAGCCATCATTGTGTAGCTAGAATGTCAAAATGTGTCGTTAAACGAACAACTGTTCCCTTAAATTAGTATTCCCAACTTATTGATCCATGAGTGTTGTTTTTGTCTTGGATTACTGAAGGAATATTTGTTTACAATATAATATTTGTCTGCAAGAAGTGAAATGAATAATTTGTTAGTCGAAACTGGACAGCAGTACCTCTGTCCCTACTAAGCATTGTATGACAGCATTTGGTGCTGCAAGGAGTTCTTCTTACAAAGACCGAAGACTGGTTCTGGATTACTTTGAGCTGCATCATCTTTTTATGTAAAGACAAGATTCTTTTCCCCCACACCTTTTACTATACATATCATTCATAAAGTTTCTCAATTGCATTTGTTAATAACTGCTCCAGCTAAACTATATTACTGTGAAACTAAATGAATAATCTGATTGCATAGTATGATTAGAAAATCCTAAAATGTTAAACCCAGGAAAAGATTTCTGATAGAAAAGGTCTAGTACTTGGTGTAAAAATACTAATTAAACTGCACCCAAAAGGTGTAAAACGTTACTCAGTACCAGAAAACGTAAATGATGTGTGAGTAAATGCTCAACTCAAAAAGAATTGATGGTCACTACAAAGTGCTGAGCTGATTGTAACTCTGATACTGTGAAGCTGACTGTAATCGTTAGGGATGGAATCGATACGTATCAGGATACCCATGTCATTATTGAGTAAATTTAGTTACATTCATATTTAATAATTGCCCATGAAACATTTTTTTATTCTCAGAGATTATAAAAGTCTAATTTCCCATTTTTGTGCATGAAAAATAATCATTTATAACTCTCATAACATCAAAAAACATGATACAATTGCAAAATGTAAACGATACATAAACATATTTAAACCGATACTTTCAAAACTAAATATCGATACACTTTGAATGTATCGATAATTGTATGTTTTAGAAAAAGTGTGGATGTATTGATGTATCGTGGCATCCATAGTAATCGTGCTGAGATCAGCTGACACCTGACTGAGGGAGGGAGGCAGCCATCCTCTGTATCTTCAGGGCTTGCATGTAGTGTGTCTTACACTGCAGTATCCATTAAGATTTCCAGTAGCATTAAACCGGCATGTTTGTTGTACATTTCCAGTGAAATATATGTGTATGAATTGTATTTCAAAAGTAAATATTTATAGAAAATGCCTGGATTGTCATGTACTTGATGAAATGTTCCAAGCCTGCTGTATGGACTCCTTTAGAAGACTGTCATACATAAACGATGTTATTCAGTGTTATCAGTGATACAAATGTGAAGTCTGCTGATAGGCTGCAGTGCAAGATACCTTGAGTAATTAACATTGGAATTCCATGAAACTTTATTCACGTGACTAAATCTCCAAGATTCAAGGTAGGAACTTTGGGTGACCTAATAACGTCAGGTCATTAAAGTGAGTTAGTGGGTTTAATTTTATGCAGCTTTAAGCAATATTCCAGCAATATCATGGCTTCACACATTGTACCATTGTGGAGAATGGAGCCCGGGTCTTCTGCGTGACGAGCGAACGCTTTAACCACTGGGCTACCCCAGTGTCAGTTAGGTCACTAGAAGTCAAGAGGCGGTGAGGTAGCTAAGTATTTGATCAATATGCAGACACCCAGGTTTTGATGACCAGCCTGTACTAGGTAGATGCCCATTCTGGTGCTCCATTATGTTACTGGAATGATGCTAAAACCAGCTCAAAAAACCAAAGTGGAAACACATGGAGTTTTCCACCCCAGACTCAGTTTGTAAAACACCAGGGCCCGTTCCACAAAGCGACCGTAGCAGTACGACTATCGTAAGTCTATGTGGGACGGGGCCCTGGCTTCCAGACAGCAACACAACAGGATAGGGCAAATACCCCCTGAAACTCATCATTTGTTAAATAGTTTATTCTGTATAATATTTTCAAGATATCTTCAAACAAGAAATCTTCAGCTGCCTCTCCTGTCTCGTTACTGTCATGTAGTCGTTACCACAGGGGCTTGTCGCAAAAAACTGACATCAGGGTGTTGACAAAAATATACCTTGATGGAGACAAGGTGTAGACAATATATACCTTGATACCCTGATGCCATTTTTTGCGTTACAAGCCCCTGTGGTCCTTATTACATCTAAGAAAGGAAGAAAAACAGACTTGTCGTTGTTTTTTTTGTTTGGACTCAGTCAAGAAAAGAATGGCATGTGCCAAAAGCAAGCGTCTGAATGGGGGCCAAAATGAAGCCCTGAAACAGTTCTCCGAATAGGACAGAAATATGCTTGGATGGTTAGCCTAAAGGCTTTTTACTTTTTAATACAAATGTGACCCGTGATGGTCCGGGTTAGAATATTGGCCTTCAGTAACCCATGCTTGTCGTAAGAGGTGACTAACGGGATCGGGTGGTCAGGCACGCTGACTTGGTTGACACATGTCATCGTATCCCACTTGCGTAGATCGATACTCATGCTGTTGATAACTGGATTGTTTGGTCCAGACTCGATTATTTATTACTGAATGCGGCGTAAAACTAAACTCACTCAATCACTCATGTTGTCAATCATTGGATTGTGTGGTCCTAACTCAATTTTCAACAGACGGCGTTAGACAACTATAGACCGACAAGATAAGATATGTATCACATGAGCCACTTTATTATTAGCTTCAAGTATACAATCACTACACACTACTACAAAGAACATTTATAAAATTATCGTATTTACACAATGCTCATATATGCTTGTCTTACATTCATTAGATATGCTATATATAGAGCGCTACTGAGCAGGACCTTTGGACTGGAATTGGCGCCATATAAATGTTTTCATCATGATGATGATGAGATATGCATAAATAACATTTTAAATAAAAAGAGTTCATATAAACAACTACAATAATGGAAAACAAGGATTCCCAAAATTCTAACACTTCCAGTCAATCATGTTTTCTTCATCTCCTGTTTCTCTCGGCCTGTTGCTTTTTTCTTTTTGTTCCTGCTTTCAGCATATGTTTTTGATAAATGTGTATCATGCGCAGTTCTCTGCATCATAAACTGGCTCTCTGCAGTCTACTTCACCACTGCCTCCCTCTTCGCCGCCCGCTCTTCCTCCAGCTTCTTCAGTTTCTCCTCCCTCATCTGGAGCTGATGTTCCGCCCTCATTTTCTTCAGGAACTGGCGACGTTTCTTTTCGTCCTTGACAGCTTTGTGCTTGATTTCTCTGTCCAGTTGTTTCCTCTGGACTTGCTCCACAAACCTGCATGACAATACACATGCAGTGGGGAATTAGATTAACATAAACTCAACACTAAGGCCTCTGGACTTGCTGGAGAAACCTGAATCAAAATAAACATGATATATAAAACTAGATCAACATTTTACACTTTTTGAAGACTCCTCTTTCAAATTGTACCTGTCCAGCCGAAATAGATCAGCCTTCTGTCTCCTCCTCTCCGCCGTATAGAAGCATCGCACTGGGATTTGCTCCAGACGTCTGGGAGCTTTGCCACGGGGAACAACCTCCTCCACGGCGGGGACAGAGAAGGCCACTCCCCCGCTGGACTGACGGTCGGGGACCAAGCCCTCATCTCGAAGCTGTTGGAGAATCTCCGCCCCTGACAGGCGGGGTGTGGGCCGTGTCACCTGACACTTGGCGTAGTACAGCTTGTGAGGGCAGTTGATCTTGCCCGTCAGAGCCTCCTCAGCAGATGTCTGTTTGAAAGGTATAACCTTGGTCTGTCTGCAGCCCATTTTAGAGAGATATTTGGCATCCGTATACAAACCCAACCTGTCTCCTCGAAATATGGCCGAGACAATGACGTGACGACACAATAACATGACGTCATAATGTAGTGACGTCAGTGACTGCCATTCCCACTATTAGCTGGGTCCCGTCTCTCATATCGCAATATAGATCTATACGCAAACTGACGACGTACAAAGGGATCTGGGAATCAGTATAATTTCTACTCGGAACACAATCAGCCATTGGAATTACAGGTTACAGAAAGAGGGGGGCGAGGTTTGCCAGAAGGCAGATGTACCCATAAAAGATGACTAAGGGATATCCAAACACACAGTTGCCGTTAACAAGCATTCATTGTGTAGGATCTCAGGACCACTTATAGCATATCACCCGTGATTAAAGATAGCTATTGACTATTGACACAAACGACGTCAAAACAGGGTTGAAGCGTAGTATATTTCACGCAGGTGTTCGCCACCAGTGTCACGTGATGTAATGATTACCAGCAGAACCAATCAGGACTCACTTCCGTTGCACGAGTTTCTCGAGTGCGTTGAATGAAAGCAAAGGTGGCCATTATTCTGAGTTTTAGATGTCTGTCAAATCCTTCTTTACAAAAAAAAAATGTCAAATCCACACAAACAGGTGAGAATAAAATCAAACTGGCATTAATATGAGATCAGTAATATGAACGATTTAACCGCTTATATTGAACTTTCCTTTGGAAATGTTCACCTGTGATTTGCCCTGGGAAGCCTTTTCCAAACGGAAATGTTTTTATCTGATTTGTTCCCTTCTTAGATTTTGAATGAAATGTTGTAGTTACCAGTACAGTATGTGCGGGAATAGGCTGTTAAACACTATGTGTGTGAAGATGAAATTAATGTGTAACACACTAGGAAATTCCCCATTTCTAACATTTACATTGTATTGGTGGGTGACTTTAGTTTCATTATAACGCCGCCTTCAACCGTATCTCAGGGTTAAGTGGGTGAATTTGTAGCTCCATGGTAAAGCCTAGGGTACTTTGTTAGTTTTACACGTGGAGGAGTGTTCGAAACCATGGTGAATTCAACGAACATTCAACGTTACTGTTGTTCGTTAGTATATCTACCACTTGCAAGACGTTAAAGACCCGATTTGTCACATAAATACATTTATCTGCAATGAGATCTTCATTAACTCGACTTTAGTTCTTTGACTATAATATTATAGCTATCGCGAGAGAATCTTTCCCACAAATGGTTTAAAACTGGCAGTACCTTATCTCTATTTTACAGTTATGGGGGCTTCGGTGTAATGTAAATAAGTCATTGCAAAATTACGCTATATACCTAGACAACCAAGGTACCCTACAACTGTCCGTGGTCATTGTAGTCAAAAGGGCCAATATTATATTAATATTTATTATTATTATTTATATTTGTATCAATATGTAAATAGTAACAAAAGTAAGAATTTTTAGTGTGATCATCATACACTCGACAGTTGAGTGGTTCAAATGTTCAAATGGTGGTTCAAGTGGTTCAAATGTTCACAATTCACTAATCTTTAGAGTTCACCGCAGACATCGTCACTAGACACATCATCATACACATTCCACTGACGTGGTAGGGCCATAGATTCGTGAGCACCGAGGCACTCTGATGTATTTAGGATGTTTAGGATTAGAGCTACTGCAACAACATGTAATGAATTTCTTTTAATCTTACTATTTTCTAAAAGTTTGGCCCTTTTGACTTAAGTCTATGGCCCTTTTGACTTTCTGTTGGCCCTTTTGACTTTCTGTTGGCCCTTTTGACTTTCCTTTGGCCCTTTTGTCCTTTGGCCCTTTTGACCTGTTCCCGGTTTACGCCCCAGACTCCGTTTGTGAAACACCTGGCTAGCAGACAGCAACACCGCAATAGGGCAAATATCCCTTTATATCTTTATTTGTTAAACAGTTTACTAAGTATAATATTTTCAAGACATTTTCAAACCAGACACCATTCCTCTCAGGTGTTGCTCTCATGTAGCCGTTATTAGATGTAAGAAAGGAAGGAAAATACACTCATAATCTTGAAATTGCATTCAAAACCCATTTCACCTTATAACCCTTGGGCAGCTCAAACCTTATTAATAAGTACATTTATAATGCGCCAAATCCAGACACAAAGTGTATGCTCATAGCGCTACATAAGAGATTCTGACATCACCAGGTTAAGAGATAGCGGCTAGAAATGATTAGAGTCTATAGAACTGAGTGAAGAGAAATGTTTTGAGACTGTCTTTGAACATTTGCAGAGTAGGGATTCCTTTAAGATAATCTGTGAGTTTATTCCAGAGAGTGGTGGCATTGTAAGTAAATGATCTCTGACCAAATCGTCTCAGACGTGGGGTTGGATCAAAGAAGAGATGTTGTTGGGCAGATCGGAGGACTCTAGATGGGTGGTAGACTTGTGTGAGTTCAGACAGGTAGGAAGGTGCTGATTGGTAAAAACACTGATAAGCCAGTGCAAGCACTTTATACTGAACACGTGCATCAACAGGTAGCCAGTGCAGTTTCATCAGTATGGGCGTGATGTGCACAGATTTCTTTGATCGTGTAACTATCCTTGCGGCAGAATTCTGAATGCGCTGAAGCCTGGACATTTGTTCATTGGTGATGTTACATAAAAGACCATTACAGTAGTCCAGCTTGGATAGCACTAAACTCCTGACAAGCATATGGGCAGTATCAGTAGACAGCAGGTGCCGGATGTTGCCGATGTTCCGGAGATGATAGTGACAAGCTCTGCAGGTCATAGTGATGTGCTCATCCATTGACAGGTCATTGTCCAGGATAACTCCCAGATTTCTAACACAGTCAGTGAAAAGAACCTGGGACTGTCCAACACTAAGAGATGAAACATTTGCCTTGTTCCGCTTATCACATGTACCAATCAACATGGCTTCTGTCTTGTCTGTGTTTATTTTCAACATGTTTGTGTTCATCCAACACTGAATGTTGCTGGTGCAGATACCAATATGAGAGACAGCAGTTTGGGCGTTCTGATGCAGGAAGGAATCAAGTAACTGAGTGTCATCAGCATAGAAATGGTGAAAGGTATTGGATTACGATCACCCAGCTTAGATCACTTTGTACAATGCATGATCATTCATATACATTTACACAGAATGTGTTCTGGGATTTTGTATCAATTGTTACAGCAGTACTTTCAACACAAGTCACTAATTGAAATTGACACCTTTGAATGTCTACATGGGTGTCCTGATGGGGTAAAGCATGATCAAACATATATCATTAACAACTGATATAATATATCCATACAAACTTATTGAGAGTATATTAAAACTTTATCTGTTTATTGTAGCATTGCAGTTGAGCTATTATCTCATAAAAGCATATATTACTTGATGTAATGACACAACAAAACACTTCAGTGTTTGATTCTTGCAATATCCATACAGTAACAGAACAAAAGCAGAACCAGCTGTCCCAATGTTTTCCAACAGAGTGACAATCTCAACTTGCAGAGATATGTGTCTGCATTTTGTTCAAAACTTGTCTGCTATTCACTTTTCTTTTATCAAATGCATTGTTATCATATTTACTGCTATGGGCTGAGCTTACTAGACTGAACAGAATTTCATAGACTTGGACACTGACTGACCCAAGTCTAAGACCCTCATACATGCATAATAAGTCCATGTTGGCATTCGACAATTCAATCATACTTGCTTATCAAATCTTGCAAACTCTTTAAAACATTCCAGGCCCACCCCCAAACCCACCCATCCATCCTCGTCCCCTCCCCAAACCTCCCCGGCCACCACCCCCTCTCCTTCCTCTTCCTGGTCCTGGGAATATGTTGTGGTCAGGCAGAGGTCCAAAGGGGTCAAATCTTGGTTGGGGAAGTAGAGGCTGCAGTGGGTTGCGTCCTCGTCTCCCAAGTGGATCGGGAACACCTGTTGAGTGGAACACAGTTATAGTAGTTGTTTTGCTACATGTATAGTATATTGATGTATATCGATGCAATATTCCAATCCTGTAACCATGGTATCATACCTTTTTAAAGTGTAATTCAATGTTATTCATTGTAGAAACATACTGTATTTGTATTACATTGTTCTGTAGAGGGCAGTGATGTCCTAGTTGCTATATTTAGAGTTGGCAAAATGGTCTGGAACCTTCTAGAGCAGCCGGAATATTCCAGCAGAGTCTCACTCAGCATTGTACAGAATGTTCAGAAGGCAAACTTCTGGGAGCTGACTACATGTATATATAAAAAGTCACACTTTTGCCTCTGTCGCCTCACATTACATCGAGACCAACAGTAGTGCGAAGATCATTCTTTCACCCTGGATTCCCAGCCTAGGCCTACAATGGTATCTTGACCACTGTTGTAGCTAAATATTGTCATCAGTGTCTCTGCTGCTATAGTTACAGTTTTCATATCATATTGCCTTTGTAGTTGTACTGCCCCTGAATCTGTACGGCCATTGCGACTCCCTTGCACAGATGTAAATTGATGTGTAAACTTAGCTAATTTTAGAACACAATTGTTAATTGTATAACATTTGTATTGTTTGTTGCTTTCACCCAAACATCGATACAATGTATATTTCATCAATACATTATTGGTATCCTAAAGTTTAGTTTCCACCAAAAGTGGTCGTTTCCTAAGACTGCATAAAAATATTTATTTTCATCGTCTTAACATTTAAGTTGCTTTGTCAGCAGTTTGCAGGAACGTATTGGTTGCGCCTCTCAGAAGCATCCTACCTTGGAACTGAGGGTTGAGGTCATAGTCCCCACCCAAAATTCCCCCGTTGTAGGGAGCCAGGGGGGCAAATGGGGGTTGGGGGTGCTGTTGCATCCACACTTGTCCTGGGGTCAAACACGTCATTTCTCTCATAGCTTTCTGTGCCTCTTTACGACTGCGGTACTGTGCTTTGTACAGCTGAAAAATCATCACATAAGAAGATGGGACTAAAATATGGCTGAATCCGATAGAGATACAGAACCTGTGATTTTGCAAAAAACAAAAATAAAGATATTCTCATGATTTTATCAATATTTTATTCTGATACATATTTAAGGACGGTGGGGTAGCCTCATGGTTGAAGCTTAACCTTTAGACTAATCAACAAGTAATCACCCACTGAAGTAAAGCCCTAAAGTTATCATGACAGTCTGCATTTTCTTGAACATGACAACTTCTGTTTCACAGAAAATACAGGGCTGCAGGAGGGATGTAATGGCTCTGGTACATCGCTCACGATACACCTTACATGAAACATTATCTACCTTACATCGCTCACGATACACCTTACATGACACATTATCTACCTTACATCGCTCACGATACACCTTACATGACATATGACGTTTCTCACATGATATCTAGCTTACCTTATACCAGTTCAAGGACAATGAATTGTTCCCTCGGCCTGTAATGAGAGAATTGTAGCCATAAACGAATATGACAAATAGTTCTCTCATGCCAGTAGATGACACGTGTAGCCAGTCAGTACTAGACATGACATCAATACTGATATGGAAATAACTACTTACACTTAAAGATTTTCTACTCTGTTACTCCTTGCTATGCCTACATTCTCACAATGCCTACACTACTGCTCCCTCTCTGCCTACACTGCTGCTATGCCTACATCCCCACTCTGCCTACATTCTCACAATGCCAACACTACTGCTCCCTCTCTGCCTACACTGCTGCTATGCCTACATTCCCACAATGCCTACACTACTGCTCCCTCTCTGCCTACACTGCTGCTATGCCTACATCCACACTCTGCCTACATTCTCACAATGCCTACACTACTGCTCCCTCTCTGCCTACACTGCTGTTATGCCTACATCCCCACTCTGCCTACATTCCCACAATGCCTACACTACTGCTCCCTCCCTGCCTACACTGCTGCTATGCCTACATCCCCACTCTGCCTACATTCTCACAATGCCTACACTACTGCTCCCTCCCTGCCTACACTGCTGCTATGCCTACATCCCCACTCTGCCTACATTCTCACAATGCCTACACTACCGCTCCCTCTCTGCCAATGCAACCAAACTTCCTATGCTCCTGGGGGGGTGAGACAGCCTAGTGGTTAAAGTGTTTGCTCGTCATGCCAAAGACCTGGGTTCGATTCCCCACATAGGTACAATATGTGAAGCCCATTTCTGGTGTCCACCACTGTGATACTGCTAAAAGTGGCATAAAACTAAACTCACTCCTATGCTCCTACTCTGCCTACACCAATGATGCCTAAATTCCAATGACACCTGCTCTGCCTACATAAGATGTTAAAAAAATGTTTAGTTACTGTTACTATCAATATGAATAAACAACAATGAAAAATAATGAATTACATGCAAACATATAAAAACGTCAACTAAAATTTGGATTTTGTTTACATTTTTGGCCAAACTGAATTCTTGCTCAAATTATGCCCCAAAACGGAAGTATAGTCTGGCCTAACCTTAATGACTGTCCTAGTGCTAGAACAGCTCTGCTGAACAGAGACCAGTACTAAGATCTATAAAATGTTGGTAAAATCTATGATTGGGTATAGCCCTGAAATATTTGAATATTGTTGTGAATCAAATTTTTCTTTTCCAGGTCTTGCATATTATCAGAAACCTTTCATATAAGCCCTAAGGTTTGGATCCACCAACAAAGGAAATCTGATAATTACTTCCAAAGTCGAGGAGGTAGCGCCGCCGCCAGACAGCCCTGTCTCTTGCCAGAGAGTGAAAGTGCTGACAAGTTCTGTCCATTTTCAGGAGACTCGCACAGTCAAGGAAGCCAAGAATCCTCAACTAGATCAGGAGACAAAGCAAACCACATTTTGATTTCATATTGTGGAATGAAATGCTGTTGAGAGTTCATCCAAAACATCATTAACTGCAGTAAAACTTAATCAACCAGGAAAAATAGTAGAGTTTTAAACTGATGCCAAACCAGAGCTCAATGATAATTCATGATGGCATGTGATACACAATCATATTGCCGTGCTTTATCAGAATCCCAACTGGCTGCTTTCAAAAATCATCACGACACTGAATCCTTGACGAACAGCAAGCCTCTACCACATAAGACACAGAAACTGTGCATTTTTCTGTTTATATTAGTTAATACACAATAGGTTGGTAATTGGGATCACCAAGTATCCATGAGTTACCAATATCAGAATTATTACCATGGTATAACTACCTCATTTCTGACCACTGAATATTTCAGTCAAAAGTTTATCGAGGGCAAGTACATTCTACATGGATCAAAGTACAGAGCATAACTTATATACTTGAGGTTTCAATTTGAGGTAGCAAGTGTTCGTTTTCAAAAGTTGAAATATGCTTTGACCCCAACAAATCATCACATAACAGGATGACCTTGACCCTCACCTTCAGTTCATGTGTCAAGGACAGGAGGTTAATCCCCTCAGGATACCCCAACACTGCAAAATACATTATGACTTATAGTAAACACTGATCCATTTCGAGAATAGGACATTTTCCAATGGCACCTCTAATAATTTTCAAGCCAGTGTTAGATTGATTAAATGTGTGTGTGTCAAGCTTTATTTGTGCAGTGGTTTCTGAGGGGGTTATTGTTACTGTATTAGGAAATACATTTTGACCAAACTCAGTAGCATGGTCAAATATTGGTCAAATCTAAATTATTACCAAAGAAAAAGAAACACATTTTGATTCCCATTCATAAAAATACATTTAATAACATTCTAAACTAAAATGGTTCCCGATGTGCCATAGATGTATATTTCTCTACAGCTGGCAGATGATGGTTTACACAAATAAAATGACAGACAAACAGGACATTAGCTTGACTTGACTTTCAATCAGAATTGCTACAAATTTGTTCCCGTAAAGATCCTGGTCAGAATTAAATCTTCAGCAACCCATGCTTGTCATACTAATGAGATTGGGCGGTCAGGCTCGCTGACTTGGCTGACACGACATCGTGTCCCAATTGCATACATCGATGCTCATGCTGTCTCATCCATTATTTATAGACATAGCTGGAATGTTACTGTGTGTGCTTGAATTATCAATACACTTTTCAGATAAATATAGTATTTCATCACTAAACATATTAAATACAATTACAAAAATATCCAACATGACCTAAATATATAAAGTTTATCGACTGTAAGGTACAACATGATACAATCACCTGTCCTCATGTCTTTGAGCAGCGGCAGCCCGACATGGTTCTTTACATTACGAGAGATTTTCTTCAGGTTCTTGTAGCACTTGGCTGGCCCTGCATCCAGAAGCACAACATAACAAAATCTATAAAGAAAGTTAATATCCATGATGCACACATCTGTGAATCTGTGCTGGTGTGTGGTTCTGAGCGTAGAGCTCAGGTCACAAATCAGTTGAAGTTAAGCAACGTTGGGAGTGGAGAGTCTTTGGATCGGTGACCGTGTATGGCAGCTTGACTCCTGTGAGTTTCTAGGACTTCAGTCATGCCCCACAACGAAGCACATGTGATACATGTGGTCTCACCTTAGGCAAGTGAGTTTGTTCAAAATTGCCTCTGGTACCCAGTGAGATAAGTCATGTGACTATTAACCTTCTGGCGCCTCACAGGCAGCTTGGGTTATCCGGGGTAATAATAATCAGATTCTGATTACAGCGTCCAGTGAGCAACTAATCAGATGGATACTAGGCGCTATATAAATGAATTATTACTATTATCATTATTATTATTATTAATCTTCAAACACAGAGTACAGTCTATGGCCTTTTTTATTCATCAGTTGTTTTACAGATTTATTTTTCTGTATGATTATCAGTTTAATGATTTTTTTGGTATCTTTTCCTGGTCAGCAACAAAGTCATAATTTAATCCACACTAATCACATTCATAATAAGAGGTGTCAGATGAAACTAAAACATTTTTTATATTAGTTCGGCCAGACCAATTTCATTTGTTGTTTTACAGATTTTTGTCCTCAGAAATCCTAAAGGCAGGAGGGAAATTTTTTTTTAAAAATCACCAGTCAAAGTAATATTCCTTCTAAATACTTGAAGTATTTTACTTTTGGCAATTTATGAAGTGTATATGGGGCAAAAAACATCTAAAAAACATTTTTCTTGTAAGTTTACATTTTTGGCCAATAAAAACATTAGGATTTTATTTTTTGAGCAGGGAAAGTTGATTTTTATTTTTTTCTTATTCTTGAAAAAATATGACAGGTGTATACGTAAAACAAGAAATAAAATTGGTCTGGCCTTACATGGCAATGACACTATATTTTAAAGACAATACTGAAACCAGGCACCTGAAAATGGAATTTTTTTATTGTATCTAGATCATGAGAGTTGAAACATATTTACCACTTTTCGTGTCTCCAGTCAAATAATCGCTGGGCTTGAGAATCACTTTGTATGTACAGGAATCCATCTCATTGCCAACAATGTAACCTACAAAATGAATCGTGAGTGAGTGAGTATTTTTACACCACTTTTAGCAATATTCCAGCAATATCACTGTGGGTTACACCAGAAATGAGCTTCACACATTATACCCATGTGGGCTACCGGGTCGAACCCGGGTCTTTGGCCTGATGAGCAAACACTTTAACCACAAGGCTACCCTACCGTCTCGATTCAAGAGAGAACAAACAGTAAATGTCTGTGACAAATAATAGGACTGCATGGAATTACTGGTATACCTCCATATGCCTCTCAAACGATACTTATTGCAATGTTGTTTTAATGAAAACACATACTGGGTCCAAATAATGTTGGAAGTTTTGTGATTATCTCTCGGTTAAAGTTAAATTCTACATACTTTTCATTCACAACTGATGTTTCCCTTTGTAATTAGTTGAAAAGGGCATAATTTTCATGCCTAACTATCCAACCTAATTTTGAGATTGCTGTCATCAGAACTGTAGCCTATATTTTTAGGGCTTTAGTATGCAGGAAATAGGACCAGCTTGTACCTGCAGTGTCACTTGTCAAACACTTCAGCTCCCAATATATGGCAATAGATAACGCAATATGGGTCCCTGAATCTTCATATGTTTCAATTTAATTTATTTGCCAATACACAGCCCTTGTAAATAATGAAATATGATTTTACACTTTCTAGCAGTACACACGAGAAATGCCAGACATGCCCCATGACCACAGTCAATAGGAAAAATCTGCTCCAATCCAACTATTGCGATAGCGATAGTCTATTGCAAAATACTATTGCGACCTACTATTGCGATAGTTATTTCTCTCCTTGAATTGTATCATCTAAAAGTCGTTTCCAAAATGAATGTATAATTTATATGAAATAAAAACAAGTTGAAGTAGTGTCAGTCTCTTTTAATAACTGACAGGAAACTTGAAACCCAGATCCAGCGCTGTTATTCACAATTTCAAACTCTGAGTCACATGCTGTGTTTGTCACCATGTTTGTTTAAGGGGCAACAGGGGCGGATAACTTTACATCAAAGTGAACGAATCTGGTACTTCCTGTATTTTGCGCTGCGCATTTATCAACGGAAGTCAATTACTAAACTATCGATAGTAACACATACTATTGATGCATCGATAGTTTTTCATTTCTACCATCAATTGCTATTGGAGACTCAACAATTGCAATCCATCGATAGTTTGATGCATTGTTATAGCCCTAATGTTTACAATTGAACCAGTGGGCTTTTGTGTAACAAGTGAACACTTTTAACAACAAAACCATGTCACCTGCCAGTATCATCACTACACTTACGGTTTGCATGGATTTTCTTAAACTTGTCTTTTTTAAGCTATAATGACAAGATTGACCTCAGATGCGTATCCAGTGTGTGTGTGTGTGTGTGTGCGTGTGTGGTTTGCAGGGGTGTGCACACCGCTTTTGTCCTGAAAGTTTATTAAATGACTACTGGAATTCTTGTGGTCTCTCTTCAACTTACATGTTTAAGGTATAGATATTTCACTTGTAAGTGAGTTTACATACCGTGTACAATGAGGAACGATCCCATCACTACTCCGGTCACTGAACTGACCACTCCATCCGACTCCGGGAGACGATACCTGGTGTTGTAGACCGTTGGCTGCTTCCAGTGGTCTGGCATTGAACTTCCACTGTCATCTCCCTGGAATGTCACAAACTGGACTTGTTGTAATGATTAACAATGCATTAAAAATGCATGTTATATTTAAAAACCAACACTTTAAGATATATTAAAGGATCACGTATGATACAGGCCAATTTAGGACTACTGAAAGAATGGTGTCCAGTTTCTGTCCTTGCAGAAATCGGCTGGAATTTTGGAGTTATGTTGTGGCTGGAGAAACAAGTTTTTGTATAGACCGGTACCAGGCAAAATTGTACAACAAACTGACATCCAGTTTGTGCAGTTATGGGCAGATTACATCACTTGCAAAATGTGTGCTGTCAAATGGACATAGTTAGATATTTTCTGAAGGAGCAAAGTATGCATTTTGTGGGTTAAGACCCATTTTGTTTGATGTAAATCCAAGTACTTTGAAAGGTGCTAGGTTAATTGGAGGGATATAGAAGGAACACAACTAAAAATATCCACTGACGCTACTGTGATATGGCAGCGATATGGCAGCGAAATACCAGTTTAGTTCGAGTGTGGAAACTGGATTTATTTATCAGTCAGCTCCCTTGCTTTGGGAAAATGGTGTACACTTACTGTGGAGGAAGTGATGCATGTGTAAAACATTAAACACCATGGTGAAACTCCTCACTAGGGTATGGTGCTTACAAACCCAGAAACATTAATATGGCAAATCAGAGTTTGAACCCATTATCATAGGTTTGAGCCAGGCATGCTGAAAGGGATGCATCTGGTTCCAAGAAACAAGACATTGCTATATTAAACCAAACAGTCATGTTGACTGTTTTGTTACCTGAGTGGGCTTGAATCCTGCCTCCAACATTAAATTGTGTATCACAACCCACAACAAGTCATTCTGATCTTCACATTGAACAGATTCATACAACTGGGCCAGTAAGACAGGAACAATGTCAGTTGTTGACTCACAACATTGTAGTGGCTCTTGTAAGCACCGATTCACAACAGGATCGTTATTGCTGTTTCCATCCATATTGCTGGTTCCTTCCATGGGATCATCTTCAACTGGAGCATCCAGAACTTCAGAGCTATGGCTTATGCTTGTAGATGTAGCATATGTGTCTGATGCTGACACCACACTGGAGGCACTGGTGAGTATTGTACTGGTGTCACTAGAGTGAGGAGTAGCCTCCCTTTGAATTGGCTGACTGGTAGGTGTAACCTCCCTTGGTTGACCTACTGTGGTTCCTCCATGAACCAGGACATGGATGAGGTCCCCTGACACAATACCAAAGTCATCTAGCACCGTTTCATCGCCTTCCAGAATGTCTTTCTTGTTCAAACTTAGGTCAAAAGATCTGTGGATAAAAAACATGTAGCTATTTTGTCTTCTTCAAGAAATTCGAGGTTGGCGCAATAATTCAAGTGAGTCAGTGAGTTAATATTTAACGTCACATCGGCAATATTTAATAATTCAAGATAAGATATACAATCGAGTCCAGTAATTCCGCGCGTCCGGTAATTCTGCGCAGCTGCAATAGTGTACTTCGAAGGTAAAATCGTCTGCTACCACATTTACACTTGAAATCGGGACATTTCTACAAGGGACTAGCTTTTAATCACAAAAGGTAAGTAAATAACAGGGTTGACAGATAAATTGACAGTTTTATGAAAATTCGTTTTCTTCAGATTTTTAAACCTTTTTTTGCATTATTCATAATTCCATGGATTTAATATGAAACACTCTTCCTTACATTGATGAAGTGATTTTTGAAAATAATCTGGCTTCCATACTTCGGATCTCCAGCTGGATGTTATGCGCATCAGTTGCTGCGCAGAAATACCGGACAGCACGCAATGTCGTCAGAACGCCGGTGAGGTCAACCGTATGGCATAATGCAACGTTAGAATCTTATAGTCGTCCACAAAAAATAAGAGACATTAGTTGCCGTGTTGCGATCGATGTGCTTAGGTGCGCGGAATTACCGGATGGCAATGTATGGATAACAACTTCTTCAGATTGAATCTTACACCCCACCTCATACTTGTATTTATGAACTTCTTGTGGTGTGTATCTACAAAATTTTCATGTAAAAAGTCAAGATGAATACATGTATCTTGCTATATTTTATTGCTTAGAAATTAACCTATAGCATACAGAATCATCTACATGATTACAATCATCTCAGTGTCTTAAACAAAAACTCGTCATTCACCATATCATTAATAATCATATTTATAAAATAATATCCCCAAATTAATTAATTATTAGCTGGTGTATACTGATGGTCGGTGCTCAAGAGGTATATGTATCTTGTTTTAACTTTCAATGACAATGAGAAGTAATATTTCTACCCAAAGATAACTCTTACTCGTGATTTAAACCAAGCTCTGTTGTGACATTCTGCTTCAGTACGGCAAATGAAATGTCCTTCGCACCACCGTCTCCCAAACTGACTGTCTTCGTCGCACCCTGTATCCGAACCCGCACTTTCATTTTGTTTCTGTTCTGCTGTCATGTGGGTTTGTTTGCAAATTTACAAAACTTCCGGTGTATTTTAACTGGTTCCTCTTTCACAGTGCGCATCCTTTTAATAGACAGGAGCCCAGTCATATAACATAACAAACTCACAAATATAAGAGTAATCAAGGGGAAATAAGCGTGTAGCATTTGCCGTATACTTCTTTTAGGTATCATTAATTCGTTTATGTCCACTTGAGTCAATACGTTACATGCAATACAGTAGCTAATTTTTAATAACTATTTTGCATTAATTTCAGATTACAAAGCAGTCATCTTCACTGCTGTATCAATAATATCTCATTTCAGACTGCATAAGATATTTCAGCAGGTGTAAGAAAAGTAACATAATCAAAGCTCTTCTCTTTGGTTAAGCGATTCACATTGGGTAAGTCCACCTAGGCCTCAGTGTAGCTTGATCATCTATCAGTCAATTTGAAGCTTAGGTGTATTAATGATTGGCTGGGTTTGAACTGGGTGTCCTACATTTAAACCCTTTGTGTTCACATCTGCATTTTCTCACTGGCATCCCACACTGCAGTGGTAGACAGGTACAGGATTAGCAATTGAAGGGGTTGGAGCGACATTGTCATTTGCACGGACCACAACTACCCCCGTCTTATTCACAGGGGTGTCAGTTAGTCTGTCTGCAAAGCCCCTAAACCACAGTCCCTTAACCACATTATTTACCCCATGCCTAGTCCTCCCTGCAATGCTAAAGCCCTAAACCAAGCAACCAGGGTTTCTTTTCAATTTAAATTGGTCTATTTGTTACTATCGAAATTATATGTATTCAGGGACTAAACGTTAGTCTCGGGTGTCAGTTTGTCTGTAGATTTGCCATGGCTGCTTCCTTCACCTGGAAAGTATAAGAACAATTACAATTACAATAAACACAGAGATTAAACAATTAAGTGATCAATTACCGCTTAATTAGTTAACGAGGCACTTCTTAATTAAGGTTACACAATGTTTGTAATCACGTTTTGATTAGTATTTAACGAGCCAATTAAAGGATAAGTGGTAAATTTTACCATCTTACCTTCATCTTCACTTGTGCCTCCTGAAGTTTACCAGGCACTATGGGATGGGCGTGTGGTGAAGAGCCCTTAGTAAAGGTGTCCTTGATAAATATTACATGATACGTTATAATGTTTACATTATATTTACAACATCACATTACAAAGTATATATTCAGTAATAATAACAATGAATTACTATTATTTACTATAATAATAGATATTATCATTACTTATTGTCATGTTATCAAAACACTACCCAATGATCAAAGGGTCTTGAAATAACATCTAAAAGTATTAATTAAGAAATCATTGCGAGAGTAATTAAACAGCTCAAAGTATTACATAAGAAAACATCTCAAAGTACAGGATAAAAAAACCCATCTCAAAATATTAAATAAGTAACAATCTCAGATGTAAGTATCAATTAAGAAAGCATTTAAAAAACAACACTCATTAATATGAAAAAAAGTAATGTATGGCCATTTTGACTTTTTCTATGCCCATTTTGACTTTTTGGTATGGCCATTTTGATTAGGGGATGTGGCCATTTTGACTTTTTGTGTGGTCATTTTTTCGTGTGGCCATTTTGACCTGTTCCCCAGTTTGTCAATACTGAAAACAGCACAGTAATAAACAGACCTTACACCCTAGCCAGTGTCATCGTGGTTACTACACCATCACACATTGATTTCAGTGAGGCCACACTTTATTATTACATGGTTTACGGACCAGCCGACCGTAATTTTTGCTAAAGTGGGGAAAAAAATAATCAAATTTACATTTTTTATTTTTTAAATACCGCCGATGAATAAAATCAAAACAAATAATTTAAAAATCTACTTTATTGAAATCGACCTTCTGTTACGAATTTACGACCTTCTGTTTTTGCAAAACAAAATTTTAAATAATGAAACAAATGAAATCGCCGAATTAACGTTACCGAGTGAAAATGCTGAAACAAAACGATAGGTAAAGGGAGGCTACTCTCTCTTTTGACTGACATCTAGAAAAAAATAATCTGAAATAGCCTTTTTTTCACCACCTACCGATAGGGATATTGCAGTACAAATTCCGTAAACCAGCTAGTGAAAACGTGTGACCTTATATTCGTATGTTTAGGTTATGAGTCAGTTATCACAGTCGCAGATTTACAAAACAAACCACGAACACAACACCTGTTAAAATCAGTGATATGTATATCACTGATTTTAACAGGTGTTGTGTTCGTGGTTTGTTTTGTAAAATTGCGACTGTAATAACTGACTCATAACCAATTCGATGCCATAGCTTGACTTTAATTCCGTTCACCTTGGCTCAGTTTGGAATATGAGGCAGCGTCCTGACACGCTGGGTTGTTTTGTTTAAACATAAGGCGGTTCCATAAAAGCTGGGGTAAGAAAATTATTTGCAAGACCGCAAACCATGTTCGGAATGTTGTACATTTGTGCAAAAAGCCCTAATTGTCTGATTCTTAATGTCTAATACACCGTCTGTTGTACATTATGCGAATTTTGTCAATTACTAAACATTTCAGATAAAACTATATTATACGAAATACACAGTAAGAAGTATTTTATGCGACATTCGATAGAAACTGCAGCCAATTTTTTTACGTGTAGATAACGTTGGATGCTTCAACTGGCAATAGACTAAAATGAATATTGGGATAGAAATCCATAAATGAAGTATTTCCGTGTTACCGGTACTGTGACCTTGAACTTCATTGATAACAAGCATCATGGCACTGAACAAGCTCAGCATCGACAAAATCGAGTTGAAAGGCAAACGTGTGTTGATACGAGTTGATTTTAATGTGCCGCTCAAGGATGGCAACATCACCAACAACCAGAGAATCACTGCGGCGCTACCTACGATCAATGCAGCACTGCAAAGTGGGGCGAAATCCGTCGTACTCATGAGTCACCTTGGGCGACCTGACGGTCAACGGAACGAGAAGTATTCGCTGGCACCTGTCGCCAAAGAGCTGGAAAGGCTTCTTGCGAAGCCCATAACATTCCTTAGCGACTGTGTTGGTAAGGAAGTGGAGGATGCATGTGCAAATCCGGCAGATGGATCTGTCATTTTGTTGGAAAACTTACGGTTCCATATCGAAGAAGAAGGAAAGGGAAGCGACTCGGAAGGCAAAAAGGTGAAGGCCGAAAAAGCCGCGGTAGATGCTTTCAGGGCATCACTTTCCAAACTCGGCGATGTCTATGTAAACGATGCATTTGGTACTGCTCACAGAGCTCACAGTTCCATGGTTGGTTGTCAACTCCCGCAACGAGCAGCTGGTTTCTTGCTCAAGAAGGAACTAACCTATTTTGCCAAAGCTTTGGACAACCCCGTAAAACCATTCCTTGCCATCCTTGGTGGTGCCAAAGTTGCAGACAAGATCCAGCTGATTGAAAACATGCTTGACAAGGTACAAGAGATGATCATTGGTGGTGGAATGGCATTCACGTTCCTCAAGGTCCTCAAGGGTATGGATATTGGAAGCTCATTGTATGACGAAGAGGGTGCAAAGATCATTAACAATCTAATGGAAAAAGCAGCAAAAAATGGCGTTCAAATCCATCTTCCTATAGATTTTGTTACAGCTGACAAGTTTGCAGAAGATGCAAATGTTGGTTCTGCTACAGTGTCATCTGGTATTCCAGCTGGAAGTTTGGGTTTGGATGTGGGAAAAGAATCATCCAAAAACTTTCTTGAAGTCATTAGCAGGGCTAAAACGATTGTATGGAATGGCCCACCCGGTGTTTTCGAATTCCCAAATTTTGCTGAAGGTACCAAGTCTATGATGAATGCAGTTGTCAAGGCAACAGAATCTGGTGCAACAACAATTATCGGGGGAGGTGACACGGCAACATGTGCGGCGAAGTACAACACAGAGAGCAAGGTGAGCCACGTCAGCACAGGTGGCGGAGCCAGTCTTGAGCTGTTGGAAGGAAAAACTCTCCCTGGTGTAGCAGCCCTCTCAGATGATGTCTAAAGACTGATGTCACTAGAACTTCTATTCAGATTAGATTTTCTTTGTGAGACCTCACTCAGATGTGTTCTTCATACATGATCTGAAATATTTGTCATGTTGGTCAGGCCTGGACTGGACTGAGGACACGTTTCATCGTCTATGTGACCGGTGAACATGTGAAGGAGAACTGTAAAGCATTTCATTTCTATTGAAAAGGAAATATTGGAATTGTAACTTAACCTTTTAACATCCTATATGCTTGCTTCATGAGTGATGACAAGGCTGATGTCAGTAACTAATTTTTTGTTTTCAGATAGGAGTGTTAGGATTGTAAATGTTACTTATTGTTATGCCCTACTTGTTGAATGTATAACTACGCACTCTACTGAAGCCTTACTCCTGTTTGTTGGGTCATTTAGGTTGATTAAATATTGACTAAATTAAAAGCATATTTGTTATAATTTACCTTGTTTCAACTTGAAATATCTTTGTTTTAAAAATCAAAATGTTGTATAAGCAACAACAAATTATGTTTTCATGGAAACTTGAAGATCCTTTAGAAATGCAAGTAGTTCATAGCAGTTGTTTGATTGGCATTCTAGTCAATGATGAAACATAGAACATTATGGATAGCAACTACACTGGAACGTCTCTCTATGCAATAAACAAGAAGTTGTTATCAATAAAGTCATATGCTTCGTTATTTCAGATCAGGTTAACAAGGAAAAGATAGCTGTAGACATATTTGCAGAGATGCCAACCCGATTTTATCGTATTCATTTTGAAAAAAACAACACAAAATACGAGACTACGATAGCAGTAAAAATATACAAATTTAAAAAAATAAAACATTGAATTAAATTATCAAATAGCATACGTACCATACACAGTAAGTTTGAACCACATTTTATTCAGTATCAAGCTTTTTTTTGTAGTTGACACATACACAGTGCTACAGATGATGTCTTGAGCAGAGATGCATATTTATTCATTTGTTAGGCATCTATATGGGATATTAATAATTTTCTTCTTGTAGTCAACCAGTTTTTCCTTGGATCTGTGTGTGTGTACAATGTCAAAAGCAAGGCCTTGGACAATATATTTACATATTATATTTTATATGAAAATTCTTTGGAAAAGTTAATACTAATTTTGGCCAAAAATTACTAATTTTTGCATCACTTTTTGGCCAAAATACTTATTGGGCTAACTTAGGGTTGGCATCTCTGTATTTGTATAGGCTATTAATAGTGGATTGGTTGTTGTTTTAATGCTGCACTCTGTAATAGTCCAGCTATGTGTCATAATTTAGTAGTGAATCTGAAGTACTAATTACAAACATTTTGCAATAATTGACAGACAAAAACACTAGAACATCAAACGAGTAAGAAGTGATTTAGTTGAGAGAACTTCCTATGTACTGGTGCACCAAAGTATAGTTTCACCCCATTCTACCACCTCGACACTGAGGTCACTGATTTAGTAACCTGTAATCTGAATTAGTCCTCATACAGGCTGGAGACCCATTCACGGCTTCACCATACCGCCACAACTACGTCGATTGATGCTCATTATGTTGATCACAGGCTTGTTTGGTCAAGAATCAATTATTTACAGACCGCCACCATATAACTGGAATAACGCTGAGGACGTTTAACAACAATCAAACGAACAAACCATACCTCCCTACTGATTAAACCATGTAATTTGATAGTCATATAACTCATTACCCATGAGGGGTGATGGGATAGCTGAGTGGTTAAAGCATTCACTCTTCACGCGGAAGAGCCTGGGTCAATTCCTCTATGGGTACAATGTGTGAAGTTTAATTCTGGTGTCCCCGACTAGATATTGCTGGAATAGTGCTAAAAGCGAAGTAAAACTAAACTCACTCGTTACCCAGGAATCAAGTCATAACGTGTTAGGGCTGCAACAAATCCACAGTGAAGCGAATGTGATAGTTGTCAGAACTATCATGACTATTGGGGACCTGTGAAGGTCCGGGTTAGAATATTGATCTTCAGTAACTCATGCTTGTCATAAGAGGCGACTAAAGGGATCGGGTGGTCAGGCTCGCTGGCATGGTTGACACATGTCATCGGTTCCCAATTGCGCAGGTCGATGCTCATGTTGTTGATCACTGGATTGTCTGGTCCAGACTCGATTATTTACAGACCGCTGGAATATTGCTGAGTGCCTCGTAAAACTAAACTCACTCACTCACTCACTCACAACTATTGGGTAAAAAGTACCAATACTGGGTGATGAATACAATAACAGGTATGCAGCTGAAGTATTATTCATTATATTCAGAGAAAAAGTAACAAAATATATTCTTTGACACGTTTGAACCTTAGTGACATGTCATGTCAATGACCAGTGACCAAATTACTGTCCGATTACCTATGTATAAATGAGATAACTATTGTCCTGCCTGGCTTAGATTCTAGTATATGACCAGAAAGTGCTTGGTTTCATTGAGACAACCGCCTCCGTTTTAGGAATATGATCCCCGACCGCGTTTACCAAAAGACGTTAAAATATGGATTCTGGCGCTCGGCATTATAAACAGGACCGGCTGACAGTATACAGCTATTTCATGCTTCACTGCGGCTTGGTTTCATTCAAGCAGACGCGCATGCACGTCGTCATATGAGCGAAATATTCTCAAGCACGACGTTAAAGCCAATTTCACCTCACCTCACCTCAAGAGAGACAACTCCGTTAATCCTTTTTCATTAGTTTGTGAAGAGTTATCCCCCTTTGGTTGCTTGCTAGCAGACGACATTTTCAGTGATCCTCAGTATGGATGATTTAGAGAAGAGGAAGTTGATTTTAGAGTATTATAACAAGAACATCAGATCAGCTAAAGTGATTACAAGTAGAACAGGCATCCCTTTGTCCACTGTTTATCATGTTTTGAAAAATATTGCAAATGGATATGGCATTGGTCACCAGGGAGGCGCAGGTAGGCCCAGAAAATTGACTGTCGGTGACATGCGGCGGCTTGGTATTCTTGTTTCTAAAAACAAACGAAGGAGTTAAGAAAACTTAAGGCTGGATATGACTGATAGAGGAACTGTGGCTGTCTATAAGGAGACAATTAGAACTGAGCTGCATGCAATTGGTTGGCAGAAAAGTCGAGGAATTCCATCACCGATCATGAAACCTGAACAAAAGGAGCGAAGGTTGAACTGGTGCTTACAGCATAGAAATTTTAACTGGGACAATGTGATGTTCTCAGATGAAAGTTGTGCGTGGCTGTTTCCTAATACACTGAAATTCTGGACCAAACAAACTGAAAAACCTTTGTATCTGCGCCCAAAGTACAGTCCGAAAGTTAACGTGTGGGGTGTCATATCTGTGTTAGGGGCAACGCCCCTCTGTGTATTTGAAGGGAATATGAACAGTGAGAGGTACACAGATATTCTCGAGGGACATTTACTTCCATCTGCTCACGTGTTCTATGGAAATGTTTTGATTTTCCAGCAGGACAACGACCCAAAACATTTTTCAAAGCCTTCACAGGCCTGGTTTCGGACCCAAAATATGACATTATTAGATAGGCCAAGCTATAGCCCTGACCTAAATCCAGTAGAAAATGTTTGGGGACTTATGAAGGAAAGTGTCAATAATCTTTAACTTCTCAATAATTTCTGGTTGTACTGTATATTCCATTTTGCATACCTTGCTTTGGTAAATAACACCCAAGTCCAGAGGAAAACACTCCTTTCTAAATTATTCATGAATGTTCAATTCTAGTGATTATGAATAATGACTTGAATTCATGACATTTTAAAGTATGATTCATCGACGTTACAGATCTTGAGGGTATACATTTTTCAACCTTTAATCCTTTCTATTGCCCATTTATGGTGTCCCCCGCCGTGATATTGCTGGAATATTGCTAAAAGCGGCGTAAAACTAAACTCACTCACTCACTCCTTTCTATTGATTTTGACTTTAATATTAGAATTTTCACTGCCAATATGTGGATTTTATGGAAACTTCATCCAATATTATGATTATTATGACATCCTTGTTCAGACAGTTCTTTCTAAACAGCAATAGATTGTGCCCAGGGTTTTGGTTACACTAAGCCTGTGAAATGGCTGGACGATGGCTACCTTCAGCTGAGGTACTGTAAAGCACCTGCTGAAGTCAGATACAGCATAATGGCACAATATTAGCATGTCAGCCAGTCAGCATGTCATGTGCCAGCATGTCACTCCTTCAGCATGTCATGAATGTAGCATGTCAACCATTTAGCATGTCACTCCTTCAACATGACATCAGTGCAGCATTTCAACCATTCAGCATGTCACTCCTTCAACATGGCATTAGTGGAGCATGTCAACCATTTAGCATGTCACTCATTCAACTTGTCATCCATGCAGCATGTCAACCATTTAGCATGTCATTCCTTCAACATGTCATCAGTGCAGCATGTCAACCATTCAGCATGTCACACCTTCAACGTGTCATCCATGCAGCATGTCAACCATTTAGCATGTCACTCCTTCAACATGACATCAGTGCAGCATGTCAACCATTTAGCATGTCACTCCTTCAACATGTCATCAGTGCAGCATGTCAACCATTCAGCATGTCACTCATTCAACATGTCATCAGTGCAGCATGTCAACCATTCAGCATGTCACTCCTTCAACGTGTCATCCATGCAGCATGTCACCCATTCAGCATGTCACTTGTTCAACATGTCATCAGTGCAGCATGTCAACCATTCAGCATGTCACTCCTTCAACATGTCATCCATGCAGCATGTCAACCATTTAGCATGTCACTTGTTCAACATGTCATCAGTGCAGCATGTCAACCATTCAGCATGTCACTCCTTCAACATGTCATCCATGCAGCATGTCAACCATTCAGCATGTCACTCCTTCAACGTGTCATCCATGCAGCATGTCAACCATTCAGCATGTCATCACTTGTTCAACATGTCATCAGTGCAGCATGTCAACCATGCAGCATGTTACTTGTTCAACTTCTCATCAATGCAGCATGTCAACCATTCAGCATATCACATATCAGCAAGTCAACTATAAAATATGTCATGCCACAAGAATGTCACACATTTAGCATGTAGGAATCAGCTTGTGACATAACTCCCAGATCACTCACTCAGCTGGTCTGTCATACACACCCTGAAACAAATATAAAATACATAAAATCTACTTGTCAGATTGGGTGATTGTGGGTTATGGTGCCCCAAAGTCGTTGCTCATGATATCGAACACTGGATTTACTGGTTTTGACTGACATATTTAGTATTTACAATCTTCTCTGATTTAGTGTTGGTGTTTGTTTGTTTAAAGCCGCGCTCAGCAATGTTCCAGCAATATGGCGGCGGTCTGTAAATAATCGAGTCTGGAACAGACAATAAAGTGATCAACAGCATGAGCATCGATCTCCGCAACTGGGATACGATAACATGAGTCAACCAAGTCATCCAGCCTGACCACTCAATCCCGTTAGTCGCCTCTTACGACAAGCGTGGGTTCTGAAAACTAATTCTAAACTCGGATCTTCACGGGTAAGAATGCTGGTGAGTGGGGCGTCCACGTGTGGACTCAATTACCCGCGGGATGAAACCCGCCTCTAACCCGACTCGAGTACCCGAAAACAATACATTTCCTTTTGAAAATTGTCACATTACTACAAACTTTGCACCTTTTGGGAACCGTATATTGCCGTTTACAGCATCAACATTTGAGCCAAGAAATATTATTTTCCATAAATGTTTCAAGACACACACACACCCGTTGTTGTAGCAATTTGTCAGACTAACAGTAGCCCGTCACACTGATGTACCCTTTGGAGGCAACACTTGTACACGTGTCAGTCGTGCGGGAAGCATATGAAATTGACTTTATAACTTTTGATTTAATCCCCGCCGAGCGATGTATATCGGGTCTGTCCGTCCACCACGTTTCGTTTCGGGAGCAATCTTTCAACCCATACGATATTTCGTCGCCAAACTTGGCACATGTATAGGTCTAGTGGCAAACTGGTGCCTCTTCATACTTTTCAGATTTTTTAAAGATTTAATATTACGAGGTTCCATGGCAACAGCTATAACTTGGACTGCAAATGCAGTGGCGGATACAGCTTTTTGAAAAGGGGGAGTGGTGTGTGGTGTGTGGTGCACTCTCTTGAGAAGTGTGTGTGTGTGTGTGTGAGAGAGTGTGAGAGACACCTCATTGTCAGGAGAGTTTCAATGGTCATTTAATAAACTTTCAGGACAAAGGGGGTGTGTGTGTGTGTGGTGGTGTGTGTGTGTGCACCCCCACCCCCCACCCCCATTGATGCAATATCATTACACAACTTACGACACGCATTCATCACTGAATGTAAACTTACTTATATTTTGAGTTCGTGGAGTGAGTGAGTGTGGTTTTACGCCGCCTTTATCAATATTCCAGCTATATCACTACGGGGGACATCGAGCCCGGGTCTTTTGCGTGACGAGCGAACGCTTTAACCACTAGGCTACCCCTTCTCCCTTGAACTTACTGTAATAATATGGTTCAGGGCCTGTGAGACAGACTAAGGGATTTGCATGTGGGTTTTTCTCACTGCTAATCGTGTTGCCATTGTAACTAAGGGAATGTTATGACAGGTTGTACGTCACGGTACTCAAGGAATACTCAAGTACACAATGTATAGTGTTTACGCAGAAAGTGTAGCCTGGGGCTCCTTTTCAATTATGTATAATTTATTATCTTCTTATGCTTTTTTCTGAGCAGAATATATATAAAATAAGTTAAACACTATACAACACTAAACAGCAGCAGCAACACACGCTCGCGCGCGCGCGCACGCACGCACTCTCTCAGAAAAAAGAAACAAGACAACATTTCGTCACATACTCTTAATGCAGCACTTTTTTAATGTTGAACATGCTATATTTATCTGTGTTAAAGGGTTATTTTTTAGTATAATGTTGTGGCCGTGCTAAATCCATACACAGAATGAATGAGTTAAAAACGGCCATTCAAGTCTTTTCATAATTGTGTGAAACGGGTTCATTCATTTGAGATCCTTCAGACGGGTTGCATATGGTTTTATTTGTTAAGCCTAGTAAATCCAACCTTCCGCTTATCGCTAGCGGTATAGTGAGGGAATTGCGCTCAGCGGAGACATTGACTTTCACAAAACATGGCGGAGAAGTCGGCTACGAGTGGCTCTCGCGTGGTAGTGGTCGCGCTTGACGGGAGCGAGTTTTCACAGAATGCCTTTAATTGTGAGTACACTGGTGAACGAATGAGGTATGTTATATTTAATCAGACAGAACTTAAACGTCGGCGATATGCAAATTAGTCACAGCCCGATCGTCATGTACTTATGTACAGGACCATGCAACTATTCAATACTAACAAGGCGAGGCCGAAGGTGGTTCGTTAACAGATTGGCTCTTCACATTGTCTCATATATTCGTGTTATGCACATTCCTGTTGCATGCGCCGATCGTTTAACAATATATTACAAATTATCTAGTATTTTTATATCGTGCTTTTTTGTCCATTTGATATTGATCAGTGGTCAAGTCAATCCTCAATCTGTACATATTACCAAGGCAGAGCAGGTACTCGTACCAGGTGCCCTCAATCATGAAATGTACACCTGCCAATCATCGAATTTTTTAGCCCTTGTCGTGTTAGTCAGGCATGTGCAGTGGAACCACTGGCTTAGGTTAAGCTATACTGCATACAAACACGGGTCAACCTGACCAGAATAATTTTAAGCGAGCCAGGTTTATTGACCGGCAGACCAAAATGAACGCTGAAAGCTTGGCTAGACCAGAGTGGGAATGCCAGGCACTATTGGTACTGGCTTCTAGCGAGCCCCCTGTCGAGTCGAGTTGGTTGTAACTGGCCATATTGGCTGACTTCCTTTGTTCATCGATTTTCTGACCCGCAGTGGGGGCCTATGTACCAGTTTATCTGCGACGTCATAATCGGCAGCTTGTGTGTACAACATTCGTTGTATTGTAGCTCTGGCGTTTCATATCCTAATAAAATCAATAAATATCTACTTATGGCAATGTTTGCAATATGAGCAATTATAATGTTACTATTTAATGTTGGTATGTGTGGTTTCGTTATTATTCATTTCCAGTCGAATACCGTTATCTCGAATCCCTCCTCGCTATATTATGCTTGCAACGACAGTGAAACTTCAGAACCCCCAGCTGATATTGCATCTCCGCTTATCTCGAACTGCGATTAACTGGAAATATTCTTTACGACTTCGAGTTAGCGATGTTGCAGTGTGCCAAAGTTTATAATTGTCATAACCGACTGTAAATCCACAGTTGATCGGTATAAGGCAGGTCTGAATTTTGTGTGACGCCGGGTTAAGTTTTGTTTAACGCTGGTTTTAATTTGGGGTGACGCTGGTTTGAGTTTCGTATGAAGCCGGTTTAAGTTTTGTATAACTCCGGTTTGAATTTCCTTTGACGCAGGTTTGAGTTTTGTGTGATGTTGGTTTGTCTTTTGTTTAACGCGTACCTGCCAACTCTCACGTCTCCGGGTTGCAACTCAAGTCACGCTCTCACGACAAAACTGATAAATATCACGCCAAACTGGTTCGACCCCCTCACCTTCCAACCAGGGCCTAGATTTTCGAAGCTCTTTTAGCTCTAAGATAGTAAGATAGTCGTACGTTAATGTTAATGTATGGCACTTACGAATATCTTGCGCTAAGAGAGCTTCGAAAGTCTAGATCCTGGTTCCACCCTGGACCCAGCCGTGACTTGTGTTCCTTGGACCTCGATATTTCAATATTTTGTTCAATCTTGGGGTTGGATTATGAATTTAAAAGCCAGTTTAACCAGTATTTCAGTTGTATTTGGGGCGTCTCAGCTTGCAAGCTTGGGAGGAAATTAAAGCAGTGGTGACAAGTATAGTGCTAACAAACCTAGAAAACCGGGATCTCGTAATTTGTCAAGTCTTCTAGACGCAGCCCAGTAAAGCCATTTTCGGTGTCCCGCGATGTCCATCAGGCAACAGTTTTCTTGATGAAGATATAATAAGTCATCTTCTATAGCGCACAGCCTCCAAACACCAAGTGATTGCTCGCGGCGCTTTATCATAATCTGATTCTTATTTCCCCGGATAACCCAAGCTGCCAAGCTGACTTTATCCAACCGGGTACCCATTTTCTGCTGGGTGAACAAAGGCAATTTGGAACAAACTCACTTGCCTGAGATGAGACCACATGTGACACTTCGTTGTGGTACAGGTAAGGCCTGAAATTCTAGAAACTCTCAGGAGTCAAACTGCCAAACACGGTCACCCGTGCAAGGACTGTACGAACTCGACGTTGCTTACAGCTGATTCGTGACCTGAGTTCAATTTCTACATTCAACATTGACACATGGGTGTTTTGTGCAGATTTCTGTAGACTATTCAGAAAATGCACTTGCGTCGCAAGGAGTGAGTGAGTGAGTTTGGTTTTACGCCGCTTTTAGCAATATTCCAGCAACATCATGGCGGGGGACACCAGAAATGAGCCTCACACAATGTACCCATGTGGGGATTCGAACCCGGGTCTTCGGCGTGACGAGCGAACGCTTTAACCACTGGGCTACCCCACCGCCCCGCGTCGCAAGGAACGTGACATTTGTGTTATGAAGCACTCTGCGTGAGGCAGGTTGGTTGTTGATCAGGACCCCCTTTCACAAAGCACTAAGGTGATCGTAAGTCACTAAGGTAACCTTTGTGCAATGTTAAAGAATAGGAGTTAAGGTAGTAAAGGTTGCCTCGTGAAAGGAGACCCTGGCCCCGTTTCTAATTCCGGCAGTTCGTTTTAATTTCAAGGAGCAGTCATACCGCGTCGACATTTTCTTCTAATCTATCACGCCTGTGAGACTTTACAGCTGGCTCAATGGGTTTGTTTAGTCTCCAAACTAACCTCGCCTGTGTATGTGCACGTAGACTTCCAACGCTTGTTTTCCGAAAGGGTCAGGGTTCCGTCGCACAAAGCGATTTTAGCACTAAGGTGGTCGTAACTGCCATACCTTAACACCAACTTACGTTCATCGTAGTGCTTAGGTCGCTTTGAGGAACACGGACCTGGTAATTCATCACAAGTGGTGGGGTAGTGGTTGGGGTTGGGGGGTTGGAGAAACCCAATAGTGTTATTTTTTAACGTTATTTATGTTTTCTGGTCATTTATGATACGGACCCGTGAAGACCCGGGTTAGAATTGGTCTTCAGCAACCCATGCCCGTCGTAAGAGGCAACTAACGGGATCGACGGCAACATATGAAACGGTGCTAACACCAACCCCTATAATAACTGAATGTATATGAATGCAGACTTGGTGTCGTCGCTATTAGGCTGAAACAATGCCGATGCCACGTAAAACTCAACTCAACTTTACTTTAATAATTTAGCAGTCCTTATAAGAGCCAAAACGAAAGCATTGGTCTTGGCTTGGTTACGACGATTTGGGATTTTATTAGTTTTATGCCTGTTGAAGCGTGAAGCACTGCCACAGAAGTGTTTCTGGTGTTCAAAAAACTTTAAACAACCTTTCCGTTATATTCATTTTGTATGAAAGACCAAGGTATTAATTTCATGGTTTGTTATCTCTCACTCTCACACTCATACAAGCGCGTTAAACCCTGTTTCCCCTCACCTTCTGACTGAATCCTGAATGGGATTATTATGCATAGGATGATCATTGATGCTGATGCTGCCATTCAACCACTTCTCCATCTTCCGTTTCAAGCTCGTCGTTCTCAACAGGCAGTCCAATAACGTCTGTGAGCACATTCTGGACCAACATTGATTTTTCTATATAATCACATTACTGCAGCATAACCACTACTCCCAGCTAATTACGTTCCATTTCCTCGACTGATTTCTGGCACTCATCCCGAATCTGTTGTTTGCTGTGATATACTAATTGCCTCTCTCAGAACAACCATCTTCTTGTGACCTGGTAATGGGTTCTGACAAAAAGAGACTTCTGTCGCAACGTTCAATATTCTGGGCTTTAAGAATGAGGACATTTTTTTTATGGATATACAACTTCTTTATTCTGTATAGGGCATGTTTAGCACGCGATTCCAATGACATGCACGAGTTGTACACGTGCAAAAGGTGACATGTAAACCATGGTTCGAATGAGGAATGAATGTCGTCATAATGACGTCAGGATATTATGACGTAACTCAAATTAAGGGTGTATTTTATCCGGCAAACTCTGCGCCTTTGATCTTTAGCGAAGGATACATTTAACCTTATGTGTCTATATATTAAATATTCCTTGTCCAAAATAATTTGCTTGCAGGGGATGGTTTCGTTAAAAGAATACCAGACCGTTCCCATCCCACCAAACAATTGTACAAAGATTATAATTAATGCTTTCCCAAGCAAAAGCATTCGCGTTACTTACCCAAATCTCCAGCTATAATCTTTAAGCCCATTCACAAAAATGTAATGTGAACAAATAATGCCCACCTCAATGAAAGTCATAAATAAACCTATGACAGGGCTTGTTTGACCTCCGCCTGTTGCAAACATCTCGGGACCAATATACCAATGAAACTGAAATTTCACATACCTGTTCCTGCTAATGATGACACTCCAGTTTGTTCAAAATGTTCAAATCCCATTTCATTTTTTATGATCGTTGTTTTACAAAATAAATGAAAATTGAAATTACGAAATTGAGGGAGTTTAACTGTTTGCATGTATGGTTTGTCTTATAGCTGACATCGTGGTTTGTTTACATCGATATGTTTTCAGTCCACAGTACATGTATATATGTGCAAAAAATATACAGTAACTCATATCAATGCTGATATCTTTTCTCGGTTTCTTTGTGGATATTGTAAGCTGTAGACTACACTCTATTTTACATCACGGTGAACTGCACTATTTTTAAAAAGGTGTTGAGGGTTATCCAATGATTTTGAGTCTCAGGTGAAAAAGACACTGTAATTATGTTACCAATAATGTCGGGTCTGCCAGCAGGTTCTAACTGACCAGATGACCAGGTACGTAAATGGGTCATAATAACTAGGGCAAATAACCTCGTTATAACGCTGCAATCCGGTGACTGACCGCTACTCTATCGACCTCAACACAGTATCTTTCATGAATAAGTAATCCTTGTTGGTCACAGTCTCATTTCCCCCAAACCGTGCACCTTATCGGGAATGATAACGACTGACTGACTGAGTTTAGTTTTACGCCGCTTTTAGCAATATTCCAGCAATATCGCGGCGGGGGACACCAGAAATGGGCTTAACACATTGTGCCCAGGAATGATAACGAAATATTCTGTGTTAAACTGAACTTACAACGCTCGCCATGTGGATGACATTTGTTCGATTCCCAACATGGGCAGTGTGTGAAGCTGATTCTGTTTTTGTGATTTCATTTTTGTTTAATATATTTTGTAGCTAGGCATCCTGACTTATGTTAAGGCCAAAAGCGACACTGAGCTGTTTTGTTTGTTGTATGGCGTCGCCCTATATTCTTGTTGTGTGATGGCGGTATATAAATAGTCTGGAACAGACCTCCAGTGATTCTCATCCATCATGAGAATCCATCAATGCAATTGGAATACAGTGACATACATCGGCTGACCATCCGATACCGTTCGCCATCTTTTGGGAATTTCGATACGAATGAGAAATAACCAACAACAATGTTTCTGTAAAACTTGAGGCATCAGTTTCCATGAAGGAAAGCAATTCGTTTGTCAGAATATGCCTTATATGTGCCTTTCCCTGCAAATTGTCAGTACAAACATGTCTTATCCCCTCTTTAATGTGTGTATAGGTGAGTCTCCAGGCTTGGCTGTGCAGAGTTACGTCCCTTGAGTACGCCACTTTGTATGCGCCACACCCACTCAGGGGTTTCACTAACGTGGTGCAACGTCTAACACCCGCATCGGGCGTTACTCCTCCATCAGACATCGTGATATATTTGGAATATTGATGAACTCAATGCACTATTTTTTCAGTGCGGCTTTTTTCATTTTTAGTGAGTGAGTGACTTTAGTTTTACGCCGCACTCAGCAATATTCCAGCTATATGGCGGCGGTCTGTAAATAATCGAGTCTGGACCAGACAAAAAAGTGATCAACAGCATGAACATCGATCTGCGCAATTTGGACATGATGACATGTGTCAACCAAGTCAGGGAGCCTGACCACCCGATCCCGTTAGTCGCCTCTTACGACAAGCATGGGTTACTGAAGGCCATTTCTAACCCGGACCTTCACAGGTCTTCTTATCTTTTTGAGAGAAAGGAGTCGTGAACAAGAAGAAGCACTGAACTTTTTCTCGCATTGCACGATGTTATTATGATGTTAAATTCATTTTGTGGAAAGTTTCTTTTATTCCAATACACTCAACCACTCACGCTTGTTTCAGGGTACAAAGAGCATATCTACAGGCCTGACGATTTCGTGATCGCCGTCCACTCGCCCGAGTATCACCACTGTCTAAACGCAGGTAGGACGCTTTGACATTCCTTTTCATGATCATGATGATGATGATGATGATGATGATGATGAAAGATGATGATGAAAGACGATAGTGAAAGGAGCTGATGAAAGAGAATGAGGGAGGTAGGCGAGAGATGATGAAAAATGATGATGATGATGATGATGATGGAAGACGATGGTGAAAGAAGCTGATGAAACAGAAAGAGGGAAGTAGGCGAGAGATGATGAAAAATGTTGATGATGATGCTGGAAAATGAAGATGAAAGACGATGGTGAAAGGAGGCGATGAAAGAGAATGGGGAGGTAGGGGAAAATTGATGATGATGATGATGCTGATGATGATTCACAGTATTGACAGGGGATGATGAAGGATGTTGCAGTGGTGTCGTTACTGTTGCAGGCCATGAGCGTCCAGACATCAAACAGGTCGTGGATCAGATGGAACAGGAACAACAGAAGAAGAACAAGATGCTGGAGGGATTCAGTGCCCTGCTCTCTGACGCCGGGGTAAGTGCGCGTGCGTGCATACGTAATTGGCGTGTGTGTGTGTGTGTATTGGAAGGATGCTTGGAACAGTCAAATAAACTTCACATGTGCAACACGATTCCCAGTGACGGTTGAGAATTTAAACGTATTTGGAAACCATCTCGCGGCCGAAAGCTCAAGGGATTTTCCATCCCACTACCCAAGGACGGTGGGGTAGTCTTGTTGTTAAAGAGTTCGCTCGTCACGCCGAAGTCCTGGGTTCGATTACCCACACGGGTACACACACGTGTGAAGCCCATGTCAGGTTATCAGATTTTCCAAACATATCAACGGTGGTTGTGTGCAAAGTGGCGATGCACGTGACTCGTTAGGGACCGTAATGACGGTGCCAGTTCATGGACCATGTCCATCATTGAACTTAAGGACCCAAGGGCATGGCTTGCCTCCAGATCGACCTGACTTCACGTCGACATGAACGCTTGTCTCCATAGAGCATACTGGTATGGTTCATAGGTCCATCCAACATTCATGGAAAACAATAAACATAGATCATAAAGGGTGGATTGGTGGCACAGTGGTTAAAGTGTTTTCTTGTCACGCCAAAGGTCTGGGTTCACTCCCCATGAGAGTACAATTTGTGAAGCTCATTTATGGTGTCTCCCGCCGTGATATTGCTGAAATATTGCAAAAAAGTGGGGTAAATCCAAACTCACCTACTGGCCACACCCTGGTGCTTACCTTCTTAAACACACAGGAAGGTGAGTGTTATAGGAAACTTGCAAACTGTTTAAAATGCAAGAAATACGGAAAGGAATAAAACACAACAGGATACCATATGGTGAAAAAATAGGGTAGACGTAAGTGAGTGAGTGAGTTTAATTTTACGCTGCTTTTAGAAATATTCAAGCTATGTCACAGCGAGAGACACCATTGATGGGCTTTACACATTGTACCCACGGGGGGGGAATCGAACACGGGTCTTCGGCTTGACGCCTTAACCGCAAGACTGCCCTATCGCCCTGCGTAGAAATAGAAAACGACATCGTTGACAGCGGGCGAGAGGGAGACTACATGCAGCCTGTAGACAAGTGAAGTCAGTCACGTGTAAGATTGAACACCCTTTCATTGTCGACCTCAAATGTTTAGATTTTTAACCATAATCCACCGAGAGACCCTGATCATCTGAAAGAAATGTCTGAAACATTTTTCGACGATATTTTTTCCAACACACATTTTCATAAACATTAGGAAACGGTCGTAAAATATCTCTTGCTGGGAAATATGAGGATGGGGTCGGCATTAAATATAAGTATCATTCTTTGTTTGTTTGTAAGTTGTCAGCAATATTCCAGCTATATGACGACGGTATGTTAATAATCGAGTCTGGATCAGAAAATCCAGTGATCAACATTATGAACACAGATCTACTCAATTGGGATCCGATGACATGTGTCAACCAAGTCATGGAACCTGACCACCCGATCCCGTTAGTCGCAGGGGGGACAGACGGATATTCTGTGGAACAAGCCTGCCGAATAGAATGGGATGACGCATGTTTCGAGATTATACCAACATTATCAGATAGGCATGAGTTCTGTTTAAAGAGGTTTATGAAATTCAAATGGCAATAAAAGGGCGTTACCTATACTTGAGTGAGTGAGTTAAGTTTTACGCCGCACTCAGCAATATTCCAGCTATATGGCTGCGGTATGTAAATAATCGAGTCTGGACCAGACAATCCAGTGATCAACAGCATGAGCATTGATATGCGCAATTGGGAACCGATGACATGTGTCAACCAAGTCAGGGAGCCTGACCACCCAATCCTGTTAGTCACCTCTTACGACAAGCATGGGCTACTGAAGATCCAATATTCTAACCCGGACCTTCACGGGTTACCTAAAACTTTAAATGACAACGGATGGCACCAGTTTGTGTTTACAAAGTACACCTGCTCTGTTTATAAGAATTCCTTCAGATTTAATGATTTCCGTGCGGGGCATGTCCGCATACCCGTATTGTTCATAGGTCGATCGGGGCGGTGGTGTAGCCCTGTGGTTAAGGCGCTCGCTCATCACGTCCAAAACCCGGGTTCGATTCTTCAGATGGGCACAATGTGTGAAGCCCACTTCTGGTGTCCCCCGCCGTGTTATTGCTGGAATATTGCTAAAAAGCGGCATAAAACCTCACTCACTAACTGTGAATGTGTCTCACGTGTTTCTGTTTGTTGACAGATGACAGGCAAGGTAAAGAGCGTGATCGGCAATCCAGGGGAGGTAATCGTGCGTATTGCTGATGAAGAAAACGCCAGCATGATCATCACTGGAGCGCGAGGGATAGGGAAGATACGGAGGACGCTTCTCGGCAGCGTCAGCGACTACATTGTACACCATTCTCACGTGCCAGTTACAGTGTGCAGGCGGTGACCGACTTCCCGTCGTAGCGTTACCGGAGTATACATGAAATGCGAGAAGCAGGAGCTTAATTTACATCTCAAATGCATAATGTTTAGATTTTATATGTTGTATGTCGGAATTGCCCCTGATAAGAAAATTAGAACATATGCCCTCAATACTCTGCCAGCTCATGAATTCAAATCGTCATATAAGAAGTTATGTTTAAAGAAGTAGCAGACCATGGGTTAAACGACATTTCGGGATATCCCATTTCGATATCTAAACAGTTTTCCTAATAATTGATTGCAAGGCAACATGTTGAACCCATGGGTTGACTTCGGTTCAGCCAACAATTCGACATATCCGATTTCGATACCTCGTCATTTCCACTTTTTAGTATGTCAACATACACCAACTTGTTAAGACTTGACTTAATTTAACCGACGATTCGGCATATGCTAAGTTTGCTATGGTGGTTAAGAATCGACTTCATGACTGGTGATTGTTCGACATATCCGATTTAGTTGCGAAGTTTGTTATTAACGTGTGGTATAGTGTGATAAGTGGTTAGAAAGGGTCAATAGTGCTTACTTTCAATATCCAGTGAGGCACGAAGAATTATGGATTATTTGTCACTTGTGAGTGTGAGTGAGTGAGTGAGTGTGTTGGGTTTAACGCCGCTGTTAAGACCATCAGTCATTATTTTAGGTGTTCCTCATCTACGACTATAACCAGCTAGAGAGCGGGCCCCCCAAAAAAGGAAATATAGTTTTCAAAAATGATTTCCACTAATTGTATAACTATTTTTTAATTTTTTTTTTAAAATGTGGATGATTTAGTAATTTAAATTGATTCATTATGTAGATCGACTTGCTTTCTTTCCAAAACAATTCTTTAGTAAACGTAGATGAAAATAGACCCAGCTGGCCTGACCACTAGGAGTGAATGAGTATGGTTTTACACCGCTTTTAGCAATATTCCAGCAATATCACGGTGGGGGACACCAGAAATAGTCTTCACACATGGTACCCATGGGAATCAAACCCGGGTCTTCGGCGTGACGCGCGAACGCTTTAACCACTAGACTACCCCACCATCCGAGACTGGGAGGAAAGACTGAAGTGATGTAGGTCTACGGAGTTTCCTACTTCGGTAAACTGATAAAGCGGCGACACTCTAGTGAAATTTGGCTGAGTGTGGGTGTGGAGTGAGTGTGGGTGTCGGTGTGGAGTGAGTGTTGAGGGTTGAGTGTGGGATGTGGGATAGATGGCGTGGCTTTTGGGGTACTGTGTGTTGGGTGTGGAGTGTGGGGTACTGGGTGTGCAGAAGGGTGTGTGGATTTATTTGAAGAAGAACATGACATATCAATCTCTCAGAAAATCATTGATGTCGATCAGTTGTTAAAGAGGACGCAATGATGTCATTTTGTTACGTCATGAAGAGCAGATGACGTCATATCGCATACATTTTTGGCTGTGACTGTAAGCGCCATATTAGTATAACCAAGCAACATTTGGAATAATATACTGATACGATTATCAGAATATCATTTTCAATTTTCTAACCTTTGTGGAGTACTGAACATTTCTTTGTAGAGTTTCTCAAAATTTCACAATGTCGAATGTTTGGGGCAATATAGTGCAGTTACGTGTCGTCATTATTGTCTGTTGACGTAACTGAATGTAGGGGTGACGCCTTTGCGTACGGAGTTATGGCAAGTTATCATGCTGCTAACTTCATGAAGAGTTTGTGTTGGTCACTTTTAATAAATGTCACAATTATATGCTCGACGTTGCTTGTTATTATAAACATAAGGGGAACTTCATTTTTTAATTTACGATTCGAAATATTGGGAGATATATTGGAGTCAATCAATGTTGATATGATAATAATGAATGTTTTGAGAGTGCATCACCACTGCATTTCCACCATAGTTGTTTGTACAGTAATCGCTCTTGAAAGATGATTGGTGTATGACGTGAAATTTTCATTTAAAAACCAAAACAAAGAGAAACGGCTAGAAACAAACAATAACACCAGTTTGATGCAAGATGATTGTCAAACTTAATAATCTACAGTGATTTATCGACTGTAAATCGTTAAAATCAAGAAATCACACCCCATGCACATGTATGGGGCTACTGCGTTGTGCACGTGCATCCTTTGCGTTGTGTTTAGTGTTTGGGGGTGGTGATAAAAAGAAATGGTGGTGCGTTCATAACACCCCTGTCTTTGAAACGTTTGTCAACGTTTATACTTCCCTTCCAAACTGGACGTTCAGGTTCCCCTACTTTTTTTTGAAGAGTATACACTGGCAAAGTCATGGCTTGCGATCAGGCGAGTTTTCGTGGCAGTTTTTATCCATCACCTACAATCATTTACTTTTCGTTGTCTTAAATCCAAATTGTCCAATGTTTCCTAAAATCAGTGCCATGGCATGTTCTTCAACTGTTAATCAAATTCTCAACATATTCAGACATTTTGGCGCTTGTTGGCATATGATGTCTGACTCTACACACCTGGGTAACCCTTCAACAATGACTTATCATCTCGTGATGGAAATCAGATATTTATGTACGAACGACGATAACTGACATAATCTTGAGTCGTTACAGGTACATGTTTTGTAGATTAGTGGGTAGAAGATCATTCCCAAGCTCATTTTCAGTCCATACCTTGCTGTCACTGACATTGCAGTTGATGAGAAACAGATGTTCAGATGAAAAGAACGTTTCGAGAATGAAAAGAAATTTCTCCTGAAAGGACATGTGTATGAAACACTATAAAATTAACTCGAAAAAAGGCGAGCCCATCCTGTGCAACCCTTGGCTACCACCAAAAACATCTGTAACCAAACCTCTGTCATCTGTATACTAAAGGCAAGAAGATGACACTCTTCTTTAGTCAACCACAACTCTTGCAACAGGGAAGTGTGATTTATGTTTACAACTGTAAGAGTTAACTAGCTCCAGAACGGACTATGCTGTCAGCCCGTGACAAGGATGTTAAATCTGATTCCAGTAGTCGAGGAACCGCGTTTGCAATGTCAGGACGTCAGTTTTGGTGAGTAGGAATTAGAATAATGACAAAAACTCTGAAACAAGAAATATCCGAAAACTCGTCTAGAGCACAGTAAAGAAAACGATATTAGAAACGTTTTTTCTTCAGTAAAGCATGCTTTGGTGTTATTGTGGTTTGGATGTGGAAACAATGCGTGAAAGAAACGATCCGATTCTAGCAGGATTAATCCTTCCAGTATGTCACTTAATTACAAACGCAATGGACATACTTCTGTAGCTATTTCCTATTAAGTAATTTAGAATTATTACAATTGTGAAATATAACGGTTTCCCTATTTTCATGTGCAAATACATACGTTGTAAGATGACTTATATTGTAATCTCTGGAGGTTCAGTTTGGGAACACCTACCCCAAAACCAATGTTTGTCGCAATTGCAGTCGCCTGGCTTGCAATCTGTATTTGTATGGTATATACGATTCTTATGAAAATCATCACCTGTCCTGTCTAGACCATGCTATTAACAGACCGCCGTCATATATACCACCGGCAAAAAGAAGGGACCTAGTGAAACGATAATACAAATGAAACGACGATAAATGTGTAAAACAAGACCAGATGAGACCTTCATGTTTGGCGTTAAATGCACGACCACCCTGGTGGTAAAGTGTGACTAACTTGAGTATGATTGAGCTTTGTATTGTCGCCATTCCGCTGGAAGAAATTCCTCAGTCACCCCCTCACCTCACCCCAACCCCCTGACACAGAATGTCGTGTACATATCGCCAGACAGTCCATGACATCACCGCAGCGTTGCCATCAACGTTTTCTTCCATTCCTCAATGGGAGCCAAATCGTGATCTTCTAAACCTGGTGTATCGCCATTGGATCACAGTTCGTCCCTGGTGTTGCTAACCCCATCTCCGTAATCCCGAACTTCCCCTTGTGAGTTCCCCTATAGCACTACACACTTTAGCATCTTTGACATACAGTTTCATTGGAATAGATGACATGTTAAAATGCCACGCAGAGGTATTGTAAATGAACATCTTAACGACATCTACCTTCAAATCATTGGCTCCCTTATTTTAGAATATCTTGAATATTGCTGGGTACGCCGCTGGTTCTCTCTCAAAACTACAATGAAGGACATCTCAGCTTAGTACGTTTTTTGACTCAGTATCTTATCTGGACACAATAGACATGGACATTTTTTTTCCAGCTACACGTATGTGAACATTTTCAATTTCATTCTTTGTGTTGGACCATAGTGACCTAGTCAAGTTAGACGATGATAGCAATTCGCCGTTTTAAGCATTACAAAGATCCGTTACTATAGTTACCGAACATCATTTGACCAACTTTATGACCCTTGGGCAAAACCTTAACAATTCCCTTTGAAAACGCCTACAACAAATCGACATTAACTTCAATCACTCACCCATTCCCTACACACGTTTTGATATATCATTATCGTTGTGACTGTACCTGTCTAAAAGACAATATAGGCCATGAGCCAGACAATTTTTCGATACCACTTTTATGTTTTTTTGAAGTGTCATGGTCTCTACATATCGAAAATATATGATGCCATGTTGGTTTGGTAGCTTAGATTCAGAACGAGGCTAAATCCACGATGGCCGCCAATAAACCCCAACATTTTCAAAAAATGTCAATTCCAAGCTTGAATCATGGATAAAGTTCAGCAAATAGGTTGGAAATTAAAAAAAAGGAGATAAAAAGGTGCTAACCTGATCAAAAAGATTTAATTAATATCAAGTGTGTTATTTGATACCTTTAAATCATATTTTGTAAAAGTCAAAGTTGTAAGTTCAAAGAACTTCTTCGAAAACTCATCATTTCATTTATTCGGAAGACACCTCTTTAATTTCAAAGAGTTAGATCACCTTCAAGTTCCTTAATTTGTGTAGTGATAGTCACTTTTCCGCACCATAAACATCAGCTTCATCTTCAGTGTCACTCTTCGGCATGTCATGGTCCTCGCATACCATGTTGTCACAAATCTGGTTCCGACATGTCACGGTGTATTTCAGTCCATTGGTAAGGCATTGACAACTTGGCGGTTTACAGACTGTTGTGCACTTGCAAGAAATGAACTCAAGAACAGCATCTGGAGCAAGAGATCCTGACATCTAGCAAATCGCTATGTGACCATTTTCTTCCACCTATCAATTACCATCTGTTGCCCGTGGAGTTGGATACTCAGCTTCTAGACAGTTGTTCCATATTGCAGCTTGATAGTTTGCTCTCAGGATGTGCATAGATAGACACTCAAAGCAGTGTGGCAATTGTCCTGGTTCAGTTATCCATTTTTTCGCTTCAAATGGGTGGTAGCGCAATTGATTGACATCCCTTATTGAAGAACCTGAGACATACAGGCGGCATGTGAATGCTTGAAGTGAGTTGATCAAACCTGGTGGCACAGCCCACTCATTCTCAAGTTGTTGGAAAGCCTCTGGATAAGAAGTTGACAAGAAGTTTGAATGCATTGACCTTCCCTCTGCCTCCAAGAGAACTGACAGTATCACATACAGTGCAAGCGTGTAGTCCAGGAAGGACCTTGCAAACACTTTGACCAAACGCCACAGCAACTATCTGATTTTGTGTACCAGCTTTGGTGTAAATATTGGTTGCAATGTCACTGCTGTTTGCTAAGGACAAGACAAAGTCATCTGTGTCAACTGAGGAAATGACAACTGATTAGGATTCCAAAGATGCATGTTTAGCATGAAACAGCACCGGCGTGTCTGCTTCTTCTAAGGTAGTAGACAAGGATTCAACTTCAGCTGAAGATTCAGAGGTCATTCTGCAGCACTTGCTTTCACAGTATTCTGTCTTCAGGTTTGGTCCTGGAATGAGGACGCTGCCGGTCTTGAATAATGAACTGGATGATATTGATTTTGCTTTCTGATGATCGTATCTTGTGTCTTGAAGCAATGTTACAGTAGACTAGGCTGTTGTCTGGTTCCCGGCTAACTCACTCTGCTGACTTGATGGAGTTGTTATGGTACACTTCAAACACCACATCGTTGCGGTAACCTGTTCCAAGAGGCAAAGCTAGTCACTTTCGCATGTCCAATTTCCTGCTTTGAGCGACAAGAAGCGTATGGCCAAATAGCTTGTTATCTGTTTTCAGGATTGTTGCAGTATTTGACCCTTTCTTCTTCTTTTGGCAGTTGACATGAGTAAATGCTTTCAGACTTTGTTTTGGAAGACGATAGTAAAACTTCTGTCTGCCTCCTCTCCAAGCTGTTTGGCTCGGTGAAGATCTTGAGCAACAGTCTCAAACCATCTGCTGTGAGTAGGTACTATCTTACCACTGAACATAAAAGCATAAGTCTGAGCCAGCTGCGAAGACTCACAGAGATTGAGGCACCTGACTTGGAACATTCAAGGATAGTCAAGGATGAATCTGATGTTTAGTCCATTGTTAACCTGATCGAAGATGAATGGATCAACCCCCTTGTCACCTGTCCACCTGATCTCATCGGCATATCGACAGGGTCTTGTGCTCCGACAGATGTTGCTCAAGATCTTCAGTCAACAGCTAGGAGAGGAGGCATACCTTCATATTTCTGAAGAAAGACTTGAGAGCTAGACAAAGCAGGAATTTGGACTTGTGGAAGGTACAAGCTTTGCCCCTCGGACTATTACCATTTGCACTAGCGATGGGACAATGAAAAAGGCCAACAAAGCAGCATTAGCAAGACATCTTGAAAAATCTGTCTCATTGCCAGAGGTAATTCCTGGACCCTCAACATGCATCATAGATGGAATGAGTGTAGTACAGAAAACCCATGTTGAGAACAAGACGTTCTGGGAACTGTCACTGTTAGTCATTTATTTCATCCGCCCTACATATAGGAACAGGAAGCTATCCCACAGATGGAAGAAAGTTGCTGTGGCGTTTGGTCAAAATGTTTGCAAGGTCCTTCCTGGACTACACGCATACACTGTATGTGATACTGTCAGTTCTTTTGGAGGCAGTGGGAAGGTCAATCAATTCAAACTTCTTGTCAACAGCAAGGAATTTCAAGAGGTTTTCCAACAACTTTGGAATGAGTGGACTGTGCCACCAGGTTTGATAAACTCACTTCAAGCATTCACATGCCACCTGTATGCCTCAGGTTCTTCAATAGGAGATGTCATTCAATTGCTACCACTTATTTGAAGTGAGAAATTAGAAATTTTACCATAAATTGTATATTTATATACTTTTCCTTTCTCATGACTTGCATCTCTCTCTTGGACACTGAGTGGAACGAATGTAGACTTTTCCCTTAGGCCTCTCTTGTCCATTCGCCCGTGCATATATATATATATATATATATGTATATAAGTATATAAATATACAATTTATGTTCAAATTTTCAAATTTTCAAACTTATCCCATCTCACGACTTGCCCTTATCCCACGGTTGGACAGCGGGAGGCAGATTACCCTGTGTCAGAACAGCGCAAACAGCAATGCTGCATAGACTGAAGACAACCGTAGATCTTTGATTGTCTATCTATGCACATCCTGAGAGCAAACTATCAAGCTGCAATATGGAACAACTGTCTGGAAGCTGAATATCCAACTCCACGGGCAACAGATGGTTATGGATGGGTGGAAGAAAATGGTCACATAGCGATTTGCTAGATGACAGGGCCTTTTGCTCCAGATGCTGTTCTTGAGTTTATTTCTGTAAACAGTCAAGTTGTCAATACCTTACCAACGGACTGGCTTATGGTGAATATGTTCTCTAGGTGGGGGGGGGGGGACTAGTACAAAAGACTACACATTGCTACATCTGTTTCAAAATCCTCAATCCAAATATGTTTCTTTCAGAAAATGTAAGACGTCTACACCAGAGAATAGTCGGTCTCGATTATAAGCCAAACAGATTCATTTGAACGTGTCTGGCAAGTTCAGAATGGCAAATCTACAACATTCAAGGCTCATATTCACATGTGCTTTCGACATCCTGCTGGCAGCAATGATTTCTGGTCAGAGTTGTTCCCCTTGTAACTGTACCTTCGACCACCACCAGGTATACGTGAACTGTTCAAACTTGAATCTTACAAAAGTTCCAAAGGGTTTACCAATATCAACCACAGTGCTTTTTCTGAATGGCAACAACATAAAGACAATAGGATCAAAGGTATTTTCAACAATGAGAAATCTCCAGTATCTATATCTTGAAAGTAACAATCTCAACAGCCTACATGAATTGGCTTTTCATGGCCTTAACAACCTCGTCAACCTGAGCCTAAAAGACAACGATCTAAAGCTGGATTCAAAAACCTATAAAACAAATCTGTTCAAACCTCTACATAAGCTTCAGGTTCTTAACATACAGTTCAATCAGTTGACAGCATGGCCTGGAGATGACAGTGGACATGAAGCATATCCTGACGCAACCTTTCAGTATTTATCAGGACTTACTCATCTTTACATCGATGGTCGTCCAGCAGGCTTTGGACCAGGATTTGCCAAACTTATGAAACTTTCTCTTCTCGCCTTCACCCCCTACACCAACTATTGTAAACTGACCTTGCAAAACTCAACTTTTGTAAATGTACCCCATGTGGAATACCTGTACATGTCCTACTGTCAAATCAGAGAAACAGAACCTTCAGCATTTTCCCCTTTTCATCGTATCCATACAATTGATGTTTCAGAAAATTGGGATTTAGGATTTCCTGAATTTGTTAAAGCAACGTATGGTCTACGTGATTCTCCATTACAAATTCTGAAAATGAACCATATAACTGAATTATCCCAATCTTGTTATCGACTGCGGGTAAACGATTTTGTACATTTAAAGAATACCTCATTGCGTGAACTTGACATTTCTGGCAATGGACTCATTGATTTTGAAAAAGGAACCATGTTAAATTTACCCGTTACTCTAGAGGTGTTGAATGCCCGATGGAACAGGTTTTACCAGGGCCCATACTTGTCTGAAATGACGCAACTGAAGGCACTCCGAGTTCTAGATGTCTCACACCAGAAAATACTACAGCATGCTGGTGCTCACTCAAGTCAAGGGAGAGGGTCGTTTCTATACAATTTGCCGCCAAACCTTCAAGTGTTGAAAGTATCATACTGTTGCCTAAGAATTACTTTAATATCGGGTAAACTGAAGAAAAACGATTTGAGAACCATTTCTCTAAATGGTATTTTGATTTCTTCTGTCACAGGTGTTGTTGATGGTTTTCAAAAGGTTGAACATTTTGATTTCTCTGACAACATAATGGAATTGTTCCACTCAAGTTACTTTAATATTAACAATAGCCTGAGACATCTCAACCTTTCAAAAAACTTTCTTGGAAATGCGATAGATGCTGACGAAAAGGGTGATGCTTTTAGTTACATTGTGAACTTGACAGATCTGGATATATCTCAAAACAGAATAAGTTACTTACCAGAGGCTATCTTTAGAAATTTAACAAATATACAATTTCTCAGAATTAATAATAACAGTATTAGAACAATTAATGCTCAACTCAAACACTTGTCACACCTAAAATTATTTGATGTACGTCATAACCATCTTCTCGAAATGTCTGTCAAGACTCTACAACAACTGGACAAACTGTCACATGTTTCAGTCCGCCTGAGAGGAAACCCTCTAAATTGCATATGCTCATCCCTTGAATCTCTCCGATGGATGAAAAGAGTCGCTGATAAAGTTGAAGATCTGGATTCACTGACGTGTCTTACTAAAAATGGAATGGTCAACAGCTTTAGAAATCTAGATTCTATAATAACAAGTTTGGAAAAAGAATGCAGTTCAAGTGTTCTAACTTCTGTTCTAACAGTGTCCAGTCTCTTTATAACAATGGTCGGTATAGGATTAGGGGCAGGGTATCGACATAGGTGGAAATTGAAATACCTGTACTTTGTCGGGAGAAGAAAGTATCGGGAACTGGAGACTACTGACCAAGATGGCCAAGTGTATGAGTATGATGCTTTTGTGTCATATGCAGACACAGACAGATGCTTAGTTATCGAGAGTATGATATCGGAACTGGAAGACAAAGGTGGACTTCGATTGTGCATCCACCATCGGGACTTTCTTCCAGGGGAAGTCATTGCTTCCAACATCGTCAACGCGATCCAGAATAGTCGCAAGACCTTGATTGTTTTGTCTCCTTCTTTCCTGAAGAGTCACTGGTGTGATTTTGAGTACAACATGGCCCAAATGGAGGGAATTACAAGAAGACAGAACATCGTTCTGGTGGTGCTGTATCAGCATGTTGACATGAAGCATCTACCCAAGGACATGGCAGTGATGTTGTCCAACAACTGTTACTTGGAGTACAACACGGACGTGTATGGTAGTGTTGTATTCTGGGACAGGCTACGTGAATCTATTACCACAGTCAACAGAATGGAATGACACACCATTGAGGATACAACTCTTTAATTGTATATAGATGTAAGCATTACCGTATATCCTATTCCATGGTAACAGATGCAGCATGTGTCCCAGGGTAGTATTTATAGTCTTAGACACACCTGTGTTGCCATACTTCACTCTCTGAATAGTGACACAAAAATGTCAAGAGCACTGTGTTATAATTTTCAGCTTATGACCAAAATATAAAAAAATGATATTGTAACCACTGGTCGTAAAATCATTGGTTCCAAAGACTTAGTAATCCGTACTTTACGAGCAGCAAATTAGTAAAAAGGTAAAGAAAGACTCAAACCACAGTTCCCATTTCTGCTCCTAATTTTTAAGCTATGCCTGTTTGGAACAAACATTCATTCATCCCAGTCCATCAGAGCTTTTAACAGTAGCTAATACATTTTGGTAACATGTCTGTCTCAGCCTATAATTATTGTTTCCTTGTTGACAACGATACTTGTTACCTTTTTAGTGCTGTTGTTTTACTGCATACTTAATCTTATCTTGCCAATCCTTTATCCCAGCTATTATCAGAAGTCTTACTATTAATTTAGTTTGTTGGACTTTTGTGTTTTACTCTATTACTAATACATATTCCTTTGACAATAGTGTCTATTACGCTTTTGTGCTATAATTCATACTGTATTCTCACCATGATCTACTGAGGTTTTCACTGCAAGATTATAAATGTGACTTATTTTTGTGACCACGATTTCTATTGCAGTGTTAGTGCTGCACCTTACATTCTTAACTTCTCTCATAAATGTCGTGTATTGTATGATTATGTATTTGTAAGCATTATTTTATGTGTTCATTCACGGTGTAGCCATAATTTCCCTTTGGAAAATAAAATATTATCTCATCTGATATTAACTTACCTTACCTTTCCTTCACGTTTAAGTCAATTCAAAGTTGATTAATCTTTGATGAGCCTTTTTACAAAACATTTATTCACCCCTCTTGAGTTATAATTTTTAGTTTATGACAAAAATATAATAAAATATTCACTGAAATATTATCTCATCTGATATTACCTTATCTTATCGCATCTTATATGACCATCTTCCCCAACCAGATACGACTTTGTACCACTTCGAGTTCTTCTGTATAGAATATTAACTTGGCTTCATATTCCTAAGAACTGACCATTAGGGAGTAATGAATGAACATGGAAATAAAGTATTTCCTAGCAGGAACCAAAGCATTTTTCACACAAAACATTTTGTCAAGATGTCCACAAAACCATCAGCAATCAAATAGCATATTCTCTTTAAAAGCGAGTGAAACAAAAAGGAAAGAAAAGAAAAGCGTTTTGAAGTGGATCGTGTCTTTAGTGTGTAAGTGCATTACCCAGGTTGTAGTTTCTGTAAGCCGTTGGGCGGTGGGGTAGCCTAATGGTTAAAGCGTTGGCTCGTCACGCCGAAGACCCGGGTTCGAATCCCCACATGGGTACAATGTGTGAAGCCCATTTCTGGTGTCCCCCGCCGTGATGTTGCTGGAATATTGCTAAAAGTGGCTTAAAACCAAACTCAGTCTGTCAGTCTGTTAGCCGTTATCTTAACTGGAGACCAGGCAGTTCCCTTATTGCAAAAATCATATTCGGATTCCGTACACGTATACTATTACGGTAGTTTAGCATGGTGACATCCTGGTATAGAAAATGCAAGCTGAATTCAGAAACCTTGTTTTAACCCTTTCGATGCTTACTTGGAACCTTACTTGCACGGGGATTCGTTAAACTAACACTAACATTCACCATCTTCTTCCAAGTTTGACACCACAGAAGACATGTTTCGTTACTGGAGTGTGTATTTATTTATTTATTTATTTATTCATTTATTAATTTTTTATCTATTTATTTATTCATTACTGAGAAAACTGTATCAAAAACTGTGTCGAATTCGAAGTATTTTCGCAGGGCTTTTCAACAACCTATTTCATAGCAGGAAAACGTAACAGGTACAAGTCGGAGATATTCACGATTCGTTGTTATATGGACAGAAAAATGCCGACTGCTACCTTAAACCCCTATCTTCCCCCTGCCCCCCTAATAAACAAGCACACTTCTTACCAGAAATATTTTCTCCACGTAATGGTGGTAAATACGATTCTCTCACCCATGATCATATCTAATTTTATTATCTATCCAAACTGAAAAGTGCCGTGATACAATACAGTTCAACTGAATTCACTTACTGTTGAAACCAGATAATATCGATCTCCATCATGCTAAGTTCCCGTCAACCAATATCGATCTCTATCATGCAAAGTTCGCGTCAACCAAATAGGCAACGCCTGGTAAATTTGCATAATACCCAGGAAATGCGTCTGTGGTAAATTTGAAGAGTGAGTGAGTGAGGTTAGTATTACGCCGCACTCAGCTATATTTCAACAATATGGCGGCTATCTGTAAATAATTGTGTCTGGACCAGACAATCCAGTGATCAACAGCATGAGCATCGATCATTGTACGCAACTGGGACACGATGACATGTGGCAACCAAGTCAGCGACCATGATCACTCGATCCCGTTTGTCGCCTCTTACGGCAAACATGGGTTACTGAAGATCAATTCTTCACGGGTCTGATTACGATAAACTTGGTTACCGAGATAGAAGATCATTTTATAGAGCCCAAAGCAAACTTTACACTCTAAATGAAGGATAGATGGGTTCTTGAGACAATCACGCTAAACCTTCTAAAACGTTCCGCTTTCATTTATACCATCTCGATTTTGGAATTTCGTTTCGTACACAGTTCTAAAATGGACAATTATATGCCCCTTTGCGATCTATCATTCTCCCTTTTTGGTGTAAATTCCATGCCATTCTCAAACAGTAATATGTTATCATATCCATGGCAGGTACGTGAATGTTGTCATAATTATAATCCAATATGCTTGTCTGAATGCATTGCAAACTCGTACCAGAGGTTTGGAAGCCTCGACGATGATTGGCAAAAGAGAAAGATCAGATGACCCAGTCTCTTACAGCTTGTTCAGTTTGACCTAAGCTACTCTACATATGCATGACCCGGTAGGTCAAATGGCAAAAACGGCAGGTCGAGTTAACTTCATTAAATAGGTGAGCAGAGAATGTAATTAATGCTGCGTTCGTGCGAAGCATGCATAAATGGATTCGTTACAGAACTTGTCCCGGAAAACAACACTTCTGAAAAAATAATCATTTCATGTTTTTCTTGAATTGTTTATGCAGTCATATGCTATGCTATCTAGCTTGGTTTACTAACTTTACAACGTACAGACGTCAGTTACTTTCACAATCCGTTTCGCTCTCGCTATCACCTGTAGCTTATATTTGTTAAAGAAAGTAAGGACATTGCTGACGATTTCTCGTCACTGAGATGTCAAACGGCGACCTTGTCTCGGCTGTTCGGACATGTTGACAATCAACTGACAAAGGTGCACCCTTCAAAATAATGGACCCAACCAGTTGTGACACGGTCACGCAATTCATTAGTATTCACTTGATCAGGTCAAGCTGAACAAGCTGTAGAGGTGTCTTCAGATCTTGACGAAGAATGGTATCGTAACGCTCTACAAAAATAAATTTTAATGAGACCGTACACAGAATATGATAATATTTCAAAGATTATTTCTACCTTATTCCGTCTGCACAGGACAAAACTACACACTGCTTGCAGAAAGTGTGTGTGTGTGTTGTTTTACGCCGCGTGTAGTAACATTCCAGCAAGACCATAGCGGGGGACGCTAGGAATTGATCTCATTGTACATCATAGGAAAACTGAACCCGGACCTTTCTCTTGACGAGCGAACACACTTCTTGGAGTGCGAGTGTATGAACAGCATTCATCGTGGCTGCTTTCTCTTGACGAGCGAACACACTTCTTGGAGTGCGAGTGTATGAACAGCATTCATCGTGGCTGCTTGAGCCTGTGTCAGTCAAGGAAGCAGCTTGTGGCCTTGTGTGAGTGATTGAGATGGGTTTTACACCGCTTGTAGCAATATTCGAGCAATATTACGACGGGAGACACCAGAAATGAGCTTCACACATTGTATCTATGTGGAGAATAGAACTCCGGACCTTCCTCGTGACGAGCGAACACACTTCTTGGAGTGCGAGTGTATGAACAGCATTCATCGTGGCTGCTTGAGCCTGTGTCAGTCAAGGAAGCAGCTTGTGGCCTTGTGTGAGTGATTGAGATGGGTTTTACACCGCTTGTAGCAATATTCGAGCAATATTACGGCGGGAGACACCAGAAATGAGCTTCACATTGTATCTATGTGGAGAATAGAACCCGGGTCTTTGGTGTAACGAGCGAACCATTAGACTACCCCAACGCCCCTATTCTGAAAAAAAGATTATAAATGCATGGGTGAATGAGTATGGTTTTACGCCGCTTTTAGCAATATTCCGGCAATATCACGGCGGGAGACACCAGAAATGAGCTTCACACATTGTATCCACGTGGAGAATAATACCCGGGTCTTCATGGTGACGAGAGTGAACGCTTTAAACCACTAGGCTACCCCACCGCTCCGGATTATAAATCATATAACAATATAATAGTAATATAACAAGAAAATCTTCCCAGGTTTCTGATTTAAACATCATAGTAAAACGCATGACAGTTATTCGCGTAAATACTATAAAACTGTATTACACCCAGCCAAGTAACTCATTTACACTGTAAAGGTAACGTGAAGAATCAGTCGATAATACCCGTGAAAATCACCGTTAGAATTGGTCTTAAGCAGCCCATGCTTCTCGACTGGCTGGATCGGTGGTCAGGCTTGCTGATTGGATTGGCACACGTCATCGTGTCCAAATTGCGTAGATCGGTGTTCATGATGTTGATCACAGGAGTGTCTGGTCAGACTCGATTATTTACATACCGCCGCCATATAGCTGGAATATTGCTGAGTGTGGCGTTAAGCAACATACAAACAAACAAACAAATCAGTCAATAAAAAAATACACACGTTGTGTCATATAGTTCATTTTTTCTGACATCACAACATCGTCACCAACGTATGTCCAGTGTGCTTACTTGTGCTATCTGTCATAGTTATCATGTAACCTCGTTCGTAGTGTCACGTGACTTAGAGATATGCTCACTTCAGACAAGAAAGGTGAGTGACGACGTACAGAGAAATCCATTCACAAGAACCTGTTCAAGATGGCCGACGCCAAGCGAGTTGTAGCCATAGCGATGGACGGGAGCGGAGAACTCGGACTATGCCTTTCAATGTAAGTGTGAGTTGAATCCTAAACAGGAAGTACTGTTTGTAGGAGGGTGGGATTACGTTCTACTCCTCGAGTATCACACGTGTCACGAGCATGTGTGATATGTGTAGACTAATGTGAACACTAGTGGGGCAGATAGCGTCTCTTTTTTCTTCTTCTCTTATCAGCCCCCTCCTCATACAGAATGCATTATATAGTGAGATGTTTTTCATTACGCTATTCTATTCTTGTCAAAATGAAAACTTACTTTCTGAATATTCATTATATGAATTCTGCAGTGTGATAATTACTCCATGCAAGTAGACTATTTGCATTCTGTGGATGAGCTACCTGTCCATTTTCTGTTTACAATGAAATAATTAATATATTTACAGTAATATTTCCACATACATTTATACATAGGTAATATATTCATTGCTTCTCCGCGGGGGTATATGGACAATATTCACAAAGCAAAGACCACGTCATCTTTGTCCACTGTCCAGAATATCGGGCTGTTGTCCACTCAAGTAAGATATGAACGCCATAAACATTAAACTACGTTAAAACGAGACACGCTTATAACGAACTGGCGGGTATAACGAACTGACGGATATAACGGATATAACGAACTGACGGATATAACGTACTGACGGATATAACGAACTGACGGATATAACGAACTGACGGATATAACGTACTGACGGATATAACGAACTGACGGATATAACAGACTGACGGATATAACGAACTGCTTTTTGTTCCGGCCACATTATATTTTAGATAGGGGCGATAATTTAGCCTAGTGGTTAAAGCTTTGCTTATCACCGAAGACCAGGTTCGATTTCCCACATTGGTACAATGTGTGAAGTCCATTTCTGGTGTCCCCGCCTTGATTTTGCTGGAATATCGCTAAAAGCGGCGTAAAACCATACCCACTCACTTATATTTTAGTGGAAATGCGTATAATGAACGACTATGAATGTTTCCAGTCGAGTTCGTTATATCAGAAGGTTACTGTACAAAGTACTTATGATGTTAATCTATTCTGTTGTGTCGGGCTGCCTGGTCCAAAGTAGGGAACACTTTGTGTTTGGTAATTTGACTGTACGTGCATAAAGTCCAGTAAGAGAGTGAGTCTTTAGAATCGATTACACATTAAAGGTGAAAATGAATGGATATCAACTTTATTATAGGGAACGCGACGTTTCCGGGTATATTCTTACTTCTTCATCTGTTAGAGGCATGATATTGTTTTTAGTCAACTGTCAACTGCGTTCGAGTTATATGTTTGTTTCAGTTGAATAAAGTTCTGTATTGACATTCAGGTCAATCTAATTTAATATGATTTTTTGATGATACCTCTCTGCATCTATATTCGAGGTCACCTCGATGGAGGTCAATAAGAGTCAGCAGTGAGGGGCTGTTACATTATTCGATAAGACTGCGCGAAGCGTTCGTAGCAGTATATGTGATTTTGGATCTCGAAAACAGAGCTTAAACAACTTTTCCCGAATGCACATAATTGAGGCCGAGGGATCATATTGTTTTGGAAATTATATACAACCTGTCCGATCTACATCCAACATGGGATACAGTCGAATACATATTCTTGTATATCCGTAGATTTGTTTTAATTAAGATTAAAATTCATGATAATTCTACGCTCTTTCGGCCTACAAATAAAGGAGGATGGGAAAGAATACATAGAAGTATATATATCATCGTTGTCATGTCGGAATGAAATATGGAACAGGAAGTAGTAGAGTCTTATGTCTCTTTGTGGAGCTGTGCTCGCCCACTGAAATAACACACCGTTGTTGAATATGGATACTCCACTCCAGACACATTATGTGGACTCAGTCCCAGCCAACGAGGTTTTGTTTGTACCAATAATACCGACGAAAGGTTGAGGGGTAACAACAAGCAGCATATCTTAACATCTCTTGGTATGGACTGGTATTGGTATCGAACACAGACCTTCCGCTCTCCAATCAGACGTTCCATCCACTCGACCACGAGAGACTGTGTCAAAATGTTTTCAACTCGTCATATTCAACATTAAGTATTTAAGATGCATCTTCAAGTTTCCTAAAATGCAAATGGCGACATGTTGCAATACCAATTACAGGCAACACAGGGCCCTACTTATTTCGAGGGTCAAATCAACAGGTTGATGACAGGAGACATTTCTTGATTGTTACCGATGTTATCAGTTCTCGGCAAGCTCGAAGTTACAACAGCCGACCTCACAATGCACATAGCAGCGTGTTTGTATGACCAGACTCTCATGTATTTTTTATACCGTCATCGTTACATCAAGAGGTCAAGGTCAGCGTAATATCACAATATTTTTTTATACACCGCCATCGTTACATCAGAGGTCAAGCTCAGCGTAATATCTACGTATATTTATACACCGTCATCGTTACATCAGAGGTCAAGACAACGTAATATAACAATGTATTTTATACACCGTCATCGTTACATCGGGAGGTCAAAGACAACGTAATATAACAATGTATTTTTACACCGTCATCGTTACATCCGAGGTAAAGGACAACGTAATACCATAATGTATTTATACACCAACTTTACATCAGATGACAAAGGACAACGTTATTAATATCACACAAAATGCACACTGAGACGCTTTGTAGATATCACATTAGCTATACCTAGTATTAGCTATCATCCTCATTATATCCAGGGTATTACATCTCCATACAATAATTTAGGAAGTACCCGCATGCGATTAGTAAATGATAAAGTCTGGACCAGACAAGCGTGTGGTTGATAACATGAGCATTATGTGTACGCTGACACGCAATCGACCAAGTCACCCAATCCATTCCTATAGACCTTGTGGGCCTTAACAAACAATTGATTCTACTGGAAGAAATAAGCTTATGTTGCCTACATGTTCTCCTAAAATGTTGTCTTCATATTATTTTTTTGATTTTTTAGTATTAGTCTGATACAACTTATGCGTATGGTGTAACGCTGGTTTTATTAAGTATTTTTGTATGTCATATTGGACTGAAACAGGGCTGTGTATTAAGCCCCATTTTATTTACATTTTTGAACAATGAGGTTGACTGCCGATGATCTTGACACATGTCGAAGAGAAGAACAATTATTCCTGACTGACATACATTCTTTTCTATTAATGTTTGCTGATTACGTTATTTTTATTTCTGATCGAGTATGTCCTACAATCGTGGAAGTTAAATGTCAACCTTTCGAAAATGAAAATAATTGTTCTTCGTAAAAAGGTAGAAAATGGTTTTATCGATATCGTAATGAAATTGATTCAGAATATTACTGACCTTGGACTTTTGATGAGCAGAATCACATTTGGCGATATAAATGGGAAAAGGCCATCATTGAATGTTTTCATATTAGTTTGGGCAATGGAAAAGTCCCACTTGGAATATTTTTGTCAATATATAATAAAATGAAACCCATCCTTCTTTGTGGATGGGAAATATAAAGGACATCGAAGACGAGAGGTGGTAGAGAGGGCCCAATTTCTCTCATGTAAAACATTATCTGTACAGGCATTAACCAGTCCTAATGTAATGGCTTCAGTAGAATGCGGACGATACCCATTGTTGTAGATGATGGTTGGGTTGACTTATTAAAATACTGGATAAAACTACTTCACATCCTATCCGATAAACTTCCGAGGTGAGGGCAAATGTTAGTTAATCCTGACTCAAAGGTGAACAGAACTGGCCAGGAGATGTTAGACATATTTATTTAGTTTTAGGTCTTGGCTATGCTTGGGTCTTACAAGACGTTGGATGTATAGGTAAATTAGTTTTCGTCACATTTTCAAACCAAATTAAAGATATGTACCGCCAAAATTCCAAATATACTCCTGCTACCAAAAGAAACGCACGGGTGATAATGGAATTTAAAATTAACTTTATTTTATTTCTATGCAAACAAAACCGGTTACCTTTAACCAAACATAATGTATACTTGTTCATATCCATTAAGTATCAGCTCAAACACACCCATTTCATGAAATATTGTTGTTTGATGATGGTTTTAGAAATATCATGAAATTTTCACGTGTAAATGACACTTCGAACGATATGCACGTGAAAGTTGCTTCACCTATGCACCAGTGTGTAGGGTATGTAGGGGAAGGCAGTTTAACGTGTTCAATTCACTTTCAACGCCAGTTTGCGGCAATTCAACGTACCATGCCACGACTTAGCAGAAGCTGACCGGAACATCGCCATCGGACGTCTTAGAAGCTGGCGAATCTCAGTCATCAGTTGCAAGACACTTCCAGCGTGCATCACACAGCAATTTCCCGTTTACATGGAGGCGCTACAATCAAGCTGGGCTCGACCCGCGACCGACCTCGGGATGATTAGCTGGTACGGTAACCAATGCTGCACAGGACACGCTACATCCCGGGTGTTCCATTTACGTAACCGGGCCGTCCCAGCAACACAAACAGCAGAGAACGTCCCAGAGTCTTCGCCGCGTCTCCGCTGAACCATCGAAAATCGCCTCCAGACAGCGCGGGATACGCGCCCTCGACGACCTCCCACAGTAGGATGCACACTACGACCTCATCATCGCCCTGGCACGTGTTCGATGGTGCCCAGGAGCGTCCAGAGATGGAATTGGAGACATTTGGCGGCAGATTTGGTTCAGCGGCAGATCCTCGTTTCCAACTTCGAGAACACGATGGTAGGACGAGGGTCATATAGACGGAGAGCTTGAGACGTTACGCCCGTAATTGTGTAAGTTGAAGCGGACCAGATTTGGAGAGTGTAAAGTGGTATGGGGGCCATTTCTTACAACAGGAGAAGTGACTTGAGGGTACGTCCGTGGTAACCCTGACGCTGCAATTCGTTACAGGGATGAGAATTCTGCAGCAATCATCTTGCTTTACCTATGTCATCAACCCTCAGCGTCACGTTTTTTCCAACAGGACAACGCCAAAGGACCGCCACGTGGCTCGCATCACGATGGACTACCCGACCCGAATCAGGAACATCCACAGTTCTTCCCTGGCCTTCAAAATCCCCGATTTCAACCCAGTACAGAGCATTTGTGGGACCAGCCTGGAAACGCGTTCGACACGTCGTCGAGAAGCTTCAACTAAACGATTGCAACAACTGCTCTCAGAAGCCTTGCAGGAGATGGAGGAGGATCCCCAAGCACGGATTCAAAGACTGATCGTGTCCATGGACCCAGGAGGTGCCAAAGCTGTGTTTACTGCAGAGCTCGAGGAATTGGTCACAACAGGTACTTTGACCTCCACGCGCCATCTGTACGCCCGATTACCTGCAATGGTTTCAGAGACAAATGATGGCTGCATGTTTTGTAAAGCTGACTCTTGACGGCAGCATCCATAGTGAAAGAATTACGTTCGTGCGATCATTGGATTTAAAGTTTTATTTAGAAACAAAGATAAAGTGTTTACATTCCTGAGTTTTCACCTGTGCGTTTCTTTTTAGGAGTATATTGGCATCTAGCACCAGATAATGAATCTGTGCAAGTTTTAAGATTAGCCTTGAAGCAGATGGCTAATTAATGGAATCGACCCAAGTAATGCATATTAGCAATTATAACCGACTTGGCTCCTGGTCAGAGTTTGATGTATAACTTTGGTGATAACAGGAGACATAATAAAATTACCAAAATCTGAAAGAAGGTTTATATTGTAACCTAATATCGGAGATCTGTACCATTTCCTAACTATATGTAACAGCCTTAAACTGAGACTGACTGACTGACTGAGTTTGGTTTTACGCCGCTTTTAGCAATATTCCAGCAATATCACGGCGGGGACACCAGAAATGGAGCTTCCTCATTGTACCCATGTGGGGATTCGAACCCGGGCCTTCGGCGTGACGAGCCAACGCTTTAACCACTAGACTACCCCACCGCCGCCAGCCTTAAGAAGAAGAACATCCAGGAGCAATACATACCAAATAAATGCCAGGTACATAAGGAAATAAAACAGTTCGGCTTTTAAGCAACCACTTATCAAGATATGTTATGCTATGCTTCGAATATGCCGTGAAGAAAAGGAAATGAGAATCGGATTGAAATGAAATGCGGAGCTCTACTGCTCAAATTATCTATACTGTGTGCACTTCATTCATACGGGCCTATCTAATTTCGGTGAGCTTTCTTACATTACAAAGCGGAATAAGTCAATAAGTTAAAAGTGTCACGGTATATCCAGAATGCAGTTATGTCTATACATTTATTCTGCAATCTAAATTTTACTTGCCACAAGGGGTATACTAAAATGGCCTTCTTAAGCCCACGCTTTCCTGAACACCTCATTATCATGGCTATTTCATGGTGATGGCATACGATTTTAGTATCATGGAATCCGAGGGAGACATATGTCATTGTCGCTCTCTCTCAAAAACAAACAAAATGAAGAATAGAAATTAACGAACGTGCGACAAAGCGACAACACATCCCTTCCAGGATTCCATGCTTTAGTCTGTCATACAGACCCTAAAACAAAGTGTTATGTTCCCAAATGCAGCCTGTGCAGAGTCTAGAATGTGTGGCAAGCCTAGATTATCTACTCTTTTCTGTAAAATATGTTCATTTAGGAGACTAGATGTTAGTCCTAGTACATATCTTTGGAGCACTCGCTGCATATAGTCAACACTGGATATACTTTAAAATAATGGTCAATTATATATTTGTTAGTATTTATATCTGTATTTATCTATGTATTTGTGTGAGTACGTGGTATGTGATATTGTTTTTCTTAGCTCCTGTTTGATACTTCTGTTTGGCACCCGTGAAGGTCAGGGTTAGAATGTGCCTTCAGTAACCCTTGTTTGTCTTAGAAGCGGCTAAGCGGGATCGAATTAGTCCAGGCTCGCTGGCTTGGTTGACACATCGGTTCCCAATTGCGCATATGGATGCTCATGCTGTCGATCACTGGATTATCTGGTCTGGTCTATTTACAGACCGCCGCGATATAAGCTGGAATATTGCTGAGTGCGGCGTAAAACTCACTCACTCCACTCACTTCTGTTTGTGTTGTATATTGCCGTTTAACTGAAATTGCATACGCGTAATATATTTTCTTACTTGGTAATAAAAGCATTATGTTGATATCTCATATGTTATTATAATATTCACAATATGTGTACATACTGCATCATTCAAATGTCCTGTGTTGTAATGCTCCAGGTATGGTGATGACTGACATGGCTATAGTAGCAGACCAACTGGAGGTGGAACAACATAGGATCAAAGAATTCATAGAGCAGCTGGGGAGGAGGCTGAAGAAATTATGGGGTACGTGCTTACAGCCATTCTCTTCCACAGAGATTACTTGTCATATCTTCCTACGAACCTCTGTTCTAATACGGCCATATCTCCCGGTTCTCATCTAAAATCCCCTAGCGGCAAAAGATCGCAACACGAATTATCTCCCTTCTTTTCTATCAATCAGCACGTGTTACATCGACTTAGATTCAACCCGACTAACACAAGCAAATGTGGGAATACAAATATCCCCATCTGCCGGGGACTTGTGTTGATGTTACACACAAGACGTTTAATGGCTAGCTTGTCCGTTGTCAACGAGGGCGATGGGGACGCCACTGATCCCGCCATAACATGACTGAGTTCTGTCACAGAAGAAACGTTTTGCGCATCGCGTAGGGAAGATTTTTATTTTCTCGAAGCATGCGGAAATTACCGAGGCCTTGCGAATGATCACTTTTGAAACAACGTCGCTGATTGCACAGCTAAATCTGATTGCCTCCAATGACGAGTCCTGAACGCTCTCCCCATGAAAGGGCCGTATTAGAACAGAGGTTGCGTAGGAGAGATATGACAGGAATAACCTCTGTGGGAAAGAAAGAAGGAGCTTACAACCAGAGTACGAGAACCTAAATGAACACAGATGCTATCTAAGTTAAGCTGTGAGAAAAATAATGTGAAGTCCTGGCATCCACATGTGCCCCTGTCATTGCTGATCCTGTTTCTTGATGCGTGCCAAATTGGACAAGACAAATTGAAACAAATGTCATTTATCTCTAAGACGTTAAACATAAACGCTTCAGAGATAAATATTCAGAATGAACACTGGGCACAAGACTGTATGGCAAGAGAGGATGATTTCAGTTTTTTGAATCGTCAGCTTCCCCTTAGTGCCTAACAATATTCCATCTTTTTTGTGTCTACAACATTTTGAGGCCGCAAGTGAGGCATACTTTTTCTACGAAGGTTTCACTCAGCGTCCTAGACTCTTGTTAAGTTCTCTCATAGGATTTGCTTCATCAAGGTTACAATATATAAAGGTCAGACCTACAAGTTTTTCTAAGGCAAAATTTAATAATAAACATGTGGAGACATGTCACGAACCAGTGGCCAAGCGATGTCCGGAGCAAAGAGTAGGTGAGTGAGTGAGTTTGCACACGCCGCACTCAGCAATATCCCAGCTATATGGCGGCGGTCTACTTAGCCAAATAATCGAGTCTGGACCAGACAATCCCAGTGATCATCAGCATGAGCATCGATCTGCGCAATTAGGGAACCGATGACGTAGTAATCAAGCAAGTCCAGCGAGCGGCAATACCGATCCGTTAGTCGCCTCTTACGACAAGCATGAGTCGCCTTTTGTGGCAGAAGCACATGGGTTTGCTGAGAGACCTATTCTACCCGGATCTTCACGGGTCTCAGAGCAAAGACCTGTTTGGCTGACCATATGCTACCCAGTGATGGCTTCTCAGGTGGACAATTGACCTGAGTTTGCATAATGTTTTGTGACATGTGCCACGATGAGAATCATTGTTGTTGTTTAATAGTGTTTCTTAAAGAGCATTTCTGCATGATATTATCAGGAGATCATTGAAGTCACCTTTGTTTTTGGTGGAAGAGATTACAGTTGATATGTTGTGATCAAAGACTAAAATACATATCAATATATTCCTCGGCATAGTGAAGCTATGAAACAATATGCATTTGAACAAAGTAATTAATAAATACTTTATGTATGTATATTGTGGATGTTGATGTATTCAACTGTCGAGTGTGGCGGGAGAATCTTCTGAAAATTTCTCAAATTGTGATGAAGGTATTTTCTTTTAAGGATTCACAATGTTTCATTACATTTTATGTCTGTGCTAATATACCAGAACTCATTTCTAGGTAAGATAATTCCATGGACTTAAGTGTTTACTGATAAATTGTAAATGATATGAAATATGTTGGGTTGTATGCTTGTGCATGTCAGAATGTTATATATTGTATTATTCTAATGTGTATAGTCTCAACATTCATAATGATGTTATGAAGTTCTCACACAAAATAATTTTGTTGAATACGAATATATATATAAATGTGATGAAATATATGTTTGTGTTACTTCGTGATTATTGACAAAGCAGAAGGGGAGAAGGAATAAAACAATATGTAAATGACGTCGATATTATATCACTAATGTGTTGACATGCTAACGCCAGACCCATTGCTGACATTTTACGTCAATGACCTTGACACGAAAGCGTGAACGATTCCATGGAGTTGATGTGAAGAACTCAAGTGTTGAATTTAGGTTTCTTATGAATACGGAAAGGGTTTTGTCACTTTCGTATATGTTGACACAAGGACATGCGATCAGCCAAAGTACCAGATCAAGTTAATCGCCATTTCGGGTGTAAACATGTATGTATTAGATTTGTACAAAAGATAGCATTTGCTAAAAATATACCCAGGTATCACAACAGGTGTAAACGTTTGATTTTCTTATTGCCCTGATTGGTGGACCAGGCGAACTCATGTAAACGTTTGATTTCTTAATTCTCATCCTTGGTCGACCTGGCCAACTCATGTAAACGTTTGACTTCTTAAGTCCCCTCCTTGGTGGACCAGGCGAACTCATGTAAACGTTTGATTTCTTAATTCTCATCCTTGGTCGACCTGGCCAACTCATGTAAACGTTTGATTTCTTAATTCTCCTCCTTGGTCGACCTGGCCAACTCTTGTAAACGTTTGACTTCTTAAGTCCTCTCATTGGTGGACCAAGCGAACTCATGTAAACGTTTGATTTCTTAATTCTCATCCTTGGTCGACCTGGCAAACTCAGGTAAACGTTTGACTTCTTAAGTCCCCTCCTTGGTGGACCAGGCGAACTCATGTAAACGTTTGATTTCTTAATTCTCATCCTTGGTTGACCTGGCCAACTCATGTAAACGTTTGACTTCTTAAGTCCTCTCATTGGTGGACCAGGCGAACTCATGTAAACGTTTGATTTCTTAATTCTCATCCTTGGTCGACCTGGCCAACTCATGTAAACGTTTGACTTCTTAAGTCCCCTCCTTGGTGGACCAGGCGAACTCATGTAAACGTTTGATTTCTTAATTCTCATCCTTGGTCGACCTGGCCAACTCATGTAAACGTTTGATTTCTTAATTCTCCTCCTTGGTCGACCTGGCCAACTCTTGTAAACGTTTGACTTCTTAAGTCCTCTCATTGGTGGACCAAGCGAACTCATGTAAACGTTTGATTTCTTAATTCTCATCCTTGGTCGACCTGGCAAACTCAGGTAAACGTTTGACTTCTTAAGTCCCCTCCTTGGTGGACCAGGCGAACTCATGTAAACGTTTGATTTCTTAATTCTCATCCTTGGTCGACCTGGCGAACTCAGGTAAACGTTTATTTCTTAATTCTCATCCTTGGTTGACCTGGCAAACTCAGGTAAACGTTTGACTTCTTAAGCCCTCTCATTGGTGGACCAAGCGAACTCATGTAAACGTTTGATTTCTTAATTCTCCTCCTTGGTCGACCTGGCGAACTCAGGTAAACGTTTATTTCTTAATTCTCCCCTTGGTGGACCTGGCCAACTCTTGTAACCGTTTGACTTCTTAAGCCCTCTCATTGGTGGACCTGGCGAACTCATGTAAACGTTAGATTTCTTAATTCCCCTCGTTGGTGGAAGAGGCGAACACTTGCAAACGTTTGATTTCCTCATTCCTCTCTTTGGTGTACCGTGCGAACTCATGCATGACAATGGTAATGGATTATCGAATTGGGTTTATAATGAAAAGATTAATAATGTTACGAATATTATGATATTCATGAAACAGAAAGCAACGATATACTTGGTATAATCACGGGAGATTTATGCTACAATCAGGTGCCATTATAGAGTCCAGTTATAATGAGACATAATTTATTCGTCAAGGTAATTTATAAATATAATTCGGATATTTATATAGCGCACATATCCAAGGCGCTGTTTCTACCCACGATCATTGGATGTCACTCTCAGCGGCACATCTTATTATCAATCTCAACTCCCACTGGATCATACAACTCTTGCAGCCATTATGCGCACCAAGTTATTGCGACTTTCCCATCCTTACGAGGTACCCATTAACAGCTGGATGGACTGGATGGACACATAGTCACAGTATTTTGTCCACGTTTACTGCACGTTGCTGTACCCGCAACTAGATGTTTGCACATGTGGCCAACATCTGGTCATATACCAACGGATTCGTGGGTTCCTTTAAGTGCACAGGGTTGTGTACTGTACACTAGGGTTTGTGACAACACTTAAAGAGTCTGCACACAAAGTTGACTCCAAGGTTTTTACACCCGGTCACATGTGAGCTCGATCCCGGCACCACAAAGTCGCTGGATCATTAGCCTGGCACCTTAGACAGCCCACCTTGTCCGATATTGCTTATGGGTAATACAGTCAAATATCTTCGTGTCGAACTTTCATGTCTGAACATACGGTTGTGTCGAGGTAAAAGTCAACTCCTTCTATTCCTTCCCTAGTAGTCATAATTTTTCGGTTGTGTAGAACCTCGGATAACTCGAAGTTTTACGTAGGCCCTTTTAGTTCGACACAGCGGTGTTTGTACTGACCATTAGTGTTATATATTTCGACAGGTCAAATAGACACATCAATACATGTACAATAAAAGCATAAGTACTGCATGATATCGGCATAAGGTAACGTCGTGTATAGGTCATGTACTTGGGCTGACATTTGAATCACTGGATGTTACAAGTGGTCTGTGAATGAGCCACTCTGTCAATTACATATCCATATCTGATTATTGCAGTGAGTGGAAACTTGTGGGCATATCTGATACACGGTAGCGATAGACGATGTCGATCCAGTAGGCCATACTGTGGACCCACGCAACATTTCCATCAGTTACAGACACTGGGTGTTATGATACACACAGTGATTTAAATGTGAGGACGGTTTACCTGCAGAAAGTACCGCGCGAATTTTATGGCTGACATGCAGGCTGAGATTTCAAATGTTTTCG